TAAAATTGATGAATAAATGAACTTTTATGTAGACATATCATAAGTAACTTTTAAAATAAGAATTTTCAATAAGAATTTTGCATTGATAGAAAATGCTTCAATAAGGAGGTCATTCAGAGCTAGATATCTGCACAACAACCATTTATACATGTTGAAACTATTGGCAATTTCAGTGAAATAAAAATATCACCCAAACCGCCATCGGCATCTTAGAAAAGTTTCAGTGAACATAATTTCCTTATGGATACTTAGCCATATCTATTGAGATATTGACTTTTGTTGCCCAATGATAATTAACCCCAATTATGCAAAGTTTTTCTTTCTGGTTGAAATTATGTTCACTGAAACTTTTCCAAGATGCCGATAGCAGTTTGGGTGAAATTGCCAATAGTTTCAACATGTATAAATAATTGTTGTGCAGATAACTAACTTGGAATGACCTCCATAGATATGTAATCAAGGTATGTTTTATATCATCATATACACACTGGTCAGTGTGTCACATCCCCCTCTACTAAGGAAGCAATAGCCATAGCTGTATAGAGATACACTACTCTAAACTAAGAATATACTGGAGATGCGTCAGAATTGGTTAGCTATTTAATAATTATTAATATTTTTATTATTTTCTTATTCAGATGCCAAATATGGTGCTTCTCTGAAACCCCCTTCGGCATCCTGAAAAATTTCAGTTGATTTCTTGTGACCCAGCCTCTATCTCAGTAGAAGCATATTAACTGTGTTTCAATTGAAATTTTTCAGGATGCCAAAGGGGGTTTTGGAGAAGCACTATATTTAGCATCTTTATTTATTTGTTAATCTAGTTGCTAGAATCTTTTTGGCTATTGCTAAACATTCTGTATATTAAAATATTTATCTACTGCTTGTAATTGATTTCTTATTTGTTAATTGGTTATTCTGATAATAGATATTTAGTTTCTTTAAACTGCTATACACTGAGCGGCAAAATTGAGTCACAAAAATTTTTTCTTCTGATAATGTTTGATATCTGAAAAAGCAGTGATGCAATACCCTTGATAGTGGGGTATGCATATCACTTGCATACGATGATGAGAATTGTGTAAGACCAATGTTCCTAGAATGTTGCACTCCCTTGATATTACTGTCTTTTGAAAAAGTAGTAATTTTTGGTAGTGGTCATTTTTGACCTTTCCTACTTTCGACGTTTAGTTTTATACCCAAAACAGCAGTGGACAAATTCCAAATTTTAGCCAACAAGACAACAGCATTCTCTCATCCACATCCACATCTCATTTCTATTCTAGCTATGCCTAAAAAGTTACAATCATCACACAAAAATCACATCAAATTTCTTCTAACAAAACAATTATCAACTCGGCAAATTGCATTGGACACAGGAGTCTCCCAATCCACAGTATCACGCATTGCCCGAGCACAACATAGCGTAGAGAGGAACTTCCATGCTGGTCGTAGTCGGCTGCTATCACCACATGATGAGACATACATTTGTCGACTTGCTACTACTGGTGCATGTTCCACAGCAACGCAGATCCGACAACAGCTGGCACAATACTCTGGTATGCATATCTCAGTGTACACTATCAGACGCGCACTACATCGCCAAGGGATTCGATCTATGCGCAGAATAAATGTCCCTCAACTGAAAGATCGCCATCGTAAGGATCGATGCCAATTTGCTATGGCCTTTGGGAGCTGGACAGACACCGATTGGAGTCAGGTAATTTGGTCAGATGAAACAAGAATACACCTCAATGGAGCAGATCGACATGAAAGGTGCTAACGTAAACCAGGCGGAGTCCTCCAGGATCACCACATTACCCCAACCCAAAAATATGGTGGAGGTGGGATCATGGTTTGGGGATGCATAACTTCATGTGGCCCTGGCCAACTCTGCTGGCTTGAGGGGGGAATTGACACAGCGGTCTATGTGGGTGTCCTGCAGGAGGAACTACTGCAAACAATTGAGATGTATGGGCTGGACAAGGGTGACATCATCTTCCAACAGGACAATGCTTCATGCCATATGGCTTCTAGGACAAGGAGGTGGTTTGCTGAGAACTCCATTTCAGTGCTACCATGGCCAGCGCAGTCCCCTGATCTCAACCCCATTGAGCATTTGTGGGACTTCATTAAGCGTGAGATCTGTAATGGGCCTGAAATCGAAGATCTCAACACCCTCTGGGAGCGGGTCCAGGACATCTGGTGTGAGCAAGTAAATGAAACCATTTGCTCACAGCTGGTGAACTTGATGCCTGCGCGTATCGCAGCTGTCAAAAAAGCCCATGGTGGCCATACCAGATATTGAGTGATAAATCGTCGAATTTTTGTGAGCAATATTGTGTCAAAAAATACAATTTTTAAAAATCAGTTTCTTAGTGATTTCTTGAGCGACGTGCTTATAACTTTGTATGCTACGGTTGGGCACTGCATAGATTATAAAATAAATTTCTCATGTGGACTGCACAACAATCTGAGAAGTTATTGAAGATTTTCGATGAATTCCATTTTTATGACTCAATTTTGCCACTCAGTGTACTAGTAATGGTATTGAACAGCAAGGATTTGTTCAGCAATCTGATATCTTTATGGATTCATGTGTTGTTGAGATTCCTGACTCATATACTCTAATAGATCAACTTCATAATATTACTCCTTTTGATAGATTGCATAGAGTATTTAGTGATGGTTATAATTTTTAATACACTGAGCGGCAAAATTGAGTCACAAAAATCAAAATCATCGAAAATCTTAAATAATTTCTCTGAACGACGTTCATTGAATATGATAAAATTAAATCATGGTGTATGCCATGCACTAATCTATTTTTTGTAGTTGTGCGCTTATCGCTTTTGAAATAAGCGAGAAACTGACTTTTTAAAAATGTAAATTTTTGACTCAATTTTGCTCACAAAATTCGTCGATTATTTTCTCAATAACTAGTATAGCCACCATAGGTTTTTTTTGACCGCAGCGATACGCACAGGCATCGAGTTCACTAATCACAAATAAACGGTTTCATTTACTTACCTATTTATAATTTCTTAGGCCAACGCAATGTAGGTGCCAAATATGATGAATTTTGACTTTTATCAGATCTTACTCATAATGAAGCCCTATAAGTGAGTAGCGTATCGTATCTAGGGGACTACACTGATCATCATACAGTAGAAACAGTATACATATCTAGCCTACTTATAGCCCTATTTGCTATTTATGTGATGATGACTTCTTTAGATATAATCTTTGCACTCTCCTACTGCTTATCATAGGTATATAACCAAGGAAAGATATATACCATCATATGCACACTGGTCAGTGTGCCACATCCCCTCAACTAGGGAAGCAATGCCTATAGCTGTATAGAGATACACTAATCAAAACTCAAAATCTACTTTTTCTATTATTATTAGATTCTGGTTTTCTTCACAGTGTTCACAGAATAGAATACTTTCAATAGGATATTTCATTCTCACTATCACCTGTGGCGCATGTGCTTTGTATAGCAAGTACATTTGATTTGATCTAATATGTTTTTGATCATAAGAAGCTGCTTAAAGAAGGATTAAGAAAGTTGCAAAATTTGTGATTCAGATTAAATGGCTTATCATTAGGCACAGAGATTACATATTGATATATTATAGCATAGAGCAGGTAGCCACAGTAGTAATCTCTCTACCTATATATATATTGTTACTATAAAAAATCAACTCATAGAATTACATTGCTTCAATAGAGAGCATAAGTGTAGTTGTACATCATTTATAGTTGATTACTCCTTCAGTGAACTAGCTATCAAACTCATTTCTTATCATCGTTGAGTACTAATCATGCGAATATCAACTATGTAATCAACATCTATAAGAGTGATGGCAGTGCTGAAGCGTTGATCATTTCCTTCATAATTTTTCTTCACATATTGATTACATGATAGTACCATGCGTAGTTGAGCAACGTTGTGGACGAGATATTATTATTGAAGAGCGAGTGCAACAGAGTTATGGGTAGTGATTTCACATTATTCGAAAAAAGATAAGGTGTAGAAATGGCAGTATGAAGTCAAAGTGAGTCAAATTTTTGCCTCTCCAATTTTTCTACTTTTTTACGATTGCTTCGATATCATGCGAGGTACAACAGTTAGAGAACATGTAACTACATACATTTATACTATGTCAAGCCCTATCACACATATATCGAATGGAAGTATCTATGTTATCTGATGGCAATGATAGAGCATCAAAAAGTTGAAAAAAATTTTTGTGACTCAATTTTGCCACTCAGTGTACATAAGATGCAGCACAAGTGTGACAAATGGTAATATCTCTGTTTATAAAGTATCTGCTCCAAATGTTGCAATAGCTGATCCTGCACTAACTGATATCTTTCTTAGGATGCATTAAGAACATGTATTTCTTCAAAACTATGATATTACAATAGATTGTCTAAATATTTCTTCTAGAGCTAATATTAAGGAATTTCTTCTTGATAATGGAATCAGTAGCAAAGATATTCTTGATGATGAAAATAAAGTTGGAGCAAACTGTATTAGCTGGTTTACTGAAGAAGATGAGATAAGAATAAGGAACAAGTTGTATAATAAATTTGTTCAACTCTTAGAAAGTGGTGAGGTTTGCAATCAACTTACTTCTAAGCTATCAGAGCTAGTAATGCCAACTTCTCAATAGTTTGGTGAAACACTTATTGCTTGTAGGAATGAAGGATTAATGAGACTTGAGCTTACTATTCACTCTCCTGAGTTGAAGGAAGTAGAATAGAACACAAACTTAATTGTCAATACTCTTGAGTTTCTTCATATCTGCAGGACATTTGCAACATCTTATGAAAAGCAGTGGATGGCACTAGTTGATCAGATTCATAACAAACATACATTGTGTATTTACTTTCATAAAGAACATGCTCTTGGTTACTGCCATTGGTTCAATCAGACAACTAAGAAGAAATAAGGAATAGCTAAAAAGTTGAAAAAGAATGAGGATATAATGACTGTTGTTTCTAATCTTACATTCAATGGGCACCCAACTGTTCTTCTTACATATGCTACCAGTAGTGGTCCATTTGAATCTGAAGTTGTTCTGAGAAGAGATATCACAAACATCACTATTGTTCCTAGTCAGAGAAACTCCTTCTGGCCAGTTGCTTCAAGAGAAAGACAACAACATATATTTGCTGAAATGGGACTTATTAACTATCATGGAATGCATATTGATTGGTTAACAGCTCAGCAAGCAAGAGAGAAAGTTAGGCTTTCAACTCTCTCAAATATTAGTAATAGTACTAATAGTTTAGGAATAGATGACCTTCTTACAGATATTAGCAACATTGAACTTGATGATCTAGAACCTACATATTTAAGAGAAAATACTGATCTCAAGCCAGCTAGATACAAAGTTGCTTATAACATACTTCATGCTGGAGATGAGTTCCTAGTTAGTCATTATTTCTTATATACTTTTAGAGGATTGCCTTTCTACTATCTAGATATTTCTATGATTGGAGATCAGTCAGAAATGGTTAGCTATTTAATAATTATTAATATTTTTATTATTTTCTTGTTCTGATGCCAAATATGGTGCTTCTACGAAACCCCCTTTGGCATCCTGAAAAATTTCAGTTGATACACAATTAATATGCTTCTACTGAGATACAGGCTGCGTCCCGAGAAATCAACTGAAATTTTTCAGGATGCCGAAGGGGGTTTCGTAGAAGCACCATATTTGGCATCTTTGTTTGTTTGTTAATCTAGTTGCTAGAATCTTTTTGGCCATTGCTAAACATTCTGTTTTTTAAAATATTTATCTACTATTAGTAATTGATTTCTTATTTGTTAATTGGTTATTCTGTTAACAGATATTTAGTTTCTTTAAACTTTTATATTTATGAATGGCCTCCATTCATAATGAAATAGTTAGCAGCACTCATACACTTATCAAAGTACTGGCAAGTAGTCCATTTGGTGAATGTATTGCTTCTGTTATTAGTGAACCAAGTCAAGAAGTGGTACTTAAAGTAACTAGAATTCATAATTGTATTATCCATACTGAGAGGATCTAGTTTTAAAATAGGCAGTTAGCAACCATTACCTCCATATCTGCACAACTGTAGATGCATACATCAAACACATGCTTAATACTAACACCCCTATCTTCTGAAACATTCCTGATCCAAGCTCTGATATATACTGTTAATTTTCTGCTCATATTGAAATTTCTGCTAAGTAGTTGGACTAGCTTTTCTCTCTCTTCCTCATCTAGTTCAGCAAGTTGGGCATTGAAGAATTTGTAGAATAGGCCCATTGCAATAAATGATAACTTTTAAATGTATTAGTATGTCACATATATAAATCATTAATTACAAGAACTCAGAGAAATGGAGTATCACAAGCTCTACACAAACAAGTAGAAATTTCTGAATGATGACTGGGTAGTTCTTAAGCATACAAAATATCACAGAAGTGAAGTTTGTAAAGTAAGAGAAATCAAACTTATAAAAGATACACTTCTTAAATATCTAGGGATGCTTCCTGTTTTCTTCTTTCTGAATGTTTTGTTTGGCTGCACTCATTATCCATATCCTTACAGAAGTATAGAAAAAGGATTGCTTATCTTATACCAACTTGTAGAAGGATTGTCAATCAATGAAATGGAAAGATTCCTTCCAAGAAGCAGCTATCAAGTTATTCACAATATGTTCTATATTTCAGAAATGCAAGATTTGAACAAGAAGCTAATAATCTATCTGCAAACAATGTTTTCTACTCCAGAGCTATGACTACTTGCAGCAAAGATGCAGAATCCTCATAGGTTTAAACATGTAACACTAATGTTAGATGGCCATGATTCAAGAGCTCTACACAATAGTGCATACAAACCAGGACTATATTCCTTCAAGTTGAAGAAATCAGGACATCGAACACAAGTTTGCATTGATATAAATGGAATGGTTCTACTTGTTTCACTAACAGAAGACTGTAGAGATAATCCAGATTCAAGAATGATTAAAAATATGGGATTATTAAAGAGGATATCCCCTATAGACTGTATTGTGCTTGATAGTGGCTATCCACAGAGTGTTCTTCAAGAGATGACAGAGGAAAAAGAGCAGGAGGACTTTGGAATGCATAACTTTTGTTTGCCAATTAGAAAGCAGAGAGGGGTAAACTTACTAGAAGCAGAAGTAGAGTACAATTCCCATCTTGGATCATTCCGTTTAATGGTAGAAAACATATTTGGAGAACTAGGAACAACATTCAAAAGGTTGTCAAATAAGGAGATTGTTTGAGTAAAGAATAAGAATGTTTACAATATGCAAATGAAACTGTGCTGTGTATTATGGGGGTTATACAGAGATACTTATCTGCCCATTAACTATTTATGCATGCTGGAACTATTAGCAATTTCAGTGAAATAAAAATTTCACCCAAACCGCCATCGGCATCTTGGAAAAGTTTCAGTGAACATAATTTCAACCAGAAAGAAAAACTTTGCATATTTGGGGTTAATTATCATTGGGCAACAAAAGTCAATATCTCAATAGATGTGGCTAAGCAACCACAAGGAAATTATGTTCACTGAAACTTTTCCAAGATGCCGATGGCGGTTTGGGTGAAATGGCAAAAAAAATATTTGTATTTTTAAAATCAATTATACACACAAAAACATTCTGGACACAATAACAAATAATAACTATAGAAAAAATAATTAGTAGCAAAAAATAGTTCTGAAAACGATTATTCAAATATCTATCTAACAAAATTGCAAATAACTAAAATTTACAAGTCCAGGAATGACCCCCTTCCAAAGTGAACTAAAAGCATTGCTAACAAGAGTGTTATCAGAAAGAAGAAATATGCCTGATGTTGCTGATGCTAGGTATACTGCTAGAGGTATAGAGCAACTTGGATTTGAGCATTCTTCTGAAATATTTGTTGACTCATTCATTGTTGAGGTTGTTGTTGAGAAATGCAGTGAATCAGATATAAAGGTGAAGCAGAAGTCAGCTAGTATTAGATTGCATAAAGTATTTGGAGAAGGTTTTGGTTAGAAGTATATTAGAAGCAAGATTTGTGAGCAATATGGACCAGTTGCTATTTACAAAGTATCTACCCCAAACATTGCAATAGCTAGTTCTTTGTTAACAGTGAAGTTTGCTACTATGGCTGATCACAAAATATATCTACAGAATTATGACATCACAATGGATTGTATGAATATCTCATCTAGAAATATTATCTATAAATACCTTTTAGAAAGAGGAGTTGAAAAGAAAGATGTTGTAGATGATTTACGCAAGTCTGGCTCTAACTGTATTAGCTGGTTTACAAAGAAAGGAGATGTTAAAGTTAAGAACAAAATTTACAACAAGTTTATTCAGCTTCTTGAGAGTGGTGAAGTTCGTAATCCTCTTAGTTCAAAACTTTCTGAATTTATACTGCCAACTTTACACAACTTTGGAGAAACATTGTATGCTTGTAGAAACTCTGGTTTGACTAGGATAGAACTAACTGTACATTCTTCTCAGATGCAAACATTTGAATAGAATAGCAGCTTGCTTCTTAACACAGTTCAGTTTATGAATGAATGCAGAACATTTGCAACTTCTTATGAAAAGCAGTGGATGGCACTTGTTGATAAAGTTAGTAGTTGTTATACTGTTTGTATTTATGTGAGACAACAGCATACTCTAGCATATTGTCATTGGTTTAACTCTATCACATCAAAGAAGCAAGGAATTATTAAGAAGCTAAACAAGAATGATGATCCAATGGTAGTTGTTGCTAATCTCTCATTCAACAATAGACCTACACTTTATCAAATATATGATTCACTTGAGAGTGGTCTTGAAACAGAAAAAGTTCTTAGAAGAGTTGATGAGAATATAACTATTGTTCCAAGTCAGAGAAACTCCTTCTGGTCAACTTATCCTACAACTAAGCAGTATCACACTTTTGAAGAGATGGGATTAGTTAACTACAAAGGAATGCATATTGGTTGGATAGATAGTAAGCAAACAAAGAGTAAGATATGTTTATCAGAAATGTTAGAGGTTGAATATTCTGCAGATAAAGAAAACATCAATGCACTAACAACAGCAATAGACAATATCACACTTGATGAAACTAGCTATTTATTTATCAAAGAGAATACAGATTTGAAACCTTCATTGTATAGAGTTGCTTATAATGTTCTTCAGTTAGATAATGAATTTATAGTTACACATTATGCACTCTATACTTTCAGAGGATATTCATACTTCTATCTAGATATTCTTATTAAAGGGAGAGATAAACAGCCAACTCTTATCAGGACACCAGCAGATAGTTCAATTAGAAAAGCAATTTCTCAACAGCTAGGAGGAACAAAGCAACAAATACATCTAAGAGTTGTAAGTGTGGGATATAGAACAATCACAGTTGAGTAGCAGCCATTTTAAAACATAGTATATGCAACCATTCTCTCCATATCTCTATGGAAAGTTTGACAAACATCATACACATGTTCAACCCTTACCTCACAATCAGTAGCAATATGTTGGATCCAATTACGCACTTGTATTGCTAAGTCATCACTCATATCAAAGTCATGAATAAGTAGCAGAGTAAGCATATCTCTTTCTTCCTCACACATCTCAGCTAAGTGTTGCTTGAAGAAGTTTTGGAATGATCCCATTTTCTAAAATTGATAAAAGTTGAAATTTTTATTTATGACTACCTCACACTGATGGACAATCAATTACAAGAATTAAGAGAGAAGGAGTGGAATGTGCTCTACACAACAAAGTGGAGATTTCTTGATGAAGACTGGTTAGTGCATAAACAGCAGAAGTATTATAGGAGTGAAGCTCATGAAGTAAAAGAAATAAAGCTTATCAAAGACACACTTATTAAGCAACTTGGAATGATCCCTGTGTTCTTCTTCCTTTAATGTGTTGTTTGGTGGAAAGCAGTATCCATGTCCATACAGAAATGTTGAGAAAGGACTCTTGATTTTATACCAGTTAGTTGCTGGGCTATCAATCAATGAGATGGAGAGGTTTATTCCTAAGAGCAGCTATCAGGTAATTCATAACATGTTCTATCTCTCAGAGTTAAGTGAGTTGAACAAGAAGCTTTCACACTACTTACACACAATGTTCTCTACTCCAGAACTAAGAGTGATCTCAGCAAAGATTCAGAATCCACAAGGGTTTAAGCATATTACTCTTATGTTAGATGGACATGACTCATGAGCACTACATAATGGTGCATACAAACCAAATCTTTATTCCTTCAAGTTGAAGAAGTCAGGATATAGAACACAAGTTTGCATTGATTTGAATGGAATGGTTGTCCTTGTTTCACCAACTGAGGAGTGTAAAGACCACCCAGATTCTAATATGATTAAGAACATATCACTATTGAAATACATCTCTCCAGTAGATTGTGTTGTTTTAGATGGTGGTTATCCTCAAAGTATTCTGGAGGAGTTAACAGAAGCAGAAGAGAATGAGAATTTTGGAATGCATAACTTTTGCTTACCAGTTAGAAAGCTAAGAGGAACCAACTTAAGTGAGGCAGAGTTAGAATATAATAGCAAACTTGGGTCATTTAGATCAATGGTTGAGAGTACATTTGGAGAACTAGGTAACACATTTAAGAGACTATCAAATAGAGAAGTTGTAAGAATTAGAAACACAACTATGTACAATGTGCAGTTTAAACTCTGTTGCTTACTCTACAATATGAAGAAGATCCTAGCAGCTAGTAAAGTTCCTATTGAACATCACCACACACTTTGGGTTCTATCTAACTTTGACTACCCAAGCAACAACCAGGAGAGATCAACTCATGCTGAAGTTGGAAGTACTTTACCACAAAAAGTAGAACTAGAAGCTTCAATGAGAGAACTACAAGATAGACTGATTCAAGCTAAAATTGATGAGTCAATGAACTTCTATGTAGATATGTCATAAGCAACTTTTAAAATAGGAATTTTTTACAAACTATACTCAATGATAGAAATATCTTCAATAAGGGGGTTATACAGAGATACTTATCTGCCCATTAACTATTTATGCATGCTGGAACTATTAGCAATTTCAGTGAAATAAAAATTTCACCCAAACTGCCATCGGCATCTTGGAAAAGTTTCAGTGAACATAATTTCCTTGTGGTTGCTTAGCCACATCTATTGAGATATTGACTTTTGTTGCCCAATGATAATTAACCCCAAATATGCAAAGTTTTTCTTTCTGGTTGAAATTATGTTCACTGAAACTTTTCCAAGATGCCGATGGTGGTTTGGGTGAAATGGCAAAAAAAATATTTGTATTTTTAAAATCAATTATACACATAAAAACATTCTGGACACAACAATTATAAATATCTGTTCCAAAAATATCTAGTAGTAAAAAATGGTTCTGAAAACGATTATTCAAATATCTATCTAACAAAATTGTAATTTACTAATATTTACAAGTCCGGGAATGACCCCCTATATTTGGCATCTGAACAAGAAAACAATAAAAATATTAATAATTATTAAATAGCTAACCAATTCTGACTGATCTCCATAGATGCCACTGGTGATGAGGTTGGCATAGCACTATGAGCCCAGTTCATAGACAAAAACTGCAAGGACTTCCTGCATGATGAATTATCATGCCTAGTTCAGAAGAAGTCAGTATATAAGTATATGACTCATTTCTTTGACCTGTTCAACCACATTGGCGACCCAGAGAACAAGACAACCCTATGTGACTATGTGTGTGGTCTTAAGCAGGAGGTTTGCTATGGAGATCAGTCAGAAATAGTTAGCTATTTAATAATTATTAATATTTTTATTGTTTTCTTGTTCAGATGCCAAATATGGTGCTTCTACGAAACCCCCTTTGGCATCCTGAAAAATTTCAGTTGATACACAATTAATATGCTTCTACTGAGATACAGGCTGCATCCCGAGAAATCAACTGAAATTTTTCAGGATGCCGAAGGGGGTTTCGTAGAAGCACCATATTTGGCATCTTTGTTTATTTGTTAATCTAGTTGCTTGAATCTTTTTGGCCAGTGGTAAACATTCTGTATTTTAAAATATTTATCTACTGCTAGTAATTGATTTATTATTTGTTAATTGGTTTTTCTGATAATAGATATTTAGTTTCTTTAAACTTTTATATTTATGAATGGCCTCCTATATGGTTGCCCTGTTCAAGCCGCAGACTCTAGCAGAGGCCATGGATAAGGCCATTACACTAGACACGGCTAATATATCTAGTAGAATTGCTCTGCACCCCCCGACACAGCAGGTGACTCCTGCCAATGATTCGGCAATGGATATTGATACTGTGGATATCTGTCAGCTGCCAAAACATAAGCAGCATAAGATTTGCTTTAAGAACAATCTCTGTTTCTACTGCAAATGCCCTGGCCACCGACTAAATACTTACCCAATCAAGAAGGGAAAAGCATCATAGTAGATTTAGTATCAGCTAGATCCACTAAGAAACCTGCCTTGAAACCTGATCTAGCATATACAATTTTACACCAGCCTGACCCAGTAACCCTGAACCTTGACCTTGTGTATTCACCCAGTCCCTGTACCATCTGTGTTTCATGCAACAAGCACGAAATGACAGCCCTGATTGATAGTGGTGCCTCCATAGAGTTTTGCCACCCTGACCTTATAGTAGACTTTGGTCTTACTCCCTTGACCCTACCTGAACCCCTGGATATCCGCCTGGCTGATGGAATGATGCACACACTGCAGTCATTCATTGACATTCCGCTAGTGACAAGTGACATCACCTTCTCTGTCCATGCATACATCTTTGAGCATCTCAAATACCCACTGATGTTAGGGCAGAAATGGCTCACCAAAGTGAACCCTCTGATCAATTGGCCTATGAACTCGGTTGCTTTCTGTTCTAAGCCCATTGAGCTGAGTTTGATTCAGACTGATAGTCAATTTATTGGCCAGTCAATACTCAACAAGATGCTCAAATCTGCAACTGATATATTTGCCATCGAACTCCTAACCTCTGTTACCTTGGATACCCCTGAACCCTATAAACCAGTTATTCCCAACCCAATCTAAGACCTGCTGACCAAGTATGCCGAGCTGTTTACTGAAGAACAGCTAGCCCTGCCCCCAGTTTGTTCTGAGGAGGTAGTGATCAATACAGGTGATGCACCACCAATTAACCAACCTGCATACCGAATGTCTCCTGTCGAATTACAGGAGCTCTGTAAGCACCTCGATGACCTTCTAAATTGAGGGCTAATCTGACCATCCTTGTCTGTATGGGGAGCCCCTCTGATATTCGTTAAGAAGGCAGATGGATCCTTACAACTGTGCATTGACTATATAATAGTCAATGCAGTTACCCACCATAATGGCTACCCATTGCCACACATCAATGAGTGCCTAGACCAGCTAGCTGGTGCCTGAATCTTCTCCAAATTAGACCTGTGATCAGGTTACCACCAGCTACACATCCAAGATGATGATATCCCAAAAACAGCATTTAATTCGCACTATAGTAAGTTCAAATACCTTGTCCTACCTTTTGGCTTGCATAATGCTCTTGCTGTTTTTCAAGCCCTGATGAACCATATCCTGGCCAGTTATATTGATGAGTTTGTCCTACTCTATCTGGATGATATATTGGTATATTCCAAGAACATGTGTGAATATGAAAAACATCTATGCCTGGTCCTTGATAAGCTATGAGTAGAAAAGCTCTTTATACACCCTGCCAAGTATGAATTTACTGTCTCAACCATTTCATTCCTTGGCCACATTATCTCTGCAGATGGCATATCTCTAGACAAACAGAAACTTGAGACTGTGCATGCATGGCCAGTTCCCAAAAATGTGCAACATGTCCATCAGTTTCTGGGCCTTGCATCATATTTCTGACGCCTTATGGCAAACTTTGCATACAGAGCCACCCTGCTCACAGACCTGCTCCAGGGCACTGCAACTAAGAGAGCACCAATCACTTAGATTCCAGCATGCCAAGTTGCATTCGATACATTAAAGGTTACACTGACAACAGCACCTGTTTTGTGAGCCCCAGATGTTTCACTTCCATTTGTTCTCGAAACAGATGCATCTGACTATGCTACTGGCACTGTGCTTTTCTAGAAGGCTACCGATATGACAGCGCTATACCCTATTGCATTCACATCACAGAAGCTATAGCCAGCAGAGACCTGCTATCCAGCCCATGAACATGAGATGCTCATGATCCTATATGCACTTTGTGCATGGCACCACCTTGTGGATAATGGTCAAACAGTGGAGGTATGTACAGATCATGCAACATTACAGCACTTCACGACACAGACAGCATTGTCCAAATGCCTGAGTCACTATATGGAAGAGTTGGCTGAGTATGATGTCCACATTCAGTATAAGCCTAGCCGCAAAAATGATGTGGCTAATGCTTGTTCCTACTGTCCTGACCTGCTACTCACCAAGGCTGATACCAGTGAGACCATCCCTGACTGGCCATATTTCTATCACCAGTATTTCAAGAAGGAAGACATAGAGTCCATCTCTCCTGCCATCCTCCACCTGCTTGAGAAGCATGAGTCATCATTCTGGTATGATGACGATCTTGACATTGTTTTCCACTGAGGAGGTCATTCACAATCACTAAACTAAGTAAAAAATAATTAGAAGTTGTAAAACTTTTTGTTCTTTTGTTTTTTTTGAACTTCTCTGAAACCCCCTTTGGCATCCTGAAAAATTTCAGTTGATACACAATTAATATGCTTCTACTGAGATACAGGCTGGGTCACAAGAAATCAACTGAAATTTTTCAGGATGCCGAAGGGGGTTTTGGAGAAGCGTCTATTCTTATATTTTTGTTTATTAGTTAATTTAGTTGCTAAAATCTTTTTGGCCATCACTAAACATTCTGATTTTTAAAATATTTTTCAACTGCTAGTAATTGATTTGTTATTTAATACTTGGTTATTCTGATACAAGATATTAAGTTTCTTTAAACTTTCTTATTTGTGAATGGCCTCCTGAATCGAGGAAGACAAGAAAGTCCCATATGTCCTATTGGCGATGCGTGCAGATACAGTCATGTCTGCACACATGTGTCTTGGACACCTAGGTGCTACAATGGTCCTACCTTTCCTTAAGGAGAGGGGGTGGTGGCCATCTATGGCCACTGACATTACATCTTGGCTCAAAAGATGCCCTACTTATCAGATCGCTAAAGGCCCAGATTGCAATAGCAAGTCTGAACCACTCCACCTGCTACCACTAATGGAACCATTTAAAAGATAGGGGATGGACTTTATTGGTAGACTACCGAAAACAGCTGCCAATAATGCTTGGATCCTGGTAGCCATTGACTATGCTACATCTTGGCTGATCGCCAAAGCCTATGAACATTCTGATGCAGCAACAGTTGCAAACTTCATCTACAGTGAGATTGTGATTCCTTTCAGTTGCCCTGATGAGATCCTTTCAGACTGCAGCTCTGCATTTATGAGCTGTGTGATCGAAGACTACCTTCTTACCTTGAAAGTCTGATACCTGTGCACAATGGCATTCCACCCAAGAACAAACAGTAAGTGCAAATGCCTGAACAGAATCCTTAGGAAGATGTTGTTGAAGATGTGCGATGGCAAAACCCACATGTGGGACAAGTTCCTGCCACAAGCACTGTTCGCTGCCTGTGTCTGAACCCACAACACAACTAGATACTTGCTATTCTTCCTGATGTACAGAGTCCAACCGAAGATCCCTGGTGGTGTTGTGAATCCCAAACTCTGGCTAGACTAAGATAACCAGCAGCCAATGCTCATAATCAAATGCTATAAGCAAGTCCTCGATGAACTTGCACAAGCCCGACTCGAAGTGAAGAAGCACACTACAGCTGTAGCTAGGAAGGCCGCAGAGCATGTAGCTGCCTCTTTGACACCAAGAACCTTCGAAGTCAATTATTGGGTTATGATCCGCTATAAGAACCCATGCAAGTTCCAGCCCAAATGGCTAGGTCCATTCCGAATTATGCATATATTCCTGAACTCAACATATGAGTTATTGGACTACAATGACCTCCCACTCAAGAGCTGATACCATGGTAACCGAATCTGATATGCTTACCTGATAAATCGAGTCCTGCCTTGTCGTCCCTGGGCAGCCCTACCTTGAATGCGTAGGGCCGCTGCTGAAGAGGGGGATGATGTTATGCCCATCATTGATGATCATGAACATGTTGCAGATATGCTCCTAGATCAAGATCAAGATCAAGACTTGCGAGAACCATGATTGGCCTGCATCTCTTCTTCTGTTTCAGTCTCAAGCCTACAAGACCAGTTTCATTCCCATGCGACAATAGTCGACCCAGTTATAGGGATTCCTATTGTCCATGCAGCCCCGAGACCATAGCTCAAGTATGCATTGGTATATATAAGTGCACATCTTATACATGCACATAGATTCAAGCAACTCTGATCCCGTTTTTGACTCTGATTTCCTGAATAGAACCATCTCTGACTCAAGCTCTTCCTTCCATTCGGCTCCTTCATTATCACCTGGGCCAGGTGATAACACACATGTTATGCTCAACTCAGATGAGCATGAACATGATGAAGCCCACCTGCGAGATCAAGATCAAGATCAAGACCCAGGCCAAGACAACATCACACACGCACAAGGTTCCACTCGCAATATAAACACAAGTACACTGCCTCATCTATGGAACAAGTCCGCCCTTTATGCCCCTCTTACGGATCCTAACACAGGAATTCCTATCGTATATGCTACACCTAAAGCATAGCCAAGACACTTGTTGACTACTCCATATATATGGAGAAGTCGGGCTGACAAGACAAGACAGGAACAACAGGCCCCCGAATAATCCTTGACTCAGATCCTGTTTCCCAATATAACCCGTTACAATCCCGACCTTCTCTCCCCGACGTCTGAGCTCCGGTTCGAGCTCTTCCGACGCTAGCTCCTTTGCTAGCATATTATCACTCCCGCCGAGCGATAACACACAGATGGGGGTCTAGCTCAAATGGGAGAGCGCGCGCTTAGCATGCGCGAGGCACTGGGATCGATACCCAGGTCCTCCAGAATGTTTTTTGCAATGCTTCAAATTCATACTACACTGGGCGGCAAAATTGAGTCACAAAAATAAAAACCATCAGAAAACTTAAATAAGTTCTCATAGTGATATGCGTTACTCTTGACAAAATTAATTCGTGGTGTATGCCATGCACTATTCTATTTTATGTGGTTGCATGCTTATTGGTCTAGATGTAATCGAGAAATTGACTTTTTAAAATAAAATTTTTGACTCAATTTTGCTCACAAAAATTCGCCGATTTATTTCTCAACAACTAGCATAGATACCATAGGCTTTTTTGACCGCAGCGATACACCCAGGCATCGAGTTCACTAGCTATGTACAAACAGTCTCATTTACTTACCTATATATAATTTCCTAGGCCAACGCAATGTAGGTGCTAAAAATGATGACTTCTGGTCTTTATCAGATCATACTCATAATGAAACCCTATAAGTGAGTTGCGCATCATATATAGGGGATGCCACTGATCATTGTCCAATAGAAACAGGATACATATCTAGCTAACTTGTAGCCCAAATTGCCATTTATGTAATAATGACTTTTATAGACATAATCTTTGCACCCTCCTACTGGTTATCATAGGTATGTAATCAAGGTATGTTTTATATCATCATATACACACTGGTCAGTGTGTCACATCCACCTCTACTAAGGAAGCAATGACGATAGCTGTATAGAGATACACTACACTAAACTAAGAATATACTTTTTCTGATTTTCTATGATTCTAGATTTCTTCCCAATGTTCACAGAATAGAGTATATTCATTAAGATATTTCAATCTCACTGTCACCTGTGGGGCATATGCTTTGTATAGTAAGTACATTTGATTTGATCTAATATGTTTTTGATCGTAAGAAGCTGCTTAAAGAAGGATTAAGAAAGTTGCAAAATTTGTGATTTATAATAAATTACTTATTATTTGGCACAGAGGTTACATATAGATATCTCATAGTATAGAGTGGATAGCCACAGTAGTACCCTCTCTACCAATCAATGGGGGTCATTCCTAGACTTATAAATTTTAGTAAATTATAATTTTGTTAGATAGATATTTAAATAATTGTTTTCAGAGCCATTTTTTGCTACTAGATATTTTTGGAACAGATATTTATAATTGTTGTGTCCAGAATGTTTTTATGTGTATATCTAATTTTAAAAATATAAATATTTTTTTGCCATTTTACCCAAACTGCCATCAGTATCTTAGAAAAGTTTCAGTAAACATAATTTCCTTGTGGTTGCTTAGCCATATCTATTGAGATATTGACTTTTGTTGCCTAATGATAATTAACCCCAAATATGCAAAGTTTTTTCTTTCTGGTTGAAATTATGTTCACTGAAACTTTTCTAAGATGCCAATAGCAGTTTGGGTGAAATTTTTATTTCACTGAAATTGCCAATAGTTTCAACATATATAAATAATTGTTGTGCAGATAACTAACTCTGAATGACCTCCAATATAATAATGCTATAAAAATATCACATCATAGATTTATAATGTTTCAATGGAGAGCATAAGTATCACTGTACATAATTTATAGTTGACTATTCCTTCTATGAGCTAGCTATCAAACTCATTTCTCCTTAGTGTTGAATACTAGTCACATGAGTATCAACTATGCATTCAACATCCTTAAGTATAGGGGCATTGCTAAAGCATTGAACTTTTCCTTCATATTTTTTCATTGTATATTAAATATATGATAATACCATGTGTTGTTAAGCAACATTATGAATGAGATATTAATATAGAAGAGGGAGTGCAGTAGAGTTATGGGCAGAGATTTCACATTATTCAAAAACTGATAAGGTATAGAAATAGCAATATGAAGTCAAAGTGAGTCAAATTTTTAGCTCTCCAATTTTTCTAGTTTACTACTATTGCTTCAATACCATATGAAGTATAATGTTTAGAGAACATCTGACTACATAGGAGGCCATTCACAAATAAGAAAGTTTAAAGAAACTTAATATCTTGTATCAGAATAACCAAGTATTAAAAAACAAATCAATTACTAGCAGTTGAAAAATATTTTAAAAATCAGAATGTTTAGTGATGGCCAAAAAGATTTTAGCAACTAGATTAACTAATAAACAAAAATATAAGAATAGACGCTTCTCCGAAACCCCCTTTAGCATCCTGAAAAATTTCAGTTGATTTCTTGTGACCCAGCCTATATCTCAGTAGAAGCATATTAATTGTGTATCAACTGAAATTTTTCAGGATGCCAAAGGGGGTTTCGGAGAAGTTCAAAAAAAACAAAAGAACAAAAAGTTTTACAACTTCTAATTATTTTTTACTTAGTTTAGTGATTGTGAATGACCTCCATATGTTTATACTATGTCAAGCCCTATCAAACATATATCAAATGGAAGTATCTACAGTATCTGATGACAAAGATATAGTAACAAAAAGTTGAAAAAATTTTTTGTGACCTAATTTTACCACCCAGTATATATTAGTAACACAAAAATAAGAATCATCAGAAATCTTAAATAATTTCTCATAGCGATGTGCATTGCCTGTAGCAAAATTAACTTGTAGTGTATACCATATATAAATCTATTTCATGTAGTTGCATGCATATTGCTCTTGAAATCATTGAGAAATTGACTTTTATAAAAAAAAATTTGCTGCTTAGTAAATGTGAATACTAAAAAGCTCTCCGACCGGGAATTGAACCCGGGTCTCCAATGTGACAGACTGGTGTACTCGCCACTATACTATCGGGGATCGTAAACAAACTTCAGTGTTGTGTTATCGCTCGGCGGGAGTGATAATATGCTAGCAAAGGAGCTAGCGTCGGAAGAGCTCGAACCGGAGCTCAGATGTCGGGGAGAGAAGGTCGGGATTGTAACGGGTTATATTGGGAAACAGGATCTGAGTCAAGGATTATTCGGGGGCCTGTTGTTCCTGTCTTGTCTTGTCAGCCCGACTTCTCCATATATATGGAGTAGTCAACGAGTGTCTTAGCTACGCTTTAGGTGTAGCATATACGATAGGAATTCCTGTGTTAGGATCCGTAAGAGGGGCATAAAGGGCGGACTTGTTCCGTAGACGAGGCAGTGTACTTGTGTTTATATTGCGAGTGGAACCTTGTGCGTGTGTGACGTTGTCTTGGCCCGGGTCTTGATCTTGATCTTGATCTCGCAGGTGGGCTTCGTCATGTTCATGCTCATCCGAGTTGAGCATAACAGTTGTTATTGTGGTTTTTAAAAGGGGTGGTGAAGAGGCTTGATCAGTGGGTCGATTACCAGCGCTGTCTGGATCGGTCATGAAGGACATTGTAGTCGCTTGTCTCGCTTTTCTTGCTTGTAACGGTCCTGACTTAATAACTTGGAAAACATAGTAGAATAAATCTCAATAAACTGCTTTCAATGAGATTGTATGCAAAAAAGTAGATAATAAAACTAAAAGCTACTCACTGCTCATAGCTATATTTATACTTATTTGACAGGATGGACTTCAGTAAACAGAGTATACTATATGCTGTTATCGGCTGCCGGGTGCCCACGGGATAGTGCTCCTACATCCATATGGATCCAAACTATACATATCGGAGGCCATCCATTGGTAGATGTCAGGAGTCAGACATATATCGAATCCATTTGTGGGAGTCAGTTTGACCCGCGATAGTCGGGGATGGCTAGCACTGATAATGAAACAGTGGCAAAAGAATGGAGGTAAAAGAAACAATTTGGTCCAGTTTTTGTGTAACTTTGTCATGGTCAGACCATGGACCAATTATGACATGATATTATATTATCACTTGGGTATAGTGATATTATACTAGCAAAGGAGCTAGTACTAGAAGAGCTTGAACTGGAGCTCAGACATCAGGGAGAAAAGGTCAGGATTGTAACAGGTTATATTAGGAACAGATTCTGAGTTAAGGAATATTCAGGCTTATTGTTCTTATCTTATCTTGTCAGTCTAACTTCTCCATATATGGAGGCCATTCACAAATAAGAAAGTTTAAAGAAACTAAATATCTATTATCAGAATAACTAGTTATTAAACAATAAATCAATTGCTAGCAGTTGATAAATATTTTAAAAATCAGAATGTTTAGTAATAGCTAAAAAGATGTTAGCAACTAGATTAACAAATAAACAAAAAAGTAAGAAAGGGCACTTTTACAAAATCCCTATTAGTATCCTGAAAAATTTCAGTTGATTCTTATGACCCAGCCTCTATCTCAGTAGAAGCATATTAATTATGTATCAACTGAAATTTTTTAGGATGCCAATGGGAGTTTTGTAGAAGTGCAAAAAAAATAAAAGAATAAAAAGTTTTAAAAGTTATAGCTATTTTTTACCTAGTTTAGTGATTGTGAATGACCTCTAATAGGAATTCCTATGTTAGGATCCCTAAGAGGAGCATAAAGGGCAGACTTATTCCATAGACAAGGCAGTGTAATTGTGTTTATATTACAAGTGGAACTGTATGCATGTGTAATATTGTCTTAACCTAGGTCTTAATTTTGATCTTGATCTTAAATATAGATTTCATCATGTTTATGCTCATCTGAGTTGAGCATAATAGATATACTGTGGTGTTTAAAAGGGGTGAAGGAGAGACTTGATTAGTAGGTCAATTACTAGTACTATCTGGGTCAGTTGCAAAAGATATAGTAGTCACTGGTCTTACTTGAAAATGGTATCCATAAATAAATAGTTATAATAATAATAATAGTAATCATGGGAAATACAGGTATCCCAGTGAAATAGTAAACTACTAAGCTCTTTCTCTTATTTGTGGAAATCTGCAAAGTAATCTACAACTTTGACAGTAATGGTCCTAACTTTTAACTTTGGAAAACTTAATAGGATAAAACTCAGTAAACTATTCTTAATAAGATTATATACTAAAAAGTAGATAATAAAACTTAATGTTGCTCATTGCTCATGGCTATATTTATACTCGTTCGGCAGGATGGACTTCAGCAAATGGAGTATGCTACTTGCTGCTATCAGCTACCAGGTGACCACAGGATAGTGCTCCCACATCCATATAGACCCAATATATACACATCAGAGGCCATCTGTTAGTAGACATCATGAGCCAGATACATTGCCATGAATCCATTCATGGGCATTAGCTCGACCGGCGATAGTCAGGGGCGGTCCGTCTTGATAGCGGAACAGCGGCATGTGACGACGGAGAGAAGAGAAGTAAAAGATAAAAAAGAGAAGATAAATAAAACCCGTAGATGTGTAACCATTTCGTGGTCCAACCGTTGACCGATTACGACATGACACAAAAATAGGATTGGTTTAAGTCTGTCTTTGGCCGCGTGGCCCAATGGATAAGGCGCTTGACTACGGATCAAGCGATTCCAGGTTCGAGTCCTGGCGTGGTCGTCTGAAGGACAGGTTGTTACCTTTTGCACTCATCGGTATGATCTTGTGCGTAGTTTCGCCAAAGATCTTTTTTAATCTATCCAAATTATATAATTTGATCATTGATTCGGGTTATCGTTCACCGCACAACATGGAATGGAATCACACACTGGTGCAGTGAACTATACTCTCGAGCTATTTTTGTGACATTGTACTGAAGCTTGTAAAGAGCACCTACATGCTCATTTGCTAACCACTGCCAGACCTTGCAATAACGCCATGTCATATCTGTTGGCGGCATATGCAGCTTAATGTAAAAGTAAAATGCGCTGCAGCTTGCTTTCTGTGGAAATGCTGTTGCTATATATCCAAGTGATCAGCAAAATGGGAACATCTATGTCCATCCTGACAAGGATGCGGCAAAAAGAGGGTTAAGCTGATCAGAGTGGGATTCGAACCCACGCCTCCGGAGAGACTGCGGCCTTAACGCAGCGCCTTAGACCGCTCGGCCATCTGACCCTCAATGCATGTTGTGAAGACAGGAAGTAAAATCATAAATAAATATAAGTCTTATGATACCTGTTGATTTTGGCTGACCATGTTCTGCGCTGTACTCTTTTGTGCCGGTGACGCTATTTGGCTGTCGGCTTTCGCATTATTTACCAAAGTTTGTATTGCCTATCATCACAACTTACAGTGATTTTAGGCGAAGCACTCATGGAGTAGAATATTGTGATTCACACTTCGTGTATCGGTTGCTTTCCACAAACATACATGCTGTTTGAGAGTACTATTGCTGGGCGCTCTGAGTGGTGCACACATGGTTTGGTGAATTCAAATATCACATGTGATTTGACCCTCGGTTGTTATATCGATGACAGGACAGTGCTGTCTGTTGTGAAATGGGCAAATGGTAAACAAATTGCTCACACCATCCGCATGTGAAATGTCACAATATCGCGCCTGAGATACGAATGTGGGAGGATTCCTTCGAGGACCCTGTCACCTTTTATCATCATCGATCTCCTCAACAAATTGTTTGCACATCCGTTACACAGGAGTACGGAAATCTCACATTCTCCGGCGGAGGCGCAACACGGACGCATCGGCGGTTGAATGCAGCCGGGTTGTTATTGGGGATAGAGTATTGGGGAAAGGGGTGGGGAATGGTGGTCGGCCATATTTCGCAGAAACCAAATGTTGTCTATTTCACCTGAGCGTGCATTGGCGATCGCCAATTTGATGCATTGCTCAACAAGGATGGTGGTGATCGTCCCACACTTCCATGTTGGAATCGTCATCATCTCCCTCTGCAGCAGTTTGTGACAGTGGCAGACGCACAACGAGGCTACGGCTGTTGAAAAGAAAGGGATAAGGATTGGTGTGTTTGTGTGTTAGAGATAGAAGAAAAGTAGCTATGCGAGCAGGGGGTTTAGTCAACAGTAAGCTTGGCCACCATGGCATCAATGTTCTCCTGGTTGTGGCGGACGATATCCGTGCGCTTGAGTTTGGAGGCAGCAGTCAGCATGCCGTTCTCAGGGGTCCACAGCTCGGCATCGATGCTGACAGCAGCAAGGGTCTCCTGCTTGGCCAGGTGGTTGTGCTTGGCGACGCTCTGCAGATCAGACAGCACAGCGGCAATAAACTGCTTACTGGTGGCGAGCTCCGAGGGGTTCTGGTATGGAATGTTGTTGTCGTCGGCCATCTGGGCAATCAGGTTGCCGTCGATGTTGACAAGAGCGCACGGCTGGCCCATGTGCGAGTCAGCGTAGACGCAGATGTTGTTGACAAACAGCGAGTTCTTGTATGTGGCCTCGAGGGCTTCCAGCGCAATGTACTCGCCGGTGACCAGCTTGACAAGGTTCTTCTTGCGGTCGATGATGGTCAGCTCGCCGCGCTCGGTCCACTCACCAATATCGCCGGTCTTGACCCAGCCGTCCTCGGTGATGGTCTCCTTGGTCTCCTTGTCGTTGTGCAGGTAGCCCTTGAAGACCGACGGCCCACGCAGCCAGACCTCGCCCTGGTTGTTCTTGGCAAAGTACTTTGCCTCAGGCACGTCGACAAGCTTGCACTCGACAGAAGGGCTTGGGGGGCCGACGTTGCCGAGGGTAGTGTCGGATGGCAGCTGCACCGACACCAGGCCGCTCATCTCGGTCATGCCATAGCCCTGGATCATTGGGCACAGGGCAGCGGTCATCAGGCGCTGCACGTTCTTGTTGATCGGGGCGCCGCCCGTGATAACAAACTTCAAGCGGCCGCCGGTGGCCTCGCGCGTCTTCTTGAAGACAATGTCGTCAAGGAAGTTGTGGGGCAGGTGGTGGTCGCGCAGCTTGTTTTTGAGGCCAACCGATCCGTAGAACAGCTTGCGGATCAGCGAGCTGCTGCGGTCGACCTGCTTCAGCATGCCAGCACGGATGGTGTTCCAGACCTGGGGGACGCCGAGCATGACCATTGGCCGCAGCGCCTTGATATCACCGAGACATTCGCGGACGCTGTCGTCAGTGAGGGTGCGTGGGGTGCCGTATCCAATGCCAAGTCCCGAATACAGACAGTACATGTCGACGAAGAAGGCCAGCACGTGCGACAGCGGCAGGTACGACAGAATGACGTCCTTGCCATATTCAAGGTAGGGCGGGATGAACTGGTGGATTCCGCCGGCAACGGACATGACGTTAGCATGGGAGATCAGAACGCCCTTGGGCTTGCCCGTGCTCCCGCTGGTGTACATGACCATGGCAATCTCGTCCGGATCCGCCAGGTTGAGCTCGGCGAGATTGTCGGCGCCGAGCTGATAGACGTCTTCGAGCGACTTGACCTCAAACTTGGCCTTGGCCTTCTCGATGGCCTCCTCGCAAGCCCTTAGGCATGCCGTACAGGTCCTGGAAGAACACGAACGTGCTTGACGGTTTCGACGCGATCCATGATGCGGGCCAGGATGGGCATCTGGTCGGCCTTGAGGAAGATCAGGTCGGCCTCAGACTCGTTCATGGCGTGCAGGACGCCCTCCTCGCCCAGGGTGTCGTAGGCAGTGACAATCTGCATCGACTGCGAGAACGTGCCTATAAACGCAGAAAAGTACGCATTAGAAATAAAACTGCCAAGGCTTTTTTGTAGCCAGGGGGAGTTCCAGATCTGGCGGATAGAGCTCCAGGCAAAAAGCACCTTGAAAGCAGCAGGCCAGAGACAAAGAATTGACGCAATATCGGCAAGCTGGCTCAACAATAAAGCAAAAACAAACTGCTGGATTGTGGTGATACTTACTGAGCGCGCACAGCTGCCACTCGCGCGAGGTTGGGGCGTAGACAACAACACGGCTGGCAGACTTGAGCCCAAGCTGCAGAAAGCCGGAGCCGAGGGTCTTGGTGTAATCGGCGATCTGGCGGTATGTCATCCACTTGTAGTCGCTGAGCTTGAAGTAGCTCCACTTTTTGGTAACCGAGGTCATCTCGCCGTTGACCTTGTGCTTCACCACCTTGTCCTCGGTGATGGTGCCCATCCACGTCACGCTTGCCCATGGCGTTGGTGTCCGGGCGCACCTTGAGGCCGTGCAGCAGGCCATCGTAGATGTTCTTGACTCCGGGCTCTGCACAGTCGATAAGGCCATTGGCCGCTGCCGGGTGGCGGCGGGTGGGAGTTTCGTTGATCGTTTCCGGTTCCAGGAACCACGACAGAGTACGAGTGGTGCGCCATTGTGTGTGTGCGTTAAAGCGTAAGAAGGAGTGATTAAACTAGAATGAAGGCGTGCCTGGTAAAAATAAAAGAAAAGAGGTGTGGAGGGGAGGTGAGCGGAGAGTGGGGAGAAGGAGGCGAGGGCGGAGAGCAGCAGCCGAGAAGCCTTAAATAATGGCGCCAGGCGGTGTCTGCCCCCCACCGGATTTTTTGTCCTTGCTGATTTTGTGGCCGAGCGCAAGGAGAGCGAACGGGTGATTGGGAGGGGCGGATTTCTCTTGCTGTATCGCTTTCTCCGAGCAGTTTAGAAAGCCCGCCCAGCTGATTCTTCTTTTGGCAGGTCACTTGTGCCAAATAAACCGCAGCGGTGGAAGATGAGGAAGCGTCTGCCATGCAGTCATTTGACCATCTGCGCTCTTCGCGGAGTGGAACAGCATGCAGGATCGGCCAACGCATATACACACAGGACAACATGCAGCAAGACAAGCTGCTGGCCCGGAGTGGCCACGGGTGGATCTCGAAAAGGGGAAACAGGTCTTATATTCTTGTCTTACTCTACATGAAGAATCTGCTCGTCTGCACGCCTGAGTCGCTGGAAGACGGCCTTGAACATGTTCTGGCGGGTCTTTTTGCTGTCCTGCGTGTTGGGGAGCGAGGACTCGACAGGCATGAGCGAGATGAACAGGCTGATGGGTACCATCCAGACGCAGAAGAACATGAAAGCGCATACCTGGCCGAACGGGAACCCCAAATGCCCGATGAAGTAAAAGAACCACATGAAATGGTTAGCGATGGCCAGTATGCAGCTCCCCAAAAAGCCCGGGCTGGCCAGGTTGACGAGCGGGAACGTCTGGAGGTTGAGCGTGTAGACGTGGTTGATGGCCAGCGATACCAGGACCCGCCACCAGCTGATGCCGTCGACAAGTGTCAGTGCGTGCAGGGCGTCGACGATGTACACCGAGACCTGGATTGCTTTGCGCGTCTGCCGGGGGCTCTCTTCAGCCCACTCGGAGATTATGTAGAGGACTGCAGGCCACCGAAAACACCAGCAGCACCAGGCCCAGAGCCCAGCCGAGCGTTGCTAATAATCCTAGAATCATGGTGTGCGAGAAAGAAAACAATAAAGGCGGTGACGAAAAGAGGATATTGCTGGCTATGCACAGGCTGCAGAATACGCCGAGAGCCAAGCAGTTTGTGGTGATGGGACACGCGTCACCCGCCCCTTTCCATTTTCAGACTGCAAGGTTGGAGGCTAATGGTCCTGTGCCTGAAGCGCTGCACACCGCACAGTACCCGAGTCCGTACCAGACAGTGTGGGTTTGACCCCCCCCCACACCGCACTGCGGGATAAGACCCTGGGCAGCACTCGAGACACCAGAATGTTTTAGCGGGTGGCTAGTATCCTACTACCAGCAAGCCACCCATTAAAAAGGATGCAGGACAAGCAGGTGCACGCCTCGCCGTTTGAGACAATCCATACCTGTCGCATATCTCCATTGCATTTGCACTCCATGAAGTCACACGTCGCTCTGCTATTATTGCCACACTGCATTGTTGCCTGGAACTACAAGGAGAAGGTGTTCATGTACCAGGCAGCGGAGACATTGACAAAGTTCTACACCAACTCGCCTGACGAGCGCGTGATCTATGAGCGGCTGGCAATGTTTCTCGGCGACTACGGAGCCGTTCTCGGGCTACGCAGCGATCCGACGGCGCAGGACTACCGCGAGGCGCTGGAAAAGCTGATGGCGCATGTGGAGAGGGCCAAGAAGGAAGGCAAGCAAGGATGCGCCGGGCGAGATCAGCCTGGACGTGCTGAGCTGGCCGGCTGAAGCAGTCGTTCATTGCATCCACAGCGTCCAGCGCACCCTTCCAGTGACAATGATTTAGCGTTTATAAAGGCATATGAAGAAAGATTGGATAGTGTGGAAGATGTTGGACTACTCGACAGTGACAGACTTGGCCAGGTTGCGCGGGAAGTCGACATCGACGCCGTTGAGGGTGGCCATGTGGTACGACAGCAGCTGCAGGGGGATGATGGACAGGATGCCCTGCAGGCAGTCGACGGTGTGGGGGATGCGGATGGTGGGCAGCGAGCTGTCGATCCTGTCGTCGTCGGAGTTGCAAATGACGATGGGCTTGCCCTTGCGGGCCTGGACCTGCTGCAAGGCGCTCTGCACCTTGGGGTAGTAGGCATCCTTGGTCATGATGATGATGACGGGGATGTTCTCGTCGATGAGCGCCAGCGGGCCGTGCTTGAGCTCGCCGGCCATGATGCCCTCGCAGTGGATGTACGACAGCTCCTTGATCTTCAGAGCGCCCTCGAGGCAGGTGGCGCTCTGGAAGCCGCGGCTCAGCACCAGCATGCTCTTCTGCTGGTACAGGCTCTTGGACAGCTCCTTGATGCTCTCGTCAAGCGCCAGCACCTCCTTGACGAGGCTGGGCAGCTCGCGCAGGCCGTTGATGATCTCGCGGCGGCGGTCGGTCATTGAGATGCGGTCCTCGCCCAGCTGCAGCGCCATCATGACCAGCGCCAGGTACTGCGACGTGTATGCCTTGGTGGAGGCAACTCCGATCTCGGGGCCCGCGTTGATGTGGACACCGCAGTGGGTCTCGCGCGAGATCGACGAGCCGACGGTGTTGGTGACGCCGACGCACAGGGCGCCGCGCTCCAGGCAGTAGCGCAGGGCCAGGATGGTGTCGGCGGTCTCGCCCGACTGCGACACAAACACGCAGACGTCGTCGCGGAAGATGGGCGACTTGCGGTCCAGGAACTCGGACGACAGCTCGACCGACACGGGGATCTCGGTGAGCTCCTCAAAGATGGCGCGCGTGGCCAGGCACGAGTTGTACGAGGTGCCGCAGGCGCAGAACACAATGCGGCGGCAGCGGCGGATCGAGGCCAGGTAGTTGCGCAGGCCGCCCAGCACAACGTTGTGCTTGGAGAAGTCGACGCGGCCGCGGATGGTGTTGACAACCGACTCGGGCTGCTCGTAGATCTCCTTGAGCATGAAAGTGCGGGAAGTTGCCCTTCATGATGGCCGCCAGCTCCATCTCCAGCGTCTTGATCGACCGGATCGACGACATGCCGTCGTCACGCCGCATGCGGTAGATGTGCAGGTCGCCCTTGTCGCTGATGTGCGCAATGTCCTCGTCCTCGAGGTACAGCACGCGCCGCGTGTGCTCGATGATGGCCGACGGGTCCGACGCAAGGAAGTACTCGAGCGGCTGGCTGGTGCCGTCGGCGCGGGTGAAGGTGCGGGACTGCGCGCGCTTGGCGTAGGCTGGCGCCTTCTCCTCGTTGATGCTCGATGCGGCAACGCTGGTGGTGCTCTCGGCAAACTCGACATCAACAAAGTCGACATTGAGGCTCTCGGCGGTCTTGATTCCGATCAGCAGCGGCGAGCCACGGCGGGCAGCGATGATCTGGCCTGGGTAGTGGACACTCTTGATCAGGAACGCAAAGGCGCCCTCCAGCTCCTTGATCACCGCCTTGGCCAGGTCGGGGAAGCTGATCGGGTTGCCGCGCTGCGAGTCAAACACATACTTGAGCAGCTTGGCTGCCACCTCCGTGTCCGTGTCCGTCTCAAACACATAGCCCTTGTTGCGCAGCAGCGTCGTGATCTCCTTGTAGTTGGTGATGATGCCGTTGTGCACAATCGTGAACTCGTTCTCGGGGCTCGACCGGTGCGGGTGCGCGTTGACCGGCGACGGCTGCCCGTGCGTGGCCCAGCGTGTGTGCGAGATCGACGTCTGCACGCTGTAGGTCTTGCTCATGTCGAGGTCCTGCGAGTCGACCAGCGCACGGAGGGCCGACACCTTGCCGACCTGCTTGATGATCACGGTCTCCTCCTCGGTATCGCCGGCAATGGCAATGCCCGACGAGTCGTACCCGCGGTACTCGAGGCGCGACAGTCCGTTGAGCAGAGTGTCGGTGATGTACTTGCGGTCCTTCTCAACAAAGTATGACAGGTAGGCAAAGATTCCGCACATGGTTCAAAAAGGGAGGCTGTCTACGAGAAGCAGAAAATGGTGTGTGGAGTTAGCAGCAAGTACTCTAAAATGCAATAGACAAGGAAGAGAGAAAAAGGGGAGGTGCGGGCTGCTATGTGCTAGGGAATGTGTGGGTCTGGCGAGTCAGGAAGATCGACTGGGGCCTGGCGGTCCTTTTATACGCGCTAGTCTCCACCACAGAGCTGAGCGCATGCAGACAGTGCTCGCAGCATGGCACAGCCAGTAAAAACGATCTTGAGCGGACTGCCCCGAGAGAAAAGGGCCACACGAGCAAATCGCTGAGTGGGGAGTGATAATGACAGCGCTTTGCAGCGCTGCTGCTCGCACATGGCACCTGCCCACAGGCCAGAAAATCGCCGAGGGGAAGCTGGGCAAGTATAGTGAGACACGGGGGGAAGCACCACCACGCCTCACAAAGACGTCAGCAGCCGCTTGGAGAATGTGCATCAGGCATTTCAACTCGTAGAGCGCACTGGCCTAGAAGCAAGTCAGCGGGGTTTTTTGGGCCACAATAACACCAAGACAAAGCGAGCATATATGTGCTCTCTCCGGTTGAGTGTGGGTAAAAAAAGTGCTCAAGCGATGTAGCCCTGATACAGCAGCACGAAAAAGCCACCCAGAGATATGGAGAGGGTCGTGCGAGCCCTTCATCAGCGCACGCATGTCTCTGTAATGATTGTTGGGGAAGCGTGCTGCCCGTCCGCTGCCCGCGACCAGCGTGGGTGCAATAGGGAAGCGGATTGCAGTCCTTGCGACCCAGATAGCAGCCCTCACCCACCACCGGGTATGTGAGCCAGAGCGCATTGAGCAAATCTCCCCTGACCCCAAGAGCAGCAGGAGTAAACAACACCCAGGCTGATAAGAGATGGATGCCGATGATAGCCAAAGAGCAACGAACAATCGCTGGGTGGCTTTCCTACAGCACATGGACAAGGGACGGCCCAAGCGCCCACAGGGCTCCAGATAACGTACCTGTTGAAGAGGAAAAAGAATAGACTGGTGCGAGTGGACGAGGCTTGGTGTTGTTACAGGGGTTTCCGCTGAAAGGCTTGACGAATGCAGGGAGCGCCGGGGTTAGAAAAGTTGGTATGCAGATACAGAAGAGAAAAGTTGGGAGAGGAACCAGCAGCCAGACGCCCGCTGGGTCTGCTCTTTTATACGCATCTGGCGGCTCCTCCTCCTCCTCTCCTTGGCAGCCCCTGGCATTGCGCTCAGGCTGCACTCTTTGCTCTCATGCAATGTCGCTGCATGATTGGGTCTATTCACTAAGAGGCCGGGCAGCAGCACCACCAGGGACAAACGTGCTTTTTGTTTTTTCAAATGGTCGCAAGACCTTGCAAAGCTGCCCGCTGATTCGCTGCTATTCTCACTGGCGGGCTGAGCGCCTCTGGCCGATCCAGTTCCCAAAACGAACCGTTTATTTATAGGTCCTGGGAATTCCAATTAAAGCACAAGCAGTAGAATGAGCGCATATTTTGGAGTGCTGGTCCTATTTCTGTTGGTCCGCGGGCGGCTCTGGCTCTGGCGCCGAGCCAACATGCGACTCGATCTGCTCCAGCAGCTTGGCCGTCGGCGTGCCTGTTCCGGAACCGGATCCGCACTGGCGCCTTGAGCCTCTGGTTGACAACGGCGTTGAGGTACTCGGTCGACTCGTCGACGATCTTGCGCATCTGGTACTATACGTCAACGGGGGAAGCAGAGCGTCTGTGAGAAAAAATGCCGTCACTTTCACGGTTGCACAAATCGGCGCCTTGCAAACACTTACCGGCTTGATGCCCTCGTCCTTCGTGCTGGCAGTAATCTTGTAGCAGCACACAACGCTTTTCAGGTTGAACGACACAATCACCTATCGTGCACCCATCCATCGATTAGCAACAGCGGATTGTGTCCAGAAATAGTACAGCATTCTCTCTACTCACATCGGTAATCTCCCAATACAGCAGCGACAGCTGGCGCAACAGGCAGCTGGTCCGACGACAGGTGGTGCTCCTAGGATCCGCAGAATGTGCTTGCGCAGCGCCAGCTGCCGGCGGGTTTGCACCTCCTCGTCGAACGAGTCCGATTTTGCACTGACCCGTTTCAGGTCGCCGGCGGCCGTCTGCTTGTTGTCCTCGAGCTGCCGCTCCATGCGCCTGGTCTCGCGCTTACGCAGCCGGCCCGTAAAGAACTTTTGGTATTTGCCGGGAATGTCAAAGTGGTCGAGGACCAGCTGCTTGCGCTGCAACGACCGTGTGAGCTCGGCGATTTCTGGGCTTGGTTTCTTGGCTGCATAGCTGCGCACATTCTGCAGCAGCATTCTGGGGATGATTCTCCGTGTCGCCAGCATCGTAGGAAGATATTTTGGAGCAAGGAAGGCTGGTGTCAAACATGTCGCCGCAACTCGTCGGCTGGGCCGGGCACGATAATTGAATCACCTGATTACCGACGTCGCCCAGACTTGTGGGTGCGCTCGAACAATATCGTCGTATGCCGCATTGTGGGTGGGGGTAGCCATGTGGCCGCCGATGCTAGAGCCTGGTCCGCGACGATTGGAATGTGTATTGACAAATAGCTGAGGTGAGAGTGGAAGATGCGATATTACGCGAACCGTGCTTGTCAGAACCCTGCCTCAGCCTCCTCGTCCAGCTTTGTGTCTGGGTTATACCAGTTGCCCACCGGCACATTGCACCAAAAGTTCTCCTCGTTGAGCAGGATGGAAGCCGCATTGTACATGGCTGTCAATCCGCAGAAGAACCCAAACCACCCGCCCGCCTTGGTGATTCTCTCGTTGTTGGTCCATGTGCCCGCACAGCCAAAGTCCAGCTGCAGATTCAACGTCACAAACATGAGAATATTGACAAAGTGCGATTTGACGTTGCCTGCCAGCAAAATTAGCACCCAGATGCTCCATGCAAGCCCAACGATACCATTCTGGCGACGCGCAACCCGCGGCGACTCATTGGCCTGGTAGTCGATGACGCCGATCCCTGGCACCATGCCAAGGCCTTTGGCAAGCCACGACGAGCCAAATGAAGAGAACGCAGCGCCTTCGAACGTGTCGCCGTTGGCGATCTGCCAGAGCCCTGCAAAGAGCTGCGCAATGCCGGCAACAGCAATGGCCTGGCCAGTCATGCCGCGTGTACCGCGGCCGTATCCTACCGACATTCCCTGCTACCATCATTGACTCCTGGACAGTGCATATGCCGAAGGTGATCAGGCCCAGGGCTGCAGCATTGCCGAAGCGACGGAACTGAGGAGGTGGTGCGATGATCTGGATCTGACCAGGCATGCCTACATCTTGGCCGTAGGGGAAGCCGCCATAGTCGGGCATCCCAGGCGGCTGTATGCCCTTTTCCTCGATAGGGCTGCTGTGAATGATTTGGGATGTGTTGCTGGGTAATGCAGACATGCTGTTTGCGGATAGGTATATAGACAATGGTGTTACAGAGGAAACAGCAGCGAGAACGTCAGTACAGGAGCATCGAGAGAATCAGAAGAAGCTAGAGGCTGATGCGTTGCCGTTTATGCTGCTCAGTGTCTCTCTCCAGGGGACTTGAGCACGCGACCAGTGCTCTAGACATGATCGCATAGGTGTGGCTAGACAACAGGCTATAGCCCTGCCTGCCGCTCTCCACATCAGCCTCCCCCCGCAGACATGCTTTGAATATTTCCAGCCAATATACGGCAGCCCACGATCAGTGATCTGGAAATTATGCGACTGCTGATCAGCGGTGATGGCCACATTCTCAGCTCCTCGCTGGCTGGTTAACAAAACAAACACGCTTTTCTTGCTTGCTTGCCATTCCGCATTCTGCCTTTTCAATCCTCTCACACGCATACACAATCTACCGCCAGCTTCCAATGGGACTTGTATTATCGGGTCAGGGTGAGAAGGGCTCACCGCTACTGACATTCGCGCGGCGGTACAGCCAATACCTGAGCTACCCGCTGCTGCTCGTCGGGCTTCTCTGGCTTCTGGCGCTGCCGCTGGAGAATATGGCGCGTCGAGCGTACTTTTCAGAGAACGCCATGATGCCAGCACAAGCCGACACCGGGTTCGGCTCCCAAAGCGACACGCAGGCGATGAGCCAGATTGACAGGCGCGATGCTGGCACACATGCATATCGACGACAGTTAGCGAGCGGCAAGCGCAGGCGGTCAGCTCGGTGTTTGACGATCTGGGTCTTGATACACAGATCCACCGATTCGAATACGACGAGGTCCAGGGCGTCGGAAACCACCGTGGCATCAACGTGCACGGGATCCTGAGGGCACCGCGGAGCGACGGCGTTGAAGCACTGCTGCTTGCGGCGTCCTGGCGCACATCTGACAACCAGACGAACCTGAACGCGGTGCGGCTGATGGCAGGGTATGGCAAAGTATGCACAGGAGCAGGTGTACTGGGCCAAAGACGTCATCCTGGTAGTCACCGATGCAGGCGAGATTGGTATCGAAAAGTGGCTGCGCGCTTACCACGGCAAGGAGCCCGGCCTGTTTGTGCGGAGCGGGATTATTCAGGCTGCCTATGAGTCTGGAGCTGCCGCCAGCGACAAAATACAGGGGCATGGGGCTGTACTTTGAGGGCAAGACAGGCCAGTTGCCGAATCTCGATTTCATCAACATCGTACAGACCATCTCGTCGATCGAGCGCATGCCAGCGATTCCTCCATGGCCAAAAGACAGTTGATGACCAGAGCTGGTGGGACGGCTATGTCCGCGCTGCCTAAGCTGCTGCTGGGCCAGATTTCGGCCCAGGCCATTCGGGTCTTCGGTCGGCGTACACGCGCCGTTCCTTCGCTACCGCATCGATGCGCTGACCTTGTCAGGCATTGTCGATGAGCACGATAAGATCGACGAATCAGCTGGAGTCCCGCGCATGCCGTATCCATGGGTGATGCACAATCTTGGGCGGACGCTGGAGTCGACGCTGCGTAGCCTCAACAACCTGCTGGAGCATTTCCACCAGTCGTTCTTTTTCTACATTCTGCCCGCCAACAGACGCTACATCTCGATTGGCGACTATATCCCGGCGGTTGGCCTGATGGTGGCCAGTCTGCTGGTACAGGCTATGCATCCTATGGTGGATGCAGGGCACTGGACGCGATGCGCGACGAGAGCCCGCGCACACGTATCCCGCGGATCAACACATACTATGGCTTCCTTGCGCACATCGCTGGCCTACGAGCATGGCAACGATTCTGCGGGTGCATGCTGTGGGCGCCGTCCTGTTCCTGGTGCCGTTGGTGGTACCTGTGTCGATGATCCGACACACGACATCAACAGCATACGTGTTTACCATGGCTCTGGCGTCGTCGTCCATGGTGCTTCATATCTCTGACTATATTCAAGGAAAACAACACGCGTGTGGACTGGCGCCAGCTCAAGGCACTTGTCGAGCTGTACGTAGCCGTGGTCGTGGGAAGTCTGTCGGTGATGAACTTTAGTCTGGCATTGGTTGTGTTTGTAACCACTGGCCTCCCGCTGCTGCTGACGCGGTCGGTTGGCAGCCATTCAAAGGCAGTGCGGATTGCGACATTGCTGGTCCTGATGGCTGTATCACCTGTCAGCGTTTTGACGCTGGCACGCACGCACCTCGGTGCGCACAGCGTGTGGATGAGCCCGTTCAGAATATTCCTCTCGGACTTCCACCACTACTCGAGTCTAGTGTACCCTCTTTTGTGTCTTGTCTACTGGCCTGTCAACCTGCTATGCATGGTCGTTAGTATGTTGCCCTAGAATCAGTAGTAGTAGTAGGACAAGTTTTTCCTCGGCTATTCCCACGGCTTGATTGCAGCTATTCGGTGTTCTCACGGCGGACAAATTTTCTAGCTCGTGTAGCCGCAGTCTGCTCCCTAGTTTGTTACGTCAGGCGCTTATTGGACTACAGTGCCAGTCAGCGCGGACTGGCAATTTTCTCTTTTATTCCTAGTAATTAAATGGAACCTGCCTGCCGGAAAAGCACCCTCAAGGGTGCGTGCAGGCGCTGACATCCCGCAGCTAATAAAGGAAACGGGCTGTGGTCCATGGGCTCTCTTTCCTTGGTTTGGATCCTCGTCATATCTCTTGTTTCCGCTAGCTACACTTTTCGTTTGCGTTTGCGTTTGCGTTTTATTCTTTTCGTTTTCGTTTTCGTTTTCGTTTTATTTTCGTTTTCTTTTCTTCCACTATGGCGGTCAGACAAGCACTGCAGATAACCTGTGTTGACGCTCTGCCTGCTCAGGTCCAGCAGCAGTTGTGCATGCTGCCGACAACGAAGCCTCCTCGGCCAAGAAGCCATTGGATATCCGTCTCTTCCACTCGCTCAACCGGGCCAGCGCAGCAGTGGTCTCCCCCGACTCCACCAAGGCGCTATTCACGCAATCGCACTACAACCAAGACGAGAACAAGTCGGCCACCTTTATCAATCTGCTGGATCTGGCCTCGGGCAACATCACTCGGCTGACCGAGGATGCGATCGGCAGCTCGTTCACCAGCCCGCTGTGGTTTGACGATACCTCGTTCGGGTATATACACAAGAACGTGCTCTACCAGCAGCCGCTGCAGGAGGGGGCCAACGCGACCGAGGTTTTTGCACCGCCCATTGACATCTCTTCGGTCAAGTACTTGAAGGAGTCTGGTTTGCTGGCGTTCATCGCCGACGTATACCCAGACTGTGCCCTGCACAAGACCCGCGAGCTGCAGGATGCTGAGAAGCACAAGATTGACTCGGCCCAGATCTATGATAACCTGTGGCCGCGGCACTGGAACGAGTGGATGGGTCTGCGCAAATCTACACTGTTTGTCGCTCCCCTGACACGTCCGGGCAGCACCGACGAGCGGCTGGCGTGGGTGGTTGGCAACGAGACCAACCTGATGCACGGTCTGCCAGCCTACCACGACCCGATGATCCGCTGGAGCGTCGACGAATATACAGTGGACACAGCCGGGTCGCGGGCCGCCTTTGTCACACGCAAGCCAAAACATGACATGACTTCGTCTACCGACGTCGATGTTTATGTAGTCGATACCTCTGGCAGCAGTCTGCAGCTTCTGACTGGCAATGTCGACGGCATGGCCAGCGGACCAACATTCTCGCAGGACGGCCAGCTGCTTGCCTGGCTGCAGATGGAGACGGGTGGGTATGAAGCCGATATCAACCGCATCTACATACATAATCTGGCCAAGAACGAGACCACGTCAATTGCCCGCGACTGGGATCTGACTCCCAGCTCGCTGCTGTGGTCGAGCGATGCGCGTACCCTGTTTGCCATCGTCGGCGATAAAGGCCACAACGTTGTCTATACCATCGACGTTGCCACTGGCCAGCGCAATAAGCTGACTGAGCGTGGCACGGCGGGCGGCCTGAGGCGGCTGTCTCAGGACAAGCTGCTGCTGACTCACGGCGATACTAACAAGTGCACCAACATCCATGTCCTCGACACATCCTCCAAGGAGCTGAGGCAGCTCACTGATGTGAACCAGGACAAGCTGCGCGATGTGTATGTTGGCGACGCCGAAGATTTCTGGTTCTCCGGTGCCCGTGGTGACAAGGTGCACGGCTGGCTGGTCAAACCACACAACTTTGACCCGTCCAAGAAATACCCGGTTGCTTATCTGGTCCACGGCGGCCCGCAGCAGGCCAACCTGCATACCTTTAGCTATGCCCAATGGAACCCCAACATGTATGCCAGCGCCTGGCTTTGTCGCTGTCCAAGTCAACTTCCACGGCTCGCCGACATACGGCCAGAATTTCACCGACTCCATCCGCTTGCAGTGGGGCGGATACCCGTACGAGGACCTGATGAAGGGCCTAGACTACCTGATCCAGCACTACGATTTTGTCGACAAGGATCGCATGGTGGCCCTTGGGGCCTCGTACGGCGGGTACATGATGAACTGGTTCAATGGCCATACCCGGCGCTTCAAGGCCCTGGTCAACCATGACGGCATGTTCTCCGCGCCCATGTTCTGGTACTCGACTGAGGAGCTGTGGTTCCCCGAGCATGACTTCAACGGCGTGCCCTACAAGCGATCGGACCGTGCAATGTACGAAAAGTGGAACCCAGAGCGTTTTGCTGACCAGTTCCAGACCCCGACGCTGTTCATTCAGGGCGAGAAGGACTTTAGACTGACTGTCGACAACTCGATCGGGCCGTTCACGCTTCTCAGACACAAGGGTGTTGCTGCCCGTCTGATGTACTTCCCTGACGAGGACCACTGGACCAACCATAATGGCAACTCGGTGCGCTGGTATACTGAAGTGCTGCGCTGGATCAGCGAGCACACCAACAATACACTGCCATACGAGCTCGAGCTGTAGTGCTGTACCTTTACATGCTGTTTGTTTTAAACCCTTGATATCACTAACTGTGTTCAATCGAGAATAGACTTGATACAACCCAAACCATTAGACCACCAGCCGGGCATACCAGCTGAACTTAGCACGGCAGGCCGATCGAGAAGGTGGTGTGGTTTTCCAACATCAAATCGATCTTGAACCAACACAGGTTGCATCTGGCAGCTGGTTTGTGCGCTGCCATGAACGATAACTACACTGGTCCGTTCCTGCTTCCATATGTGCTCTTTGTTTTTGGCCTCACATCACCACTATCGAGCGATTTTAAAACTCCAATTCTTCAGCAGATGCATTCTCGGATCTGGAACTGACACACGCACGCCAGACATGACCGCCAACGCAGTGAACTTTTGTGGGGCTATCTGGGTCAGCTACAGAGGTTTAGAGTCCATCAATCTTATATATCCCTGTGTAGCTGTCAACTGCTCGGCAAGAGAATATGCAGGCAAGTTAGGCTGCTAGTTTCTAGACTTGCAGCACTGGGTGAAGTGATCATTGGCCGATATCACGCACCAGGCGCATCTTGACACGCAAATATATTCATTGCTCATGCTAGCCATAGCGTTGGGATATGCTTTTCTGCTCTTGGAACAATTGTTTCATTGCTGATGCCACTGTGCCAAGAGTACTGGCTAGAAGCGATGCTGCTTTGACGTTGGATCGTGCTTGGACTCTTCCTTGAGCTGAGCAAGTGCATGCTTTCTAACAAACACATCCTGACAGTAGCGATTGGACTTTACAGAAATCTGATAATCGCAAAATTGTGTGGGCTTGTACTGTCTAACCCAGGAACCTGAGGGCTACTTTATGATCTTGAACGGATGAGCTTCGGTGTTTAGCACATACTCATCGAGTGAGATGAGGTTGGGCGGACTAAACAGCAGATACAGATACTTCAGTGTCTCGGCCAGGAAGAACGACTCCATCGAGTCTTCCCAGTTGGATTCCTGAACCAACCTTTCGCCGACGTTGCGCACTGCTGCGTATCCGTAGGGTGTGCGAGCGTATTTCTCGATGGCCATGAAGATGTTCCATCCCCACTCGCGATACTTGTCGTCGCCAGTAATCCGGTAGAGCACAAAGATGCTCTCGAGAGTCTCCGGGCGCAGGATGTAGCGGGGGTCACTGGGCCAGGAAAGGCTGATCGCGACCATCAGGCGATTGAGCGGGGGCAAACATGAACTTTTTCGGGACCCAGCCCGGTCGGCATATTGCGGTATGACAGGTAGCATGTCTCGGTGATCTCCTCAGCCAGCCGGAGGTCCTCAGGACGGTCAAGCACACGCGCCCCCAATGCCAACAGGCCTGGGTAGAAGCATGTGAGGTGCTGCATTTCTTGCACAAACAGCGACTCGTTGTAATCCCAGTGGCCAATGTACTTCATGCCCCAGGCGGTCCTCACCAGCTTCTCCTTGACGGCCTCCGACGATGTCACGTACCAGTCCTTGTACTTTTGCTCGCGCTTGCCGTTGAGAATATACTGCTTCAGCTGGTACTCATAGAAGCTGTCGGCCATGGCGCCGACAGACAGCGCCGTGTTGTTAACGTACTGGCCACTGTGGATATCGATATATGTCGGATACAGGCCCTTGTACTTGCGCTGTCCATTCTCTAGCGCATTGCTAGCACGCTCCGCCATCCTGCGGTATGTGTCGTTTCCGGTCAGCTGTGCCAGCTTCTGGTACTCGAGCTGCATGGTGCCACCTTCTGCAATGCACAGCAGCGTGCTGCCGCTCAGCAATCGATTGTTGATGTCCAGCCGCGACGCTGGCAGGCCCGTTGGCGTATCATACGCCCACAGCAAAACATCGCCGACCTCGGTCGCCTTCTTCAGCAGCATGGGGTCGTTGTCAAGCTCGTAGGCACCCAGCAACCCGCCTAGCGCGCGAATGGTCATCTCAAACACCTGCATCTGGAAGTCCAGGCTCGGTCTTGTGGAAGTCCAGTTCGCTGACAAACCGCTTTGCCTCGCTGTACTCTTCGTCAAGGCCCATCAGCTTCAGCGTGTCGAGCGCGTCAACCAGCGTAATGCCCCACCCGCCCCACTTTGAGTTGAACGTGCGCGTCAATGGCTGGAACTCGTCGTGACCAAAGGCAAATTGTCGGTAGCCGCTCCACGCGTGCTTCATGGCGTCGCGCACGGCTTGCTGGCGCTCATAGTTGACCCGCGAGTGTCCCGACCTGAGCATGTCGGACCTTAGTATGCCGTAAATGTTTAGCAGGTAGACAGTGCCAACAATGGCGCCGACCGAGAAGAACATCTTCCGCAGACTGACCCGCATTAGCATATTGTACAAGTAATGAAAGGCGTAGAAAATGAGAGTGGGCTATGAAATTTTGGAGGTAAGAAAAAGGGCTGAGGTTGATAGCAGAGAAGGAAAGGCAGGGCTACGCCGTTGCGTTTAATACCTGGCACTGAGAAAGGGGATGCGATCGTCGCTCAGGTGCTGCATCAACTGGCTGCCTGCCTGCAGAGATCTCCCACAATGCCCTCAGTCTGCAAATGGGACTGCTGGCTGGAAATCGGGCTGGGATATCAAAATCAAAGGCGTGCTGAACAAGGGGATTTGTGGCGAAGGCTCTAATAAAAAACGAGACACGGAAACGCTAGAACTCGGCGTACTCTGCTGGCATAGCCATAACGCCATGGTCGTCAAAGTGCCTGACCCACATCGACCATTGCAGCTTGGCAACCAGCTTGTTGCGCACATCGATCCATGGTCTTCCATTCGCTGACCGTTGCGTCAGTCAGGGCTGTTGTGTTGAGCCATTCGACCACCGGCTTCAGCGCCCGGGCATACTGCTGCTTGGTTGAGTACAGCGGAACCACCGCAGCCATCAGATACTCGATGTTCTGCGAGTCATCGCCAGCCCAGCGCGTCAGCTCCTTGACCGCGGCCTCGTAGCTCGCAAGCTTGCGCTCGTCCTCCTCCTCAGCAGCAAGGATCGACAAACTCGCCGCCATCGGATCCGCCCGACGACACGTTTGCAGTGGGCACAGCCAGAACAGCCAGCGCACGGCATTTGGCAGTCAGCGCACTGACCAGCAGCTTCTTGGCCTTCTCAGCCTTGGTGCGGCTCCTCCTTATCGCTGTTGTCTTCGGCCGGCTTGCCGTAGAGCGTGGATGCGAGCTCGGAAGTATTGGTGTGCGCAACGATGCGGTCAGCCAGCTCAACAATCTGCAGGGCGGTCTCCTGCGTGATCTTGCTCGTGGCCTCGTTAGTCGGCAGTGTCCTGCGCGCGCAGTCCAGCGACTCCAGCTGCGCAGGCAAGCACCTGCGTGTCGTTGGCTTGCTCAGCCTCGAGCTGCCTGATCAGCTCGGTGCGTACGTCGGGGTCCTGGGCCTTCTTGACCCACTCGATCTTCAGATTGCGCATCGCCTCCTGCATCGCCTTGCGGTCCTTGTCAGCCTGCGATTCCTCGGCTTCCTTTTTCTTGGAATCGCCTTGCTTCTTGCTGCTGCTCTTGGTGGAAGACTCGTCTGGCTGCTTCTCCTCGTTGGCTTTGCTGGGCACGACGTACTCGAGCAGCAGGTCAGCTGTGTTTGGGCTGGCCGACAGAGATCCGCGCAGGATATCACCAGGCACAGTATCCTTGGGCGGGTTCACGGCAAAGGTCTTGAGAAACACGGGCATGATGTTGTTGAGCTGAATCGACTTGCTCGAGTTGCGCACATTGCTCACGGTCTTTGTGAATACCGACGCCAGAGCAAACTCGACCGGAATCGACACTTTGGGGGTCAGCGACGTCTCAATAATCAGCGGCACCTGCTTCAGCGCCTCCTAGGTCCTTGGCACTGCGGTGGCGGATCTGGACCCGAATCAGATAGTCGCCCTTGCGTCGCAGCGTGATCGGCCTTGGGTATCCGAAATGTGCGCCCACGCGCTGCTTTTTGGCGTCAAACACAAGCAGGGCCACGTTGTCCGTCCATGCCTCGTAGATCAGCGAGTCGATTCCGGTCAGGCGCGGCGTGATCGAGACGCCGTTGGCGGAGGTCGAGTACTTGTAGTCCAGTATCAGCTGCTGGATGGCCGTGCCTGCCTCGGGATGCGTGTCGCGCTCAAGCGTCAGGGGCGTGATTGAGGAGACGGCTGGGCGCAAGGCACGCCGCAAAGTGTCCAGGGTCGCAGTCACCTTGATGCCGTACTCTGGCCGCACAGCCGCGACCAGGTCGACGCGGGACACGGGCTGGTTCCCGTTGAGCACGATGCCAGGCAAAGGCGCTGTCATTCTTGAGGCCCGTCAGCGCCGGCGTGCCGCTGCCATGCACGGTGATGCCCGAGAACGTGACAGTGACATCGAACCTCGTGGGTGTCCAGCTGGCTCCAGAACGGCGCCATGCACACCTCCAGGGTGCATCCGCCCAGAACCTTCATGGTCTTGGTGTAGCTCTGCTCGGCCAGGCCGCCGTTCTCGGCGTAGGTCGAGTGGCCGATGGTGACGTGGGTGTTGAGCTCATACTGTGTGAACCGGGTCTGCGGCGCCAGCTGCACTGCGTGCAGGTAGAAGGTGGCCTGGTGCCGCGCCATTGGCTAGGGCATTGGGTGCCCGAATCACAAACTTGGCCTGGGTCGCACCGCGGGGCACATCAATGAACCGCCGCACAACCTCAGTGGGCTGGAACCGCAGCGCCGGGAACCGCACGCACCCGGAGGCGCCGACTTCGCTGGGCTTGGTGATGGTCACGGGGATGCGGAAGATGGCTCCCCGGTCGACGTTGCGCGAGTCGAAGCCCAGAATCTCGGCTACATGGAGTCTACCGCGCTCGAGGCTGGTTGGGTCCACGCGCGCGTCAAACGATCGGCCCTCGCTGCTAACATAGACAGCCTCAGGCACCTTGATCCACGACTCGGACGTGGACAGAATCACGCGCTGCTCGTACTCAAACTTGAGCTGGCTCTCAAGCTCGACCCCACTGCCCACTGGCGTCGTTGTCCAGTCATGGCCCGCAAGTCCTTGGGGAACACCGGCGACACGTTGATGGAGAAGATGCGCGGGCTAGCGCTCTCGTGGTGGTCGCGCATGTAGATGCCCCGCGCATTGACCTTGGCTCGAGATACTGACCTCGTACTCGACATCCTCGAAGCTGCGCTCACGGTACTTTTTCAGGAACGCCCATGCAGCATCCACCTGCACCAGCCCAGCCTGCAAGCTCATCCCCAAACTGCTTGGCGGTGGCCATCATGGCATTCTTGATGCGGTACGGGCTGACCTTTGGCTCGCCCTCTTTGCCAAACTCGTGCTTCCACGCAGACACCAGCAGCGCCAGGCACCCACACAGGTTGGGCGAGCTCATGCTGGTGCCGTTGGCCAGGTGCAGCCGCTGGAGAGTGTACGTCGGGTAGCTTGTGATGGCCGAGCCAGGCGCGTAGATGTCGACGCCGCGCGATCCGTCAGCCGTCGGCCCACGCGAGCTCCATGTGAACACTGTGTCCTTAACAGTGTCATACATGGTGTACTCAGCCTTGATCTGCTCGTAGCCGACGTAGGCGCCGACGCCGATAATGTCGTCGCTGGCTCCGCCAGGTGCACCGGCAGTCGACAGTGCTGGGCCCTCATTGCCAGCAGACGACACAAAGATGCAGCGATGCTTCTTGATGACCTCCTTGCGCAGCAGCTGCACCCACTGGCCGCTGTTGGCTGTGGCGCTGGGCTCGCCGTAGCTCATGTTGGCCAGATCAGCGCCGTGCTCGATGATAGCATTGGCAGCACGCGTCAGGCCCGTCCCGGTCTCCAGCGATGACACGCGGTGGTCGCCGATCATCAGCGAGAGCAGCTGGGCACCGGGTGCGACGCCGTCGTTCTGTGGCTCGTCTGGGTGGTGCGCCCCGATAATACCTGCGACATGCGTCGAGTGTGAGCCGACATTAGCGACAATGCTCAGCACCTTGCCTTCCTCGTAAAAGTTGAGCGTGTAATAGAACAGGTTGCGCTTGGCCAGCTTGCCGATATCGCCTGTCAGCTTGTATGCCCCCAGGGCCTCCACGCCAGTGAAGTCGCCCGTCTCCTGCGTGTCGATCGCTGCGCGCCACTGCTTGCCATCATGGAACACGAGGATATCCAGAACCGGTCCGGGGTCCTCATACTTGGCACCAAAGTCCTTGAGGACTTCACGCTGCGCCTCTAGCTCGTGCTTCAGCTCTGCATCCTCGTCCTTGGGTGGTCTTGATGTCGCTAATCCGCGTGGCAATGCTGTCAGCCAGAATCTGCGTGCCCTTAGCGGAACACTGCCTGCCGCTCCTTCTTGATATCCTCCTTCAGAATATCCGGCGTGATCTCGTACAGCCGCTTCGCGCCGACGCGCCACTCGCCAGTCGGGTTCTTCCATTTGCTGTTGACCTTGAGCTTGCGGCCAGTGGCTCCGACCAATTCGTCAGCGTTGGTCCTTGGTGCTTGCAGGCGTACGTCGCCAGAGCCAGTGCAGTCGACGTAATCCAGCACCTTGCGCTTGCCGTCGGTTGTCGTGTGCAGACCCATAGCCATGGGAGCAATGCCGGTATCGAGCACGGCCACAATGGTTCCACGGCCATCGTAGTGGGGGTGCTTACGCACAAAGTCGCCTGCCTGCGTATCAGCACGCGGCAGCAGCCCATGGGTCGGGAACTGCGTGTGGGGGGTCTTGTTGCCGCTCATTCTGATAAAAATAATAAGGATATGAAGGCTGTAGTCTAATAGCACAAACACAGAGGGAATTGGAAGGAATAAATGCCAGGTGTTAGTAGTCAGCGATAGGTAGGGAGAAGAAGAAGAGGTAGATTTTTTTGCACAGCCAAAGAGGGAGTGGCAAAAAACGTGGGAGTGGCTGCTAATGTGGCAGATCCTCGGTTTACGCTTTCCTTCTCTGAACGCAATGCCACGCAGCAGCCTCGTCAGGCCAAGCAGAACAATCCTGCCTGTATGCACATCGCTGCTGCAAAGGTGCTGCTGCGGGCAGCCAGAAAAAGTGCCATCCATTGCATCATCGTCCGCAGGCAGTTCGCTACCAGGCTGCCGTATGTCTGCTGACTGGAGACACCCAGGAGGATCTCTTGCAGCCCCGCCAGAGAAAACCAGCACCACAACTTGCCTTGGTGGAATATATGCGTGGGGAGAGCAAACGACAAGAAAAAGAGAAGTATTCGCTAAAGTATAGGAAAAAGTAACGGAGAGCAGAGGAGAAGAAAACCAGCTTTGGTTCGGAGCACCCCGCAAAATCTACTCGATCTTTTTCGGTGCCCGCAGCTTCCTCTCAGCAGCTACATGTTTTCGTGTTCGATTGCGTGCCAAACAGCCTCTGAAGGCTCGGCTCCGTTTTGCGATTGCGTAATTTCCCGGCCGTTTTGGCAGCTCCTCTCATGGAGTCGACTGAGTGATCACTGCTGCGAAACCGTGAGAGCCGGGCCCGGGACCATCCCCCCTGGCGCCATCCTGCAATCTAGCTGACTCTCCCTCCTTTTTCCTCAATTGGAGTGAATGCAATGCACGCCGATATAAATGGCGGGAAAGCGGGATGCGCTTCCCACATGTCTGAGCTGCATGTCGCACATACGAATCGCTGCGCAACAGGTTTTCTTTCGTGTTACCATCCCTCAGATTCAACCCCTGAGTATGCGACACCACCTTTTTTTTTTTCAAAATGGGAGAACGTATATTCGAGAATAAGGGGATGAGGAGAGAGTTATAAAACGGAGAGGGTGGTGGATAGACGGGGACTGGGTGCGAAGATGAGGGCGTTTAGAGGAGAAAATCTACATAGGGTAAAAGTGGGTAAAGAACTGAGACCTGGGAGAGAGCGGCAGAGTCCCCTAAATTCATCAGTACGCCATGCCGACATTGGGCTGGCGAGGCTCTGTCTTGGGAAGGTCAAACATGTCGTCGCTGCTGTCATCAAGGGATGCGCCGACCTGTGCCATCATGATCCGGAGCTTGTCCTGCTACAGGAAAAGAGAAAAAAAACCACCAGGTGCCGCTTAGTGCTCAAGCCCTGGATGCTAGCATGAACGTGCCGGATTTTGCATGGCTGCTACTTACGTTGTGTGTGCTAGGGTACTCGCCCTGCTGGACCTGGCCGATGCCCAGGTGTCCCGTATGCTACAATGGAAACCATGGCGGCGTATTGTGCGACATGTTAGTTTTGGAGTCAGCTGGACACGCGGCGGCGCTCCCGCCTCTGGTGCTTGCCAACGCTCCCTCTAACCGGCGAGGGAGGACGTTCTCTTAAAAAAAACTTACAACGAAATTTGTCGGGACGCCAATCATTGCCTTCGTGACACGGCGGCCGCTGTTCACACGCCGCGTTCCGTAGTCCTGCTGCTCGACCTCGCCAAAGCACGACGAAAAAAGACCCATGGTTTTAGAAGTACAGATAGTGGAAAGAATGAAAAAGAGGCTCGCTCAACGAAGTGTTCGTAAAATAAAGCGATGGAAAATTTTTTGTTGCTGGGAAAGAGGGATAGAGTGCGAAAAGTGGATTCTTGAAAAGCGGGAACAGGAAGGAGCAACGAGAGAAAGCAGAGACAAAAAAGAAGGGCGCCAGAGAAAAGATGGAGACGGGGTAGAGCGCACACAAAGCCTTTTTGTTTTCGAAATATAACGGGCTGTTTATTTATTTTCTTCGCAGTCGGGGCGTGGAGAGATGAGCCCACTCGCCTGTGCTCTGTGCCGGGGGACCAAAAACTTGTGCAGTGGTGTAACAGCCCTTGCCAATTGTGCCGGTGGCCACACACCAGTCATTCCCGCAACCTGGACACAAACCTGAGTCTATTCCTTTCGCGTCCGAAAGCTAGTGTTAGAGCGCCAGCTACCATTCACCCCCTCCCAAACCGACGCCGTGCCAAGCTCCACAAGCCCATCGACTGCGCTAATGAGGAGAATGTGCCGGGCGGTCTGGACCGGCTTGCTGCATTCGGCTGATCGACACTTGATTTCGTTCGATTGTTTCTTGCCGGTCTGGCTGGCGTTTGGCGTGCGCGTGCTTGTTCAAAAAGAACGGCCACAGCCATTCTCCCCCTTTTTTTACGTAAACACTCTTCAATGTGCCGTAGATCCACCCTTCTACAAGTAGAAGATGCAGTGTGGCATATACCGCAGATATGCCACCTGCAATCACCCCCGACAACCATAAATTGCCATCATGGCATCAATCGCTATAAATACCAGCCAGTGAAAAAAACCCCCCAGCAGGCAGCACTGATAGCCCCGTATTATTTCCTCAATACCTGTACCAGCGAACAATGAACTTTTCCAGCGCACGAAAGCGATTGACAGAGCCGGACAACCCAGACAAGAAGCAGGACGGTAGCAGCACACCGGCACCGTATATTGATCCGTTCTCCAAGTCGCACACACCTCTGGCCGCAGCTTCGTCAAAGACGCCAGCCGGCAGCGACCAGCTGCTGCGTGCCAGATCCTCCTGCAGCGGCCCGCTTTCGGTTGAAGAAGCCCTCCGGCTGAAGAACCAGCAGACCAGCAACGGTGAAGCCTCAAAGCCCGTATTTCTAACCAAGGCGCAGCGGGCACAATTGGCATTGGAGCGCAAACAGCAGGAGGCCGATGCAATGCGGGAGCAGCGTGCAGCTGCAGTACACGCGTTCAGAAATCAAGCAGATAGAGAGGATGGCGAGGCGGCAGAGACATGCAGCGATGACAATAGGCGGCGTGACCGGCATAATAGAGACAATGGGCGGACCAGGGAGCAGCAGCAGCATCGAGGGCGCAGCCGTAGCCCCAGTCGCCGAGACCGGGACCGGGACCGGGACCGGTACTACGACCGTGACAGTGACAGATACTACGACAGATACCGCCCTGGAAGCCGTCGCAGGACTTCGCGGTCAAGGTCGCCGCCTCGTAGAGACACTAGAGACACCTTGCACAGAGACAAGAGGGGAGGAGGGCACGAGCAGATCAGCGAGTTCAAATTTATCGGCAAGGCCAGCACGGACGGCACTGGAGACCGTGTGCTGACGGACAAGGAGCGGGAGATGATCAAGCAGCGGTATCTGTCGGGCGACCACGCATCGCGTTCCGGACGCAAGCAGACGAGCCGCAAGGTTGTGTTCGATTGGGATACAAGTGAGGATACGTCACGCGACATCAGCGATCTTTACGAGCGCCGACACGAGCTGCAGCTGTTCGGTCGCGGGCACAACCAGCAACCCCCGGATCCTCGCGGACCCGGCTCACCAGAGCTCAGTGTATCGTCCGGACAGCCGACGACATCTCTGGACTATCAGAAGCCGATCAGGACCGGCTGGCACGGATGCATGAGCGCAGACAGCGACGGGCGGCCAAGGCTCTGTGGGATGAGCGGCACTGGACCGAGAAGCCATTGAAGGAGATGCGGGACCGCGACTGGCGCATCTTCAAGGAGGATTTTAGCATTTCGTGCAAGGGCGGCAGCATTCCGCACCCGCTGCGGTCGTGGCACGAGAGCCGAATTCCGATACCCATCCTGCGTGCAATCGAGGATATCGGGTACAAGGAGCCAACGCCAATCCAGCGCCAGGCCATCCCGGTCGGGCTACAGAACCGCGATCTGATTGGAATCGCCGAGACAGGCAGTGGCAAAACAGCGTCGTTTCTGATCCCGATGCTGGCGTTCATTATGACACGGCCCCCGCTGAGCGAGAAGAACATGGCAGACGGGCCGTATGCGCTGATTCTGGCGCCGACGCGCGAGCTGGCGCAGCAGATTGAGGGGGAGACACACAAGTTTGCCCGGCGGCTCGGATATACGTGTGTGTCCATCGTGGGCGGCCATGACATCGAGCAGCAGGCATTTGCGCTGCGAAATGGCGCAGAGATCATTATTGCAACACCCGGCCGTCTGCGGGACTGCATCGACAGGCGGGTGCTGGTTCTGAACCAGTGCACATATGTGGTCATGGATGAGGCCGACCGCATGATCGACATGGGCTTTGAGGAGGATGTCAACTTTATTCTGGATGCGCTGCCTGTGTCCAACATCAAGCCCGAAGAGGGGGAGGAGGATGCGGATGGCGACGACAGCGGGTTCAAGTACCGCCAAACGACCATGTTCTCAGCCACGATGCCGCCAGTGGTGGAGCGGATGGCGCGCAAGTACCTCCGGACCCCCGCTACAGTCACAATCGGCACAGCCGGCAAGGCTGTCGACACGGTGGAGCAGCGCGTGGAGTTTGTCTCTGGCGAGGAGAAGCGCAAGCACCGTCTGTTGGAGCTGCTCTCGCGGCACCACCACGACCCGCCAATCATTGTCTTTGTCAACCAAAAGAAGAACGTGGATTTGCTGGGCCGTGCGCTGACGCGCTCCAACTACTCGGTAGTGACCCTGCATGGCGGCAAGTCGCAGGAGCAGCGCGAATTGTCTTTGGCCAAGCTCAAGAACCACGAGGCGGATATTCTGGTGGCGACCGATGTGGCGGGCCGCGGAATCGACGTCAAGGACGTCAGCCTGGTGGTGAACTTTGATATGGCCAAGGATATCGAGTCGTACACGCACAGAATTGGCCGAACCGGACGTGCAGGCAAGAGGGGCTTGGCAGTGACGTTCTTGGGTGCGGACGACCGGGATGTGCTGTATGACCTAAAGAAGATGGTTGTGGCATCACCACTGTCCAAGTGCCCGCATGAGCTTGCTAGTCACGAAGCTGCTCAGGCCCCGCCTGCGCTGATGCGGGCAGCTAGAAAGTAGGTCTGGTCATGTGCCCAGGAAAATGGCGTTTGCATTTTTCAGCTTCAAAAAGGCGCGACTTATTTTGACTACCAGCAGCAGAGCTTTAGCTTGCGCTTTTTTATTCTGCTTTCGCTGTGTCTAGTTCAATTTACACTTTTCTTTTTTTTTTTTTTTCGCTCTCCCAATTCAACCTGCTTATATCACTATTTCCACCGTTTCATAAATGACAGACAGTGCCAACGCACAGCGCCAGCGGGCCACTGTAGCCATAGGCGACTATGAGCTTGGCCCGCAAATAGGCCGAGGGTCGTTTGCCACCGTGTATCGTGGAGTCAACAAGGTAAAGAGGGACGCGCACATATGCACGAAGAGTGCCTTTAGGGAGACCCCTTCCCCCGCCCATTACTAAGCAGGCCCTATGGCATACTATTTTAGAAGACAGACACGCTGGTGGCAATAAAGTCGGTGGTCCGGTCTTCGCTAACGCGCCGGCTGTTGGAGAATCTGGAGACAGAAATAAACATCCTGCGGACCGTCAAGCACCCAGGCGTGGTCGAGCTAATCGACTGCCTGAAATCCCGCAACCACATCCACCTGGTGATGGAGTTTTGTTCGCTGGGCGACCTCGCCGGCTACATGCGGCGGCGCAAAGAGCACCCCTCGCTGCGCAACCCCCACGGTGGTCTGAACCAGGCTATTGTGCGGCATTTTGTGGTGCAGTTGGGCGCAGCCATGCGGTATCTGAGATCGCGCGACGTCATCCACAGAGACATCAAGACCCAGAACATCCTGCTGCAGCCGTCGGGCACTACATATGAGGCCGGCGTGTCTGAGGAGATGGGGCAGTACCCGGCAGTGAAGATTGCCGACTTCGGGTTCGCTAGGAATCTGCCAGCAAGTGCGCTGGCGGAGACTCTGTGCGGGTCGCCGCTGTATATGGCACCGGAGATCCTGCACTACGAGCCGTATGATGCCAAGGCAGACCTGTGGTCAATCGGTGCAGTCATCTACGAGATGATGGCAGGCCGGCCGCCATTCCACGCCAGCAACCATGTAGAGCTGGCCAGAGTCATCGAACGCACCAACGACAAGATTGTGTTTCCCGACGAGCGCCTGTCCACCAGCGGCAGCAACGAGAAGGAGCCGCTGGATCCGCAGCTGAAGGAGCTGGTGCGGGGGCTGCTGCGCATGAAGCCGGCGAGCCGCATGAGCTTCGACGAGTTCTTTGCCCATCCAGCTCTGCAGCCATCGGACAACGACGCCACCGAGCCAGCAGTTGGAGTCGAAGCAGAAGTCAGGCTCTCTAGCGTAGACAGCCCAAGGATCCACGCTGCCGACAGAAGCAAATCAGAGGACATCAATGCAGAACCCGTGACTGATGGCTTTCACAGACGACATACACTGCCAGACCTCACTACAGAAGACGCTCTAGCCGGCGCCCTGCATGCAATGGAGCTGCAGAGTGAGAAAGCGCGCTTTGAGAGCCACACAGCAACCACAACATACCCGCCGCAGCAGCAGCAGCAGCAACACCAACAGCGTAGGACCAGCAGTCTGGCCGAGGATGAGCAGGCCTTGGCAGAGCGAGAATATGTGGTCATCGAGAAACGCGCAGTCGAAATGAACGTGCTCGCAGACGCCCTCGAGTCCTCGCCGCGTACGCCCGTTGCTTTCTACCCGCCTCGGCCCAACGCCATGCAGCAGGCGCCTGGTGTGGCTCGCCAGATGACAGCTCTGGCACGCGCCATCCACAATGCTGTGTCGTCGCAGTACCAGATTTCCCGCGAAGCTGCTGTTGGTCCACTCGACAGCCAGGCAGCCAGTGAGAGACAGCGCGGCGGAATACTAGGGAATGCGGCTCGGCACGGGGTGTTTAACCCGCTGGATGCTGAGCTGGCTGAGACATTCGAGTCTAGGCATAGTCATGGCACGCAGGCGGAAGAGCCGGTGATTCGCCGCATGGAGGGCCTGGCGTACCGCGCTTTCGCTATGAGCTATCTGGCCGACCTGAAGTGGAACCAGCTGCCGGTCGCCGCCAGCCCGGGCCGTCACACGCAGCAGAAGCAGCAGCAGCCGAGGGACCCCCTTGCTGACCCTGAGACTGGGTTCCTGGCCGCCAGCACCCTGACCATCGAGGATGCCTTCGTTCTGTATCTGAAAGCACTCTCGCTACTGCACTGTGCCATGGTCGAGGCCAGCCGCCACTGGGCCAGCCTGCAGGGCGACGTGACTGCCTCCTCCGTTGTGGTCTCGTCCGCCTTCAACTCGAGCGTGCAGTGGGTGCGCAACAAATTCAACGCGTGCTTGGAACGCGCAGAGTCGCTGAAGCAGTTCGCCAATGGCCACGTTATTCTGGACGACCCGACGCAGGTGTCGATTGTCCAGGTGCTGTACGAGCAGGCACTGGCACTCAGCAAGGCTGCCGCAGTGAGGGAATTGAAGTGGATTGACCCGCTGGACTGCGACAGAGCGTACCAGCTGGCTATCTGGATGCTGTCGGCCATTTTGGAGTCGGGCAGCACGTCGCCCAGTGCCAGCCAGCAGCACCGGGGCCGCGAGGCGGGGGCGGAGGAGGAGGATGACGAGGAGATGGATCCTGAGGACCGCACCCTCATCGAGCAGTTCATTGCCTCGATTGTCAAGCGTCGGGAGGCACTGCAGCGCCGGCTGATGGCCATGCAGGACGGTGGCAACGGCGGCCTTGGTGCTGCATAAACATCGCTAGCCTGTTGCCCAAAAATACATATGATTTAATATGCGGCAGCGGATCTGATCTGTCCAGTTGGCATACGCAAGCACTCTGCCTTCGATTTGTGCGCAACCTGCCCCGCGTGGTTTTTAGCCCACTTGCTTGCGTGTTTTGCACCCCTCAATCCTCCGCTCTTCACAAATTCTACATCTTTACTCCAATGGATTTCGCGCAGTTCCAGCAGGCACCCGTCAGCGTGCCGACCGAGCACCATTCGCACGGCAACCGGTGGGACCCATACGTAGACAACGGCGGCACGTCGCTGGCAATCGCCGGCGAGGATTTCGTCGTCGTCGCCTCGGACACCCGCCAGAGCAACGGCTACAGCATCAACTCGCGGTACTCGCCCAAGGCCTTCGAGCTGTCCAACGGCAGCGTCCTGGCCACCACCGGCTACCACGCCGACGCACTGAAGCTGGTCGAGCACATTGAACAGCGTGCGCAGCTCTATTTCCACAAGCACGACCGCGCCATGAACGTGTCGGCGATGGCGCAGATGCTGTCGGGCATTCTGTACTCGAAGCGCTTCTTCCCATACTATGTGTTCCCGATCCTGTCGGGCCTGGACGCGAAGGGCAAGGGCGCGGTGTACACGTACGACCCGGTCGGCAACATGGAGAGAGTCAACTACCAGGCCTATGGCTCGGCGTCGGCGCTTGTGCAGCCGTTCTTGGACTCTCAGGTTGGCTTCAAGAACCAGCGCAATGCCGATCCCTCGCGGCTTCTGGAGAGGCCCCAGGCCGTCAAGCTTGCCATTGACGCCTTCACCGGCGCAACCGAGCGTGACATCCACACCGGCGACTGGCTCGACCTGTTCATTATTGACCAGGACGGCATCCACCAGACAAAGAGAGAGCTCAAGCACGACTAGGCTATTCAGCATTTGACACCAATATAAAGAATCGATGTATGGCATATCACGCAATCCCCAATGTCAGGTAGCAGGAGCTTTTTGAGCTTTGAGCTTTGAGCTTTTTGTGAGCTTTTTTATATTACTGGCCAAACCAAGGAGGATGTGCACGGCAGCGGCCCGGCGAAAGCCCTCTCTCGGTCGACTCGAGTTATAAAAATGTTAGGCTACACTCAAAAAAAGGGGAGGGCTAGAGTGTGACAGAAAAGACAAGACACACAAGGGCTTGCTTAGTACTTCTTCTTGTCGGCAGCCTTGACCAGGTGGTCGGTGAACTCCTGGTACGGGTCCTGGGTGAAGACAGTCTCGTGCCACATATCCGGGGTCAGGAACGAGTAGGTGTTGCTGATGGCCTGGAAGGCAGCCTTGACAAAGTTACCCAGAGTCTTGGTCGAACCGCGAGAAGTGGTGTAGCAGTCAGTGATACCGGCAAGAGCAAGCAGCTTCTTGGGGGTCGGGGCGGCGACGATACCGGTACCGCGGGGAGCGGGCACAACACGGCACACAACCGAACCGCACTTGCCAGTGACCTTGCACGGCACAGTGTGCGGGGCACCGAGCTTGGAGCCCCAGTAGCCACGGCGCACAGGGATCACCGACAGCTTAGCCAGGATGATGGCACCGCGGATGGCAGTGGCAACCTCCTTGGCGCACTTGACACCGAGACCGACGTGGCCGTCAGAGTCACCGATGGCAACGAACGCCTTGAAGCGAGTGCGCTGACCGGCACGGGTCTGCTTCTGCACGGGCGTGATCTTCATGACCTCGTCCTTGAGCTTGGGCAGGAAAGCATCAACAATCTGGTACTCCTTGATGGGCAGGGAGAACAGATAGATCTGCTCAATCGACTTGATCTTGCCGTCCTTGACGAGGCGACCGAGCTTGGTCACAGGAACCCAGGCCTGCTCGCCGTCATCACGACGACCGCGTCCGCGTCCACCACGTCCACGACCACCGCGACCGCGACCGCGACCACGTCCAAAACCACCGCGTCCACCGCGACTATCGGCCGGAGCTGAGTCAGCCATTTGCTATATGAAATGCAACAACCCATGGTCGAAATTGAAAATTAGCATTTTGAATTTGCCTCTCCCTCCAACATTTCCCGCCACATTATTGTTGGATACGCCCTCCCAACCGCACGCAACTCTTCTAATTTCGCGTGCATCCATTCGCATCCGTCGCGGCCCCTGGTTTCGTATAGCGTCCTTACATAATCTTCTTTTCTTTAGTTGTTTTAAAATTCCAAATAAAATTGGGAAGAGAGCGAGACCACGAGCGGAGCTGACCACACGCCTGATATCAATCACTGCCTGGACATTGATGATTTCCTGATTAGCTGTAATCAAACGATCACCGAGGCATGTGTTTTTCGGAAATGGCGCCTATAGTGCGAGCGGTATTCGGGAATTGTGTGCTTGACTCCTGTCAAATGCTACTGTAACTAGCAGCCGCTTGTGGCAGCCGGCAGTCCGCGCCCTACATTGGCCTAACAGACAGCGGAATGATTGTGCCGAGTGCTGATCGCCATTGAGTAGGGTAATCTTCGTATTGCTCTACCACCTGCATATCGCTTGGCTTAGTGGCTGGCTCACATGCAGCAATTGACTGGGCTCGGTGGGAGCGGAGGATAATATGTATTCCAGCTCTAACATACACCAAACGCAAGCAGTGATATGGCAACCACCAAGAAATGCGTATTGGGGCGCTTGACCGAATCGCATCCTGATGATCTTGTAGCTGTCCTTGTTTCTACTCCCGACCCAGGATGCTCGCCATCCTCATTGATGTAGTTTATGCCAGATACGCTTATGCTTTTGACAAACTCGCTGAGATAGTCGTTCTCTGCATTGCCGCCGTACGGACGCAGATATTCGCCTCTGGCCGACTGCGATATGGTAAAGGCACTTGTCTGTATGTTGCCTACCTGGCTGACCCAGTCTGTATATTTTGAAGCGTCAGTATAGTATCCTGCAGCTTTGCCCGAAGCCACACTTCGGATTTTTCAGCTGGGCACCCTGCGCCAAATGATGTGACCCCCAAGACCATTATGTTTCCATTGATATCGTGGACCGCCGCTGGACCGCCCGAGTCTCCCTCGCAAGCATCGCGCCCGTTATTGTGCGCAAGGCAAATCTGGCTTGAGATGTTCCATGGCGGATATGAATGCTCGCAAAACGGCTTATCCCCCACCGCTAGATCAGTCTGAAGCAACGTATCTGACGGCGGACCAGCGCTATCTTTTGTCAGCCCATATCCAGCGACGGTGAACACTGTACTTTCGTTGTACCCGCCAGTGTAGATCTTGGCTGGTGCGGCCAAACCAGAGGGCACACCTTGGTTCAGAATAACCAGCCCGATGTCATTGACTCTCACGCCAGCATCGTACTGTGGGTGAATGTATACTTTCTGGATATAAAACGACTCGCCAGGCGATGTGTGTGAATATCCGAATGTCGCACGCATGACCCCAGTTGCAGGCATTCCGCTTTCATCTATCAGGCAATGCGCTGCAGTCAGGATGACAGTTGGTGCAATCAGCGATCCCGAGCACAGGCTCTCCGACCCGGGACTGTCGACTGTAATGCGGGCCACAAAGTTGAAGCGGCTATCCGGTACTGGATGCCCGCCGATAATGCGTGGTAGTGATTTGGCAAGCTCTGTCTTGGGTGCGGCAGCATGCTGCGGAAGCACTGCGGCCAATACCAGCGCAATGGAAAGGTGTATTGTGATGAATATGGCTTGTAGGTGCATTGTTTCTGGTTGCTAGTGCTGTGTTTAATGAAAGGCATTGATGTTGACTGCAGTTGGTGTAAACGGTAAAGCGGCAAGAGGGCTGCCTGGACTGCTGAACGCAAATAAGTGGGTGCAAGGCCATAGCGAAATGAGGCAGCGATCGCTAGCCTCATATTAGCAATCGCCTAGCCTTCATTAAAGCACTGATGAGTTACCAGCGCAAATCACAAAATCAGGAAGCTGGCGTAGATGCAGCAGCTGACTGCAGAGGAGCATAGTCCCATTGTCGCCTTACAGCTCGCCTGTATGACATGTAGGCGGCAAGGCCAATATGCGGTATTGAAATGTCTAGGGCAACACGTACTAAAGGGAGGAGCGGTTTGAGCATAGACTATACCTGCTCTGTGGTGATCTCTGCTTATTTCGTGATGGCGATCAAGGCGCTCTCAGTATCGGAGAACCACACAGTTCGCCTCTCTCCACCGTTTTCTCCTTGCCGCTTTTTTTTCTCTCATTACACTTTTACTTTTTTTTTATTTGTCATGCCACCACTCTTTAGTTTCAATTTCCGCTACGACGACAACGAGTACGAGACAGAGACGTCTCTTGCTCAGTTCACAGTGGAGAACTCGATCGGCGACCAGTACATGCGATATATTGACCCTGACACGCTTGAGCACGGCGGCGAAATCGATGATACGCAGTACCGGCTATCGCGGCCACGGCACGAGCAGTTCTTAAGGGATGCGATTGCAGAGGGGTCTGGGCTTAGCAAGTACATGGACGCGCTGCAGCCATGGCTGATATTCTGGTCACTCAATTCGCTGGCAATCCTGGGCAGCGAGATCAGGCCCGACCTTGCAGAACGTGCCCTAGAGAGCTTGAGGCTTATGCAGGATCCGAGTGGCGGGTTTGGCGGTGGCAATCGCCAGATTCCACATCTGGCCGACACATATGCAGCAGTGATGGCGCTGACATTGCTTGACAGCGATAGGGCACTAGAGGTTGTCGACAGACAAAAGATGCACGAGTGGCTGGTGCGGTTGAAGCGCAGCGACGGATCCTTTTACATGCACGAAGGTGGCGAGGTCGATGTCCGTGGTATATACTGTGCGCTAACAGTGGCTTCTGTGCTCAATATCATGACACCCGAGATAACCGCGAACTGCGCAGACTTTATAGCCGGATGCCAGACATGCGAGGGCGGCATTGGCCCGTATCCTGGAGTCGAGGCCCACGGCGGATACACGCTATGCGGGCTAGCAGCACTTGAGATCCTTGGCCGCTCAGACATTGTTGATCTGAAGCGGCTGTCGCGGTGGATGATCCTGCGGCAGATGCCATTTGAAGGCGGGTTCAGCGGCCGCGCCAACAAGCTAGTAGACGGATGCTACTCGTACTGGCAAGGCGGGTCGTTTGTGCTGTTACAAAAGGCACTGAAAAGGTCGCAGGTGCAGGACTACTTGTTTGACAGAGAGGCACTGCAGAGGTACGTGCTGGCGTGCTGCCAGGCGCGCGACAGGCGCGGTGGACTGAGAGATAGGCCGGGAAAGTCGTCTGATCTCTACCATACTATGTACGTCCTGTGCGGGCTGTCGTTAGCGCAGCATTACGTTGGCGTGGAGCCCGAAAAGGTTGTAGAGAACATCACTTCGGTATTCAGCGCACCAGTGCGGATGATACAGTGGGGCTCAATCCTCAAGGGGCTCAAAGTGCTTGGGCACCGGTCAAACCTGGTCAAGCCCATCCACCCGGTTTATGCAGTGCCGTTTGCACCACTGTATAAGGCTATAAAGTATTTTTACTCTCTGAAACCGCTCGCTGAGAGTTTAATTTAAAATAGACATTTTTCAAATATTAGTGTACGCTATGCTACCTGCACTAGGACCACAGAGTCGTCGTCTATGGCCAGTGAGGACCGTTCAGATATTTCACACATGTCACTGCATGCCAGCGTAGTGTTATTGCCGGCTGCCGAGCCCTGGTTACTACTGAGCGAGACGGTGGCCTGCTCAACGCGGTGGGGCACCAGCTTTATCTCAGAGACGCCTAGATTGATCAAAGTGCAGTGAGCCGGCAAGTTGGCTGCAGAGTCGCCCAGGGAAATATCGGGGCGGTGGAAGAGCTGGACGGTAGTCTGCCAGTCCAAATTGACGCCAGTGGTTAAGCTGGTCGACCGCGGCGGTGCTTGAGAGTAGTCAGAGCAGAGAGATACATGGCTCTGAACATCTGAACTGGAGCCGGTGGATGAGCGCAGAGGGACAGCGGGATGTGAGACCGCCGAGGCATAGTACACATCGGGTAGACTGCCATCGGAGCCCGAAATGTCAAACACCTCGGAACCTGGTCCATCCTCAGATGATGACGATTCGATCTTGCGCTCCCTGATCTTTGACATTGTGTTGCGTCTCCAGCCCAGCCCGCTGGACTCGAGCATAGGCTCGTCCAGACCCTTCATCTCCGCACTCGACACGCTGGTAGTCTGGCTGGTGTCTGACGACTGGCAGCTGACGATATACTGCAGCTTGCCAACGATTTGGTTGACATCAATGCCTTCAGGAACAGCGAGCCTACCATACACCGGCTCGCTGGGCTCGATCCATGTAGGCTGGGGTCTTGGAACCTCGGGCCTAGAGAACTGGCTAGCAGCCAAGTGATCCAGACTGTAATCTTCGACAGCCATGCTCTCAGCAGCACTGCGTTCGCCATAAATCGATCTCGTGCTGCCTTGCGAAACACCCTGTTTCTTGACGATGGCCCTGCCAATACCGTGTACCGGAGTGGCAGCTGCAGATCGCATGTGCTCATTAAGACTGCTGAAATTGGTGGCATCGCATGGTATTGCAGGCGCATCGCAGGGCTTGCGGCAGGCGGCATGGTGTTTTGAAGCCATATATCGATATTTTCGTCCACATAGTCCGTCGGCATACGCACTTTAGACTGAGCAGAGTAGACCCGGGCGGTGGCTCGGGGAAGGCAGGCGTGCTATATCCTGTCGATGAAAAGGCGGATGGCGATGTCTGGTAAAGCTGGTCGGCATTGACAATCTTTGGTCGGCTGGACTGCACCACCACCGCATTAAGGTGGGCAATTTCTCTAACAAATGCCGAATGCTCTTCTTTCCTGTACTCGCTGTGTGTACGCATGCAAGATGTGCACCGCGGCGGCGGCACGACAATGGTGCTACTGCTATGCGGCCGGAGTGCCAACAGAGCCCCATCAAGCGAGCAGGTCGACTTGATCTTGACCTCGTCAAAGTCGTAGATACGCGCGCTACCTGCATCGCTCTCGTCATCCTCATTTTCGTCGTCGTCGTCATCATTGACAAGCCCGCTAGTATCGTCGGTAGTCTCGTGAAGACCATCAGCCTCCAGGCTCTTGCGCATACCGTCGATGCATGTCGTGCTGGCGCTGTATCGATCGAGGTTATTGCTGGCGGCAAGAGGCTGTGATGCGAACACACTGACAACAGGCGGTAGCCCTATGCTGCTATCACTGCTGTGGATGGTCTTCAGCGGAATGTACTTTACCCGTGCCGCGCTCTTCACATGCACTGGATCGGGCTTATACAGCGGCTGTACCCTGATGAGTCCAGGCAAGTACCCTGAGCTCTGGTATGCCAATGTGCTGCCACGGGTGGCCTCCAGCGAAGGCCGATTGGACGACGGCAATGGTGACAGGCTGCGTTCAACTGCATAGAGCTGTGAGCGGGGAACCAGCGTCGGTGTTGTGTGCATATGCTCTGGCAGGTACCACCGCTGAGTGGCACTAAAGGCATCGAGAGCCGATGTGACCCTGGTGACCTGCGACGTTTGTGACTCTTGTCCTGCAAACGGGAGCTGGTGCTGCCTTCCATCAACCAGCCGATTAATCCGCCTATACGTATACACCGAGCTGGCAGTGGCTCCAGTCAGTGATATGGCCCCAGTCACTACATATACGGAGACAAGTACAGCGGTAGACGGGTGCGAAAACGTGAGGCCCAGGGCAGCTATTCCTACAGGCACAAGTGACACCACACATAAGACAACAAACTGCAGAACGAGCTTGACGACAGTGCGGTCCTTCTGCATGTCTGCGTGTCTGCCAAGCGTGGTGGCGATGCTGTCTCTTGCTATTGGGTCTGCTGAGGGATATTGTCCAAACTCGGAATCAAACGAGGGTGTGATGTGCAAGGTGTCTGGGGATGATGCTGTGTAGAAATACGATGAAAAGGAGCTGAGAGCCCTCCGAAGGCGCACAATAGCAGACATCGTTTGTGTGTGTGCTTTGATGGTGGAATAGTAGGCGAAATATGCGTGGAGCAACCTACAAATGAATGAGGGTGGCTAAAGTGCGAATATTAGGTGATGCTTGGAAGGGAAAAGAAAAAGGCAGAGTGTGCTCGCATGGGTTGTATACCGCATTGACAAACAGGCGGCCCTTTTGCCCATGAGCGACGACATACACTGGCATTTATCGGTTTTACCGCGCAGCCCTGTGCCATTTACTAGCTGGACACATATATCAAAGCAGTTTCTTTTATAAGGCCGGGTGGGAATTCTCAACGGCGTCCTTTCGGGCAAGCTCTAAGCGTGGGACGAAGGCACAGCGCAACTGGCCAGCACCCGCTCCCCATCAGACGAAGCACAAGACCTAGACTCCAGCAGTAACAAAACTTTCTTTATTGGCCCACGAAGCCGCTATAAATTTAGCACCGAGCAAACTTTTGCAAGCTCGCATCCGACGTCATTTCCAAATGCTGTGTGCAGGGTGGAAAGCGGGCAAAGGTAGCTTCCACCGCACTGCTGAAGCCTGATGGGCTGCTCATTGACAAGCATGCGCACTAACAGCCGATGAGACAGGTCCTGATACAGCTCAAAGATGATGTTGGCCGAAAATGGCACCAGCAACGAGGTCTGGAATCCGCGCGCCCGGGCTTGACTCAGGGACATGGCGCCAGTGACTGCCATGTCAGACGACCCCAGTGCGCTGTCAAGGTGCATCAGCGTGCTCAAAAACATGACGGTCTCTGCATGTCCAAATTTGAAGATGGCTAGCGCGCTCCCATGCTCAAGCTCATCAAGGATTTCCGAGACAAGGCTGCAGGCAATATGTCTGTTGATATCAGCTCCATCTGGCCCATATACGCGACTATATTTGATGTCGTTGCGCAGTTCAAGCCAAAAGGACATAGGCTCATCAATCAGCGAGCACCACTTACCGTGGTTGCCATACAGTGCGAGGTCGTAGCCGCAAAGCAAGTACAGCGTGGCGATGTCGCCCATGGGCAATAGTGCGCCAAGCTTTTGTTCAAGGCGCGATTGTATGCGGGCTGCGTGGAGTGAGTCAAAAATAGCCACCTGGCTGCTGATGTCAGCTGACATTTTCTGCTTGTAATGGCTCCACAGTGGACAGTTGTACTTCATAGCTAGCGTTGTGTCGTTAGCGCGCGGGATTACGTTCAGGTGACTGGAAAGGTCAAGCGCCGACATGAACGCCATGGCCGAGTCGATGGATCTAGCAGACTCGGAGCTCTGAAATCCAATGGCTGTGGTGGCGGTGGTGTTCAGCAGGTCACGGTAGCGCTTTAGCGCACGCTGACCCAGTCGGTGCATGTCGGTGTGGCCGGTGCTAGCCAGCTTGCCAGCATTCTGGTCGTCAATAAGATCGGGCGGCATCCAGTGTGCCGGAACTTGTATTTTGCCTAGTAATTTCCGGATTCTCGCCATGTCGTTGAGCATTGGATACCGTGTTCCGTGCCGGCTTACGTACTGGACTTTGACCAGCGTCACATCTGATGGCAGAGTAAGTTGTTCTGATGCATGATGGGGATACGATGTCTTTGTGCTCAAATGCAACTTGCCCCTGTACTGCCGCTCATCGCTTGACCTGTGAACTGTATACACAGCTGCTATGAGGCAGAGTGTCAAGATACCATAAAGTTTAGACATGTTGAGAATGCGAACAGTAGTGGCTTTTTTGTCTCTGAGCGCGCATTGTGCGCATTTCCTGGATGATTCTCAGAAGTGTGTGTAATGGGCCGTCAATATCCAGACATTGAAATAATACGAACACGAATACGAGAAACACATTTAAACCACCGAGTATCCACCACGGCGGCGGCCGCTGACGATATCCCAGATGTGCTGCGAAAAGTCCATAACCAAGTACGGGAACTCACGCCAGAACGCCAGGTTCGGGACAAGATCCAGGCCGGTAGCGTGGACTACAAAGAAGTTGTAGAGCAGGCCAAGCACAAAGTAGAAGACGAAGCCGACGAAGAGGAACGAGAAGACAGTGGAAAAGAAGCCGCGGCCGCTGACCTTGTCGTCGCCCTTGTCGTCTTCAGGCTTCTTGTCCTTCTCTCCATCCGAGCCCTTGTTGCCGTCGCCGCTATCGCCCAGAGCGCAGGCAGCAGGGACTCTCCACTCGAGCTCCAGCTCGCCATCCTCGAACTTTTTGACAACGGGCAGCTCGTCGTTTTTCTTATCCTTGTCGCAAATAAACTTGATGTCTGTCTTCCACTCAACCTTGTCAACAGAAATGCCCTGCATCTTCCAGTGGAACTCCTTCGGCTTGTCGTCCCCTGATGTCTTGGCCTCAATCTTGGGCTCCCGGTCTGACTTTGGGCCACCCGCGACAGCATTGACTTCGGTGACCCGGTTGGCTTCCTTGCCCTTGTAGTTGGTCACCGATCGGCACACCCAGGAGTCGGCTGGACACCGGTCGATTTCAGGAACGCTGTCGCCGTCACCCTTAATCGCGCTGCAGGGGTTCAGCGTATACTTTGTCCCGGTAATAGTCGGCGGAGTTGTGGCATTGCTCACCAGCGTCACATCACGCGCCAGTGCACTCAAATCATAAGCGTGCCCGGCAATTTTCAACGTTTTGCAGTCAAAAGCCGCGGAGGCGGCGCTCAACGAGGCCATTAAAAGGGCAAATGTGCGCAGCGAGGGCTTCATTTTCTTCAGAGCGAAACTATTAAAGAGAGAAAGAGGGAGAACAGGAAATGCAGGCAATTGGGAAAGAAAACAATTTTTCTAGTGCCCTCATGGCCAAATGGGGAAGAATCGATGACGAAAGGCGTCGCGTTTTTTGCTTTCCCTCTCTCCCACTCTCTATCTTTTTTTTCTCATACTTTTCCTATAGATTGCGTTCAATGCCAGACAATCTCGACGGCGTACGCGAGTCCAACTCCCCCGTGCCCACCCCATATGACAGTCACGACGACAACGAGGCATGCCAAGAGCCACCTCCCGCTGACAAGGAAGCTGGCCAGCACAGCAACAAGCATCATGCGACCGCGCTGACGCCAATGGCCACCAGCAGTTTTGAGACCGACCTGTCATCGCCGCTTAGAAACCGCAACGAAGACCGCTCTGGAGGTAAAGTACTCGATGCATACAACCCAGCGCATATCGAAGACGGCTTTGCTGAGAGCATACATTGGCGCACGTAGTATACAAGAGCGATCCAAAGTATCAAAAGTACGTGCAGTTGGTCGAACGTAACCTGCAGTCATTCGACTATGTCAGCGAGTGGGCCGACGTCACAGCTTTTCTTACAAAACTGAGCCGTGCACTCGAAATCTACCAAAAGTTCGCCATCGTGCCGCACAAGGAAACGGTGGCCAAGCGCCTGGCACAGTGCCTGAACCCGGCTCTGCCAACGGGTGTGCACCAAAAGGCACTGGCGCTATACGCCCAGATCTTCAAGCAGATTGGGCCACAGCAGCTGGTTGTTGATTTGCCATTGTACTCGTACGGCCTGTTTCCCTTCATGCGCAATGCATCAATGAAGGCGAAGCCGCAGCTGATCGAGATCTTCGAGCAGTTCTTCATCCCGCTGGGCGCCAGCCTGCGCGCATGCATGAAGAGCTTCACCATGGGGCTGCTGCCTGGCCTGGAGGAAGGCTCGAAGGACGTGTTTGACCGTGTGATGAAGCTGCTCGACAAACTCAGGGACACAGTGGACCCGGCGTTCTTCTTCCCCACCATGTTCCTGATCATGATCACAAACGCAGAGCAGCGTGAGAGTGCATTGAAGTACCTGGCCCAGCGTCTACCGGTGTTTTCACAGCAGGAGGACCTGGATCAGATTGCAGGCGAGGATTCGTCTCTGATGGTGCGCGCGCTGGCTGCAACCTTATCGGATTCCAAGACCCTGGTGCTGCGTGCCGCTCTGGATCTGGTCATGACTCGCCTACCGCTCAGGACGAATGTGCTGGGGGATAAGGACTTGGCACTGCTGATGAAGCATGCGTCGGAGGTCGTTTTGAAAAAGGACATGTCGCTAAACCGCCGCCTGTACACGTGGCTTCTAGGCCAGGGCGAGACTGAGGCCGAGCAGTCAGCGTACTTTGCAGAATACTCGCAAGGCGCTCTGACAAACGCCCTTCTGGGTTCATTTGCCGCATTGAGCTCCAACCCCGACCAGCAGCACACGGTCCTCAGAGTCCTGATCGGGCTGATCGATAGACCTGACATCTCGCAGCCCATTCTCGATGCAATCTTCATCCCTCTTTTGCGCCTGCTCCTTTCAGAGCGGGATGCGGCTACGGAGAAAGCGTTGCCAGCAAGGCTGGCCAGCGTGTCACGCATGTTTATGGAAATGCTCGATCCAATCTTTGTCTGGTCTCAAATCATCAGCCAGCTGGTTGGACCAGTGGTTGGATCCGGTGCCCCGCTCAGCATAGAGACGATGACGCGCTCCCTGCAACTCCTGTTGTTCTTTGTGCAGACATTTGATCTTGACGACGACGCTACGCTACATGTCCACTTGCCTATGGCCCTGCTGACGGTGCTGGCAACCCTGCAGCGCGTATTGGATCTCGATGAGGTTCGGAGAAGCCCGCAGATCGCCTGCTACTTTACACGCATCACCATTGACATTTTCACGCGTATCCCCAAAGCAGCCTTTTCCGCCAGCGAAGACGACTCTGCCAAGGCTGTCCCGGTGGAGCAGCTATTCGATACTACACGTATGTTTTACCGCATCCGCAAGCCTGAGGATCCCGAGGAAGTCGACGCTGTCCAGATTGACAAGTCTGCAGCAGAGGTTGTACGCGGTTCGGGACTGCTGATATCGATAATCCGCCTGAGCAAAAGCATTGTGGCCAAGCTCGGCAGCCAGGCTGTTGCAGAATCTGCGGGCACCTGCCTGTTCCTGACCATGGCGCTGGAGGACACCTGCCACATCATGCGCACTGCCGCTACATACTCGCACAGCCTGCTGAATGACCCGACGCTGGCCAAAATGCGAGCTACCGCTTCCCAAGCAAGTGGACAGCGAACACCCGGATGCCTGGGTGCCGGTGCTGATTTCAACCTTCGCTATATCCAGTCAGTTCCGTACCATGGACGTTGCATTAAGCACATTGCTGGATTTTGCCGACCACAAATCCTTGCCCGTCAGTACTCTGGCTGATCCGTCAACGCTGCATCCGTTTGTTGAGAAGCTGTGGAACTCGTTGAAGCCCGAGAACATGCCAAATCATTTCCGTGCCTCGCAGCTTCTGTACCAGCTGCGCAAGCAGGTGGATGCACGTGGAGTCGAGCGGCAGCTGGCTGGGTTGCTAGGGGCTACCAGCTTGGAGGACAACGAGTATTCAGACGAGCTCTCACGTTATTCTGTGTTCTGGTACAATCTGCGCATGATTCAGCGCGAGGTCGATGACTACGACCCTCTGACATTTGCCAGGCTGCTGCTTCTGGTGTTGGATAATGCAACGGCTACCGGGGATTCCATGACCGATTTGCAGCGGCATATGGCGTCCAAGGCATGGATTGATGCGTCGTCGCTGGAGTGGGAGCATATTCTGGAAACACTTGTGTACCTTCTTTTGCTGAGTGTTCGTACACACAAGCACCGGTACCAGACCACGCTATCAATGGGAAACACGTCGGTGCGCCAGGAGTATACACGAGAATTCGATTACGGCCGGATCAACTATTACATCGACACTATCCAGCGGTACCTGGCATGTGCTGGCGACAGTGTCGTTCGGCAGATGGCGGCTACTGTGCCAAAGAACCCCAAGTGTCACTGACGAGTGCGAAGCATTTTCAGACAAGACTGCAACATGGATGCAGCTACTTTGTGCAGCTGTTGCTGAATTCGCCTTGACCGACGCCCCTGCCTCTGGCGTAGCGACTAGCACGCGCCATGCAGTTGAGGTGACGAAGGACCAAAGCCGCCAGACTGGTTGGCTTATCTGGTTTCCCGACCCTCAGTAGCCTGGCCTGCCCAATTCATTGCTAGCCTTCAAAGCCGTGTAATTGACACGCTGCTCTTCTGTATACTTCACCGCCGCCCGTCGATCCAGCCACCACTGCTGGAGCTGCTGGTGTCACTGATCCAGGCACCTGTGACCGCTAGATCCGAGCAGACAATTGTATCTGCTGCTGCCAGCAGCCAGGAGCGAGCTGGGCTCGGTGGTGTTTCGGACTCTCCCCTGTTTGCGCGTTCTGGTTCTGGCTGCGCTGACGTTGCAGCTGGATGTCGCCGCGCTGCGCAAGTGGGTCAGTGTGATTACCACCTGCTTGCCATATATCCAGGAGCAGATTTCAGCAGTCTCCCCGGCGAACCGCAACGACGATTTGGATCCTATGACCACGCTGGTGGTCCCATGTGTGCAGTCCTTGCGCCTGCTTCTATCGCAATGTGCCGAGTATTTTGCGCGCTCCAACGGATTGCAGCACGAACAGCATCTGTCGGTCAAACACCAACTGTCCAAGCGCATTCTGCCACTGTTTGCCATCCCAACTGCCTCGGAATCACTGGTCAAGGACGATGGTGACCATACCAAACCGAACTATGAATATCGATGTACTGGTGACCTTATTGGACGCATTCGAGCTGTTTTTGACGCTGGCGCTGAAGAATGCCGACCGAGTTCCGGTTTCAGCCAGCGTGCCCCCGCGACCCAGCTCAAGAGCCAGCGTGTCGAGCGTCGACAGTAGCGGCTCTGCGATTGGATCCATTCCGATTCTGAAATTTGTTTCGAGCATCTTCACCCTTGATGGCGAAACTGAGGACAGTGCTCCAGAAGCCACCGCTGAGACATCTACTACGAATGCCAACAGCGATTCAGAATCCGACAGTTTTTGTCTAGTATCAATTCTGGCCGGTCATTCGCCAGGTCTGGGATGCCTTTGATTTCAACCTGCCACGCAAGGCACCAATTAGCGACCAACAAGTACTGGACGACTTTGGGCTGCAGGACGCTGCTGTGCGCAGCGGCTCTATCCATATGCAAGCAGGCAGTGCATTCGCGAATCACACGGATCCTCGAGAGCGCTGTTGCTGTACAGCAGGCAGAAGTCACCGAAGCTGCTGCTGCGCTGTGGATTCGTGATAACCCGTCGTGGATCAGTAACCTGACAGGTCTCTATTCGGGGCAATGCTTCCGGTCGTCGCCGCCGGCAATCGTCTGTATCGTCGTTCCAGTCGCCCATGAGCCCGGTGTCGTCGACCCACCGTGAAATTGAAACCGCTTCTGTAAAGTGGCGTCAAACCTGATTCTGCGTGGGTCTGGCGAACTACTGATCTGTTTGAGAGTGTACCGGGACGCACGCCTACAGCAATTCTCCTTACGCTGCTCAACAGCCTTGCATATACGGTGCGCATGATTTGAGTCCAACCTCAGCTAGCACACCGTCACCCATGTCGACTACCACTGGCAGTGTGGTCAACGAACGCCCCCACATGCGATTCTCGGGTATGGAGGATCGTTGCTCTGGCACGTTTCATCGAGCTATATACGCGGCACAGAATCACAGCGCGTACAAGCAATCCGCTGATCCCGCACGTCAACTCGATGCTGCGCGAGTACAATAACAACGCGCAGCAGTTCAAGCTAATCCTGCCATTTGTTCTTCGCATGTTCACCGAGCTATGCGAGCGTATTGCAAGCAACTCGCAGACACAGGATGCGACGCAAAAGGCATATTCGCGCGAGCTTTACGAGCTGTATGCGAAAATGGTCGACAACTGCATTTTGATCTCGGGTCGCTCGTTCGATCAGACCACGTGGCTGAGGCGCACCAACGCAGATACAAATTCCCAGGTTGAGCTGGTGGTCCGCACTGACGCGTCAAACACTCCCACTGACGATGTGCGTGTGGTCTCAGAGGCCGACGTCATTGAGCAGATCTTGACGTACATCAGCCAATCGGTCATTCCGCAGTTTGCACTGCTGGTTCCCGACTATGAGCGCCAGGTTAACATTGCTACCAATCTGATGCACTATGCGGTAACACCGGCGCTGAAATCACACATGACTGGTGGGTTTAGCGGACCGGCACAGACCCTGACGTCGCGGTCTAAACACTTTTCATTGATCATTGACTGCCTGACCGCCCTAAGCCATCCAGGCGTCGCTGATGAAGGTGTGGCGCCGCGAGGTGTGGGATTTCTTTTGCGACGGAAAATTCTTCCCCAGCTCGACCGCTGCCGACCTTGTTACGATGGCACCCGATCTTATGCCCTGGTGGCGCCACCTGGTCAAGACCCTGCTGGCTTCTGAGAAGGACAAGTTTGCTGAGGTGCTCGCTAAGGTTACGTCGACCTCATCTGGACCGGCACTGTTTGCGAACCGTGAGCACGAGGCATTGTTGCGCTCGCTTTCTGTGCGTAGGCTAAGCTTCTCTGTGTGGGCGGGCACAGTTAACCAATATTTGCCGACGCTGCCACAGATCCAGGAAAAGCTAGTGGATATCCTGAAAAACAACCCACATCCAGCGGTCCAGATCGAGGTGTTCCTGTGCCTGCGTGTTCTCTTGTGCCGTGTATCGAGCCACCACATGTCGAACTTTTGGCCAATGCTGCTTACCGAGCTTATGCGGCTGTGTCTGCAGCAACTGAGGCGCGAAGGGCAGCGAAGAGATCGACCAAGCCAACCTCTTTTTGGCTGCATGCAAGTTCCTGGACCTGCTGCTTTATCCTGGGCACCGACGATTTCTTGGTACACCAGTGGATCTTTATCACCGACACTATCGACGCTCTCTACGGGTCCCGCAGCGCCTCGTACGCCTTGCTGGACCAGCTCAGCACACGCCTCTTGTCGATGCCGACCAGACATGGAATCCGTCGCGCCCATGTCTCGGTTGGCCTGGATAATGGCACTTATCCTGCTCTGTTGATAACCGACTCTGATGATCCAACCAACCTGGTCTACCAGCAGATGTCGAGGCGTGGTGAGGAAATTGCTGGAGAGCTCAGTATGAGCGAGGGAAGCCTGCAGTCACTTGGTACCCGCCCGTTGAAGCGCCCGATCATTAGGGTACGGTCGGTCACATCCATTCGCGAGCTCGACGCGTTTGTACACAACGCGTCTGTGCAGGCGTATCAGACCGCATATACAATGGCGGAACCAGACATGCAGTTCATTGAGGCATTGCTGGTCAGCGATCTCATGTACTTCGACTTTGGCTCTGTTCCTTCGAGCAATATCTACCAGCAGCAACAACCCACGGCTGGGACTCAAATCCCATCTTCGGAGTTTTAGATTTAGCATAATGCTCGTGGTCCATAATTTGCACAAAAGCATGACTGTTCAAACATCTAAGCGAATCGTATGGTTGCCATGCTGATGCTTTGTATATTTCGACTTTTCACCATGATAGACAAAGCGCAGAAAGGATCTCGCCGTGCTGTAGCTAAATACTACTGGGATGAATCCACACTTAACCAACGTCGCCGGATACGGCTCCAGCAGCTGGAGCGTGAAAACTACAGTGCCTTGCCAGAATTTGACAATAAAACAATATCGGTTGACAGCAGCAGCATCGCCAGAAGCGAGAAGAAAGTGGGCCGACCTCGTACAGCTGCTAGCCAGACTGCATCCCAAGTTAAGCCCGGCAGTAGCTCGACTATCGTGATCGGTGCCGCCGACGAAGGATCAAAGCGCGTCCACCGCAAGCAGACACAAAAGATCATCCAGTTCAAGCGCACATTTGCTGATATTCTTGCGCAAGAGACTGAAGGCGGAGGCGGAGGCAACACACTGCATTATTTGTCGTGCTTGTCAACACCGCTGCGGTGCCAGCAAGGCGGATCTCCAGTCATCCGCCCCTTTTGCTCTGTGTGCGGCTATCGTGGGCTCTATGTCTGTGTCGAATGTGGAATGCGGTATTGCTCACTTACGTGTAAATCGACTCATGCGGATACCCGCTGCCTAAAACATGTCACTTGAATAAACCACCTTTAATATGCAAGAATATAAACTGATAGGATACATGCAATAGCTTTCTAAGTAGCATAGGGTAGTTAAAATTCGCATATTCTTTCCAACTCACTTGGATGGAAATGTCATCAATAGACCTTGACGCAGTAAACAAAACCTTCGTGGCCATACTGTTCCCAGTAGCAATTCGCACCTATGAACCGAACTTACCTTGCCTAAATGTCATTATATTGATATTGAATAGGTTCCTTTGGATACAAGATTTATCCGTTTGGTTGATGGTTTGCTATCTGTCCTATAGGCACCATCTTAGATTCAGGAATATACTGGTGGTCATTCTTAGACTTGTAAATTTTAGTAATTTGCAATTTAGTTAGTTGCATATTTGAATAATCATTTTCAGAATAGTTTTTTACTATACTATTTTAGCATAGATATTATTATTATTATATCCAGAATGTTTTATGCTATAAATGATTACTAAGATAGAAAATATTTACTATTTACCAAATACTATTAGTATCTTAGAAAAAGTAAATATGATTCAACTAGGCAATTATTTAGGGCTAATTATCTTTAGGTAACAAAAGTCAATATCTTAATAGATATAGCTAAGCAACCAAAAAGAAATCATACTTACTGAAATTTTCCTAAGATACTGAGAGCAGCTTTAGGTGAAATGTTTATTTCACTAAAAGTACCAAAAGTTATAATATGCCTAAACAATTGATAGGCAGATAAGTAACTCTGTATAACCTCTGTTGAGCAATAGCTATATGACACAGCTTACTTCATCACATAAGGTGAGCTAGTAAAATATCCTAAAATAATAGTGGTCAAGTATAGAAACTACTATGAAAATATGAATTGTAGCTCCTGCAGAGATTGAGGATAAAATATTTGCTGCATTCCTTATAATCTCTGATTCCTAAGCAGCTTTGCAAACCAAGCTAGCATCTTCGCTCAAACAATTACAGAGAAAGCAAAAAATAGGCAAAATAATGGAGGACCTGGGTATCGATCCCAGTGCCTCGCGCATGCTAAGCGCGCGCTCTCCCATTTGAGCTAGACCCCCTGAATTAAGGAACCCGATCCAATAATGAATCCGAATTACTTCCCAATTTCTGTGTTATCGCTCGGTGGGAGTGATAATATGCTAGCAAAGGAGCTAGCGTCGGAAGAGCTCGAACCGGAGCTCAGACGTCGGGGAGAGAAGGTCGGGATTGTAACGGGTTATATTGGGAAACAGGTTCTGAGTCAAGGAATATTCGGGGGCTTGTTGTTCTTGTCTTGTCTTGTCAGTCTGACTTCTCCATATATATGGAGTAGTCAACGAGTGTCTTGGCTATGCTTTAGGTGTAGCATATACGATAGGAATTCCTGTGTTAGGATCCGTAAGAGGAGCATAAAGGGCGGACTTGTTCCGTAGACGAGGCAGTGTACTTGTGCTTATATTGCGAGTGGAACCTTGTGCGTGTGTGACGTTGTCTTGGCCCGGGTCTTGATCTTGATCTTGATCTCGCAGGTGGGCTTCGTCATGTTCATGCTCATCCGAGTTGAGCATAACATCTGAATCGGATGAGGAAAATAGAATATGCAATACTTCAGAACTAAGGTCCTTTAGGGGTTTTTGATTATTACTAACATTTCCCTCCTTTCTACTACTGGAGGCTATTCACAGTTACTAAACTATGTAAAAGATATTTAAAACTTTTTAAACCTCTAAAACTTTTTGTTTGCTTATGATTATAGTACTTCTATGAAACCCCTATTAGCATCCCTAAAAAATTTCAGTTGATTTCTTATGACCTAGCCTCTATCTTAGTAGAAGCATATTAATTATGTATCAACTGAAATTTTTGGGATACTGATAGCGATTTCATAAAAGTGCCCTATTTTAGTATTAGTATTTATTAGTTTATATAGTTGCTAATATCTTTTTAGATATTACTAATTATTCTGGCTTTTAAAATATTTCCTATTAGCTAGTAAATGATTTATAATTTGTTAATTAGTTCTTCTGATAAAAGATATTTAGTTTGCTTAAAATATCTTAACTGTGAATGACCTCCAAGATACCTGGTAAACAGATACAGGTCAGTGATACTACAAACAGAATATCAATTCTATAAAATATTGGCTATTTAAGATTAAGATAGAATAGGTATCTTCTTGAAGTAGCAGAAAAGTTGCTAGTAGAACCTATAACTAGTAAAGAATAATACACCTATATCTGATTATATGGAAGTGTACAGAGTCCAGAGTAAATGCGCTGAAAGCAGAGGAGTGCGTAGTCCAAACAGTGTCCGAGTCTGACAATGGCAAGCTATTCTGTACATTATATACAGTTTAATTTTCGCAAGAAATCAGAGAAGAACTGGCGTCTGTGGTCCAGAGGTATGATTGCTCCCTGCCACGGAGTAGACCCGGGTTCGATTCCCGGCGGACGCACTTCTCTTTTGCCTCTCGCCCTCTATGAGCCACCTCTTTTTATACGCCAAACTGTTTTTGTTTAGCCACCTGTTCTACATTGGGCAACACCAAAATCAATGACATTTTACTGCATGATTTCTTAGTAGGAAACTATTTTGTTCATCCATCATCTTACCGACTTCGTCATGTGTCGTTGTAATTTGTATATAACCGTATTCTCTAGATATTGTTTTACTGTGAATGTGAGGTGAGTTGGCGTCAAATGCTCAAATAGAGGAGTACACTCTGCTTGTAGTAGACTAGCTACATAATAGCGTCGATCATTCTGCAAAGACTTTTATTTATGGACAGCGAATACCCTTCAATTGTTTCCTATTTTGAAACTGCTCCTTACTGACAGGCAGCTGCCTTCAATATATACTGTGGTATACTTTGCTTAATCTTACAACCATGGACACTATAAAGTAAATCGGACTATTTGCAAATATATCTAACTATATGAATAAGGGCATGTAGTTGGAACTATCTAGCAGGGTTCTAGACTTGTTTTGTATCACTGTGTCAAGTCGATCCTCTATCTCGTATATGCTTTTAAAATCTGGATCTCTCAGAAATTGAGCTTGTCACTGGCCGCGTGGCCCAATGGATAAGGCGCTTGACTACGGATCAAGCGATTCCAGGTTCGAGTCCTGGCGTGGTCGACATCTTTTTATTTGCTATCACTTCAATAGTTCCTTTTTGTTGAGGTCCCCCCAAGTCTCGTTGGCTCCATCGTCCGCAACGGCCTCTACACATGCATGCACCTTTTCAGTTTGGCGTGAGTTTCCTTTGTGAACTGCGTGTTATTTTTCATACCTTCTTCCTCTGGCAGCAGCATTATCTGGGCAGAGTCCACGTCGATATCTACATGCGCATTGCCGCAATTTGTCGAGAAACTAGTGTAGGTGTTGTTCTGCCCACTCAGTGTAGTCAAGTACTAACCGTCGAAGGGTAGTGGCTCGTTCCAAAAGCTATCTGCCGAATGCAGAAGTGCAGGGGTTGTCATCAATAGGTAGTTGTAGCGTCCGTCCTAGGAGGAAATGGATATCAGCAAACTGTAGCGCCTTTCTTTGTGCTCTTCATTGCTCCATTGTTCTCACCATTTTAACGTCACATTCAATATAAGCAAAGGGGGGTAGCAAGCGTATTCATGTTGTCGTACCACTCCAAAATTGATCACGATTCTTCATCTTGTATCGATATGGGTAGGGCAGCATCGGCATTTATGACCGGCGTTCCCATTGCCCAATCATGTTCTTGACAGAGCGCAGCCATCCACTAGCACACTGCTTTGTTGTCGAGGTGACCACAGACTTGCGGCGCTCACACAAAAAGTCGGTGACTTCAGCCAAGAACTCCGTCGTCAGGACTCATCCAGTTCTCGTCGACAGCATCGACGGCATCTTTGTCAACCCATGAGCGGAGCGCGTAGACCTGCTTCAGCGCAGACTTGCGTACTGCAGCAAGCGCCTGGGCAACAGCACGCGAAGCTGCCGAGTGTCGGTGGGACGCTAATGCATGCTTGACCACTAGTGCATAGCTAAACAGCTCAGTAGAGGCAGCGAGATCCCGGAGAGTCGTTGTGGCCAGCTTGCCCAGGTTCTCGGTAGTGCTGCTGCTGTCAATGTCATCTGGCAGCGAGTCAGTAATTGTGGCAATGGCCACATTGAGCTGATCATTCAAGTCGTCCTTGCTTGTCGATGCATGGATGTAGAGCCTGGCGAGCTGGCACACGCCATTGCAGAGGGTAATGTCCTGCGGTGACATGGATTGAGGATCGCTGGCCAGTATCTCCTCGAGCTGGGCGGTCTTCTTCTCAAGCAATTCGGCGTCGTCCTATGGAAATGAAGTGCATGATCTGCGGAATCAGCGAGTTGGATATAGCCCAGTCCTGCTGTGGCACAGGGAACGGGCGCGTCAACTGCTCCAAGTTGGCATCGGACATATCGACAGGCGTCAGCAGGGGAACAACTCGGGTATCCCGGTTATCGTGCAACGCGGCCATCATCTCGGGGGTCTTCTCCAATGGCTCGATATGTGCTTCTTCCCACAGAGTCAGCAGCTCGGTCAAATCTCCGTGCTCAAAGACTTCACCGCGCAGGGCGAGTCTGTGGGTGCAGACGCGTTGTATCGAGTTCATCAAGTTGTCCTGAAACTCGATGAAGTCGGTCAGGTTAGAGTACGAGCCCTTCTCGTAGATTGTTTCAAACTCCCTGGGCATGGTTGACTGGCCGCGGTCGTAGAAGGTGACGCCCTCGTAGCACAACTCAAGGTCGGGCATGAAGCAGCCAAGGGCCATGCCGTGACCATTGATCATGTACCCAAGGGTATCATGCTGAATGTTCTTGATGTTGAGGAGGCCATGGATGGCCTTGGCACGCTCGTAGCTCGACAGGTAGAGATAGAGTCGCAGTGGCGTAGAGTTTCAAGTGGTAGGGGTTCTTGTTTTGCTTGATTCCGGCTTCAAGCACCACCAGGGCCTTGAACAGGATTGGGTGGCGCTTCTGAGGTTCGCTGGGGAATGCGACAAAGGCAGACTGGATCAGGCGCTGTGCTGATAGAAGGACCATGTCGCTGCAGGCGGGCCAGGCCTCAACCGAGGCGTCCGAGTCAAGGCCGAATCTGAGCATATCGGCGACGGTTGCGGTCCACTGCTTGGCACTAGACTCGTGGGACAGCGCCTGCAGGAGATAGCTGATCTTTTCATAGTTGACCCAGGCCTGCGCCTGGCTGTCGTTCTTGTCGGCATTCTCTTTGGCGCTGTCCAGCAGCGGGGTTAGAAGGGCGCGGTGGGCATCGATTGTAGCCGAGCGCTCATCACCACTGCTGAGCATGTTGGTGTGGGCAACAAAGTAGGGCATGATGTCCGCGTAGCAGATGGCCTTGTGCTGGAATTCGTTGACAAATGCCCACATTTGCGTGCTTAGGCTGCCCAAGGCTGACTCAAGGACCGCCGTTTCACCGGCCTTTGCCAAACGCAGGGCGAGTTCGACACGGGCCAGTGCAGCATTACGGTTGCGACCGCGCACAGCGCCCCAGCGCTGGATATCGGCGACAATTAGGTTGATGGCGCGCTCCTTTGCCTGCTGCTGATCTTCTGCCTTCAAGCCAAGCACAGCAGCTTCGATGTAGTGCTTGTAGTCGATCCAGTTATCACGGTCCTGAAGCGAGCTGGCGGCGGCGGCAGTGGCACCCTTGATGTCATTTGTCTTGAGGAAAAGCTCGATCCGCTGAGTGACCAGATCAGCGTCATTTGCGATACGCCGGGAGAGATCGCCGGAGGCAGTCAGTGCATCAAGCATCTTGTCGTGCTTGCCCTGCAGTTCAAGAATCTCCAGATAAATCCGCAGCTGCTCCGTGTTCTGCAAGCGGCCATCCACCAGCGCCTTTTCGGCCATGCGCTCGGCCAGCGTTAGTTGCAGCTGATTCGACGCTTGCGACTTGTCTTCAGGGTATTTGGCTTGCAAGAGCAGGCCCACAATTACCCACCAGGTGTATTCGTCGGTCTTGTGCTGCTTGCTAAGCTGGAGGGCGGCCTGGTACTGGGTCGGGTACATGTGGTTGCGGGCAGCTGCCATGAAGATACAGCGGTTGAGTCGTTCACTGCCAGGGTCATGCTTTAGGCCGGCCTGGTAGACCTGGATCTCCTTCTTTTGGCATGCCCAAAGTACGGTACGTGTGTGTCAGGCCCTGCTGGACATGCGGGTTCTTCATTGCCAAGGGTGAGCTCAAAAGCTGCTGTCCTAGCATCATCGCATCATCGGTCTCGCCTGTTCTCGCCAATGCAAAAGATTTCAGCGCCTACCATGCACAAAATGCGGATTAAGTTCTAGATCGAAGGGCGATATGCGATTATATACATGCACTGCAATAGCTTATTTTTTTACCTTGGCACTGAGGTGGTTCGGGTTCTTGCGGAGCAGTCGGTTGCACTCGCTGAGGGCGCGCTTCATGTCGCCAATGTCAAGTGCATCTAAATCGAGAGTCGAAATTCAGTCTCAGGCCTTTGGATACTGTAGGCATGGCTCTGGACCAAAACATGCTGCTTACCGTAGACTGGACGCAACTGGCGATTCTCCATTTTGTCAAAATGTTCTTTTTGAAGTGAATAAGTGGGATGGCTGGGAGAGCAAAGAGAAGCAAGGAACTAGCTATCCATCAATTACGAGGCAAAAAAGTTTTTTTTTTCCGCACATGAAATTTTGATTTCCTAGCTCCCCATAACAGAGCCACTGGCGATGACGTACAGGCAAAGTCGAGCAATGTGACTAGCGCAGGCAAGGAAAGCACTAAAACTCAATATACATCCTTCAACACATAATGTCTGAGCAGGTTGCCAAAAAGTCGCCGACAGACTTCCTCAATAGCATCCTAGGGCGCCGGGTGTTTGTGCGGCTGAACTCTGGCATCGACTACAAGGGGGTGCTTGCATGCCTGGACGGGTACATGAACATTGCGCTGGAGCAGACAGAGGAATACGTGGACGGGGAACTGCGGAACCGGTATGGCGACACATTCATCCGCGGAAACAACGTTCTGTACATCTGCGGGATATAGAAAAAAGCGAAGCCCGATCGTTACGTATGCAAGCGCTTTTCCGTTAGGGTAGTCAGGTTTAGAAAATTTTTTCAATGAAATAATCGTCAACCGCTTCGCTGCGTGAACCCTCTCTGGAAAACTCTTCTTTCGCTTGCTCTTTTATATTGCTACAGCACAGTTTTTTTTATACAATGGACGATTTAGTGCAAAACTTTTGCGCAGTTACTGGTGCTGAAGCCGATGTAGCGACTGGGTACCTGCAGGCAAGTTCTGTCGAGACAGAGGACAGCGGGCGATTCACTGTTGGAAATTCGTTGGCCCAATGCTGAGGCTGTTTCATTGTAGGTATCGGATAACAATGTTGAGCAGGCGGTGTCGCTGTACTTTGAGAATGGCGGACGGCCTCTGCAGAGCCATACCTCAGCGCCCGCAGCCTCGGGTCCAGGCAGCAGCGAAGGTCTGGGCAGCTTTGCTGGCGGTGGCGAAGACAGCGTGCGTGCTCCGATTGCCGCCCAGCGTGATGTGCTCGTAGCGGATTACGGAGGCGGCTCCTACCAGTCCTACGGCTATGCGCGCAGCTCTGGCGGGGTTTGGGCGGCACACACAGCACTCAATCTTTAATCAACACCGTGGCGGCGGCGGACCAGTTCCGTTCAGGGATTTCGCACAGGAGGCTGCCGAGCTGGCTGACTCCGATTCTGATACCGAGATTTCACCTGTGGCGGCCACGTCGTCTCGGCGCGACCGGCTTGCTGAGCTTTTTAAACCGCCATTTGACCTGATGTTTGTGGGCGACTTTCAGGCAGCGCGGCAGGAGTCCCAGAGGACGGCAAATGGCTGCTGCTGAACATCCAAGATGTTGCTGACTTCCGGTGCCAGGCGCTGAACCGCGACATCTGGAAGGATGAGCTCATCAAAGATATTGTGGCCAAAAACTTTGTATTCTTGCAAATTGCGGTCGATACCAGTGAGGGCGGCAGGCTGGCCAGTCTGTACAATACGCAGGGGGAGTTCCCATTCATTGCTATTATTGACCCCAAGACTGGCGAGTGCCAGCGGGTGCTGAGTAGGTTCTCGAGGCCAAATGATTTTATGGACGACGTCATGTCGTTTTTGGCCAGCAGCCCAGCGGGTGCAGCAGGTAGCTCAGCAGCAGCTCGGGCCACAGGTGGCATGCGCTCCAGTACCCGGCCGGTGCATGAGATGACTGAGGAGGAACAGTTGGCAGCCGCTATTGCTGCCAGCGAGCTCGAGACCCACCACGAGGGCACACAGGACGACCCAATCGACATTGTTGACTCGGACGACGATTTCGAGTCGGATGGATGATGACGACGATGACGACGATTTCAGCTGAGATCCACACCATCAGCAGCTCATCATACTCGCTGCCCGACGCCGACGACATGGAGGTTGAGGATACCTCACCCTCACCTGTCCGGCTATCAGCTCCCCAGCCCGCAGTGGACCTCGGCCCAGATGCCTGGTACAAGACTCTGCCAGCGATTGCTCCACCCGAGCCACCGCTTCGGCCCCACAGTCACTCGTATCCAATTCCGCCTGCCCAACGGCAGCCGCGTGGTGCGCCGGATTCTCAAAGTCCGACAAGGTGTTGGTCCTGTTTCAGTACCTGAAGGCGTCGGTGGCGGAGGCGCAGAGCGAAGTTCCCGAAGTGCTATTTATGCGTAGTCGTCTTGTCCGAGGCCACAGGGCAAACCATCGAGGAAGGCAAAGCTCGTCAATGCCTCAGTAACAGTCGATATCTAGCACACTCGTTAAATAAAGCCCTGTGTTCCTTTTTGAGAAAAGCAGGCGGGTTGGAATTGTGTGCATCTTGTATTACCTGGAATGTTTAGACTAACCAGCGCCTAGTTCACTGCAATAGTGCTCGCAGAAAGTGCTTGATTTTCGCTTTGAGGTGTCTGGCAAGAATGTTTACCTCAAAAACACCACCCATGCTACTGCACGCTTTCTTTTCTCTAGTCATTTCCCTCCCTTCCTAATTTCATTTTTTCCATACAAGCGCGCATTCCATTTATTCTATCTGTCATGGTAAGCATAGGCTCACAGGTTGCTTCATGGCTGGTCCCACACGGCCAAGACGTATATGCAAGTAGGCCCAAAGCTAACTTGCACTTTTGTTTAGGCTACTCCAGCGGCTCCGCAGAACCCAAACGACCTGTTCACAAAGCAGCAAAAGATTGGTAAGTACCAAGGCGCTGCAGGACAGAATCTTTCACCTCTAGAGCAAGTATGCTAACCAACTCTTCGACATGCTGTCCCTTCTAGGTCGTGGGTCGTTTGGCGAGGTCTACAAGGGGTATGTCGCTATGTCTGCAGCCAGGAAAAACATGCTGAGACAGCAAGTAGTGGTAGAATAGAAGGGCAGAGCGGGGGTGCCAGATGCACGCGCTGAGCTCGGTAGTAGCAGGAGAAGTAGAGGGGTTTGCTTTTTTTGTTTTGTTTCCATTAGGCTGCATCGCACATCTGCCCTGCTAAACATCTGCTTCATATCTAGATTCGAGACGCGCACAAAGCGGCCGGTCGCAATCAAGATCATCGACTTGGAGAGCGCTGAGGACGAAATCGAGGACATCCAGCAGGAAATCTACATTCTGTCGCAGCTGGACTCGCCACATGTGACAAAGTACTTTGGCTCGTACTTGGATGGGTCGAAGCTATGGATTGTGATGGAGTTCTGCGGCGGCGGCTCATGTGCCGACCTAATGAAGCCTGGCAAGATCAGCGAGGCGTACATTGCCATCATTCCTGCGCGAGATGCTCCAGGGTCTGAACTACTTGCACCACCAGGGCAAGATCCACCGCGACGTCAAGGCAGCCAACGTCTTGCTGACATCGAACGGCGATGTGAAGCTGGCCGATTTCGGCGTCTCGGGCCAAATTACAGCGACGCTGACGCGCAAAAACACGTTTGTGGGCACGCCGTTCTGGATGGCACCCGAGGTAATCAAGCAATCCGGGTATGACTACAAGGCAGATATCTGGTCACTGGGCATCACGGCCATTGAGCTGGCCAAGGGCGAGCCGCCGCACGCCGAGATGCACCCAATGAAGGTGCTGTTTGTGATTCCGAAGAACAACCCGCCCGAGCTCGGTGGCCAGTTCTCGCGTACATTCCAGGAATTTGTTGCGCTGTGTCTGAAAAAGGACCCACGTGAGCGGCCTACTGCCGATCAACTGCTCAAGCACAAGTTCATCCGGTCGGCCAAGCGCTCGTACTACCTGACCGAGCTGATCCAGCGCTGGGAGCGGTGGCGGTCGGCCCTGCCCGACACGCGCAACGATAAGAACGACGCCAAGGCTAGTGGCAATGTGGAGGAGGAGCAGGTTACATGGGACTTCAATTCGGTCCGCCAGAGCCTGCCACAGACGCCGGCAGCCCAGCAGCAGCAGCAGCAGGGATTGCCACCTCGCAAAGCACACCAATTTGGCCAGCACCAGTTGCATGCATCGGCGTCCTCGTCGACTACCAGCACGACATCTTCGTCGATTGTGTCGGCGGGCGGCAACACATCGGCACTACCGGCCCCTCCAGCTATCAGCACTGGCGGCAATCGCTCGCGCAGCGGAAGCACAGCGTCCAATGCATCTGGCCACCACCATGCGCTCAATGGCCCGCGGATGCAGCCATCGTACGGGTCCAGCATCCCGGCCAGTCCAACTACTCCGCAGCGCCATCTCAACAACGCCTCGCCAATCAACATCCCCCAGTATGGCGCTGGAACACCGGGTGCTAAGCCCGGAATGGGCAGCCGCCCGACGTCGGCACACCAGTCTGGCTCGCCATCTAGACTGCAGCAGCCAACCAAGATCGGCACGACGCCGACACAGCAGCAGCAATGGGTGGCCGGTAATGGTGCTGCGCAAAAGTCGCGCGAGGACCTCTACCATCGGATTCTGATGCCAATGCTGTGCGATATGGAGCGCTTGACAAACAATTCAAGGGAGAAGAACGGATTCTGCACTCTGGCGGATACACTGCGCAAGCTCGAGCATGAGATGCCAGGGTTCACAGACGTGTTCACCAAGGAGCTGACGGTGCGCGTAAACAAGCACTACGCGACGCGGCGTGGCTAACTCTGCACTGGTGTGCTTTCTGCCTCCCGCGAAGGCGCAACAGCAAGCCTTCTCTTCCATACTAGCCTCTCCCCTTTTCAAATTGCCTGGTTCATATTGAGATCTATTCAAAAACTGACGCAGCTAGAAATTCTGCCGCTTGTGCTTGCGGTTACCAGTCCGCTTGACGGCGTTCGGGTTCTTGCGGTTACGCGCGACCATCGGCATGCCGCGCGCATCGGTGGCCACGCCGTAGCCTTTGGAGTCTGCCAGACTGTTGCCGACAAGCAGGTCCGGGATGAAGTCCGGATCCAGCAGCGAGTTAACACCACCCAGGCCCGAGTTGGCTTTGGATTCCTTGATATTCTTGTACCGCACTGCGCTTTGGTACGCCTTGTCGTCCTCGCGCGTAATGATGTCGCGAATCGTGTGCTTGCCGCCGTGCGGCTTGGGCATCGAGTACACCGTGCCGCGCAGATTATACCTGTAGTCCTTCTTCAGATGCACCTGGAGCTGGCCGTTCGTGCTGGTAGTGACCGAGCAGCGCTTCAAGGTCGGATGGCCACATGCTGGGCAGAACTGCTTGTTCATGTCGCCGGTGAGCTCAAAGCATGCGTGGCAGCGCAGCACCCATGTGCGCAGCCGACGTACGGCAATGCCGTCGGGCGTCACCAGGTTAATACCCATCTTGAGGATCACGTTTTGCATGGCGAAGTCAGACGTCACGCAGGCCACCTTCAGGATGGCCTTGGGGCGGTCCGACATGGCGTTCTTCATGCCCATAGCGCTGGCAGCTTGGTGCAGCTTGACGTTGTTTGGCGTGATCCATTCACCGTTGAAGAAATCATCCTTGCGTGGCGCCTTCTTAGTGCGCTTAGGGCCGGCCACCTCCCAGCCATCGTCATCGTCGTCACCGCCCTCCTCAGCCTGCTGGGTCTCGGAATCCTCGTACTCCTCGTCGTCGTCGAACTCCTCATCGGATCCAACTTCAAACTCGTCCTTAGCGGCGCTTGTAAGCACAATGCCCTCCTCGGCAATACCAACCGTCTCCTCGTCCTTGGGCTCAACCGACAGATCCTCGATTGTCTGCTCCAGCTGCTCAATCTCCTTGTCAGACCCCTTGGCAGCCTCCTCCGACTCGTTGGCCTCTCCGATCTCATCAGCTTCCTTGGCCGCCTCGTTACTGTCATTGCCAACAACCTCGACCGCGTTCTTCATCAGCTTGCGATCTGCAATGTTCGGCTGGTTGCCCACAGGCTCAAGCCTGAGCCTACGCATCCCGTTTGCCTTCTTCTCCAGCATAAATCCAAGCGCAATGATCTTGAGATCGGCCATCGCCAGGCTCGCATAATCACCCGTCTTCCTGGCAAACGCAACCACCGCATTCATGCTCTCGGCATCAGGCTCGATCACATCAATGCCGTATTTCATATCAAGGCTCTGGTACCGGTCCTTGGAGGCACGGCTGCGCAGCTCGCCCAAGACCTCGGGGATTGTCACAAACTTGTTTGCAATGTGGTCCAGGGGAAGGCCCTTGATGAACGGGTTCGTGTCCACGACAAGAGTTACAACAGGCTTGTTGTTGTTTAGCTGCAGCTTTTCCTCGTATGTCAGCACTGCAGGCTGCTGATCAGCAATGGCCGAGGGCGCTTGTGTCGGTGTAGTCGTCTCTACTGTATCTGCTGCGCTCGACATTTTAAAGGTTTGTTCGTTGGAATAGAAAAATGGCTCCTGAAGGAGGGTGAGGAAATGAAGCTGGCAACAGATGAAAAAAATGGCTTTTTTTTTATAAACCTGGTCCTGATCAATCACTGCGATTACCGAGAAATCATGGTGCCGCTGCTGGCTTGCCTGGACTGCTGGTATCACATACACGTTCATGGAATCCCTGTGGTCTGCATTTTGTCTCTACACGCTCGCCCTTTCTGCTTCTCCATTAACTGTAATGCGTATTCTCAGGCTTACCAGTCACCTTGTGCAGCTCTTCGTGCTAACATGTGTTGGCTGCCTGCTGCTTCGCACCCTCTATATGGGTGCGCAGCTCGTAGCCAGTATCTATTTCCCTGCAACAAAAGTCCCCTACCTCAATCCACACCCGGTCCGCAGTACCGTGCCAAAGCCAGGGACCTTGGTGTGGCAGGAGCCCTTCAAATACGAAGCAAAGGTATATCTAACTGAAGCGGTCTACCAGCCGCTTCTTAACGACAGGTTTTTTGAGCAGGCCACGGAGGTCTGGCACATCGAGCCCCAGAGCCTGGCCAACAGGTACCCGGTATTCAACAAACATGGTTTTGAATATCACCAATCTTGGAGCGTATTCGTGGCTGACTGTGTTCCTCCAGGAAGCGGGTCAATTTTCTCCGCACCCAAATATAAGCGACCCGTTCCTGGTTGTTAGCCATATCAAACTGTCGGATTATGGCTTCTATTCGAGACCACCCATGCAGTTGGCCAAGAAAGTCGGGAGGTTCAATAATGCACCTTTCTACGAGGCTCTCTCTGTGACTACCCAGGCGGTGTGGAAGTTGTATCTCGAAGACAGCCTGCCTATTGTCGGCACTGTACGCAATCCACAGTACCCTCAGCACCCTGTTGCTCTCAACATGAGCACCAGTATTAATGGTACGGATGATACAGCAAGCTCTGACCATACCTATCTCCCACTGCTTCTCCATGATACGTACGCTCCGTCTACAAGCCAGTTGCACCCGCTACCATGGTTCAACGGGTCACTAAATGTTGGCGTTAACATGGAGATACGCGGAGTGCGCGCTGGGCTGGAAAACAGTATGCATCATGTAGCCACCACACTCGATGGCTGGATTCGTTCGGTTTTTAAAGCTGGTCATGAGGGCAGGGTTGCAGTGCTTGTCCTACCATCTGCACCGGTTGCATACAGGAGTATAATCTCGACAGCAGTGTATTTGGTCCTACTCCCCGTTTTTGTCGCTCTGTTGATCTTCCGCCAGCTCGTTGTCGCCAGGCATTTCTTTGCATCGGCCATTACGAACAAAGGATGGCCTAGCTTCATTGCAAGGGCTTACATGATGCTTATCTGTAAGGTAGAGCGTTTGGAGGACAACATGGGGCTAGTTATACCGCACAAACGGATGCATGAGCTATACCTTCAGATGACAGATTATTGGCACATGTGTGCAATAGGTCTAGCAATTCTCCCCTTAAACAAGGTGTTCGTGGTCATTAGCAGCAGATATGGCGCACAGGCGGTCAATCCGGCTGAGAAAGAGAAGGACGCGCAACTGCTGGAGCATGTCAAGGAAGACGGGGCCGATGATATGAATGCTGCCTTCAACACTTCATATGCACTAGCGCTGAAGCTGATGTTGGCAACCATGTCCATATCGCTGGCTGTCGAGTCTGCCTATTTCATCTATGCTTCAGACATTTCTACCCTGCCTGATTTGGTTGACGCTTGCAAGGGACTAGCAACACATTGGTATGCCACAATACCTCATATCATAGGCCGTATTTGGGACTGCGTTGTTGTTACTCGGTTCCTTCCACCCATCATCATGTCGTTCAATCGCAAGTCGACTTGCGGTATTCCTGTCATCTACCACGCACTACATATGGCCGAGTTTACTGTTGTTGGGCTGCTGTATCTCTACAAGACGCCTCTTGTATTGCGTCCAGAAACTATGCCGTGGACCGATTTCGCCATGGGGGCTGGGAGCATCGTCCTGGTTGCTCAGTGGGCTATCTATGATAGGTTCCAGTAGCTCCTTTGTAATGCTTCTAACTTCTAGCTTCTGAACAAACATCAAAGGCTGATCGTCTCTAATCGACATGGCCAGGTGGTGCTTGGTGTGCGATGCCCACCCACATTCCACGATCCGCAAAAGAAAACAGCGCAAGCTGCAAGAAGCGGATTGCCCGTTGATTTTTCCATAAATTTTCGAGCTGACAAAGAAGAGGGCGCGTAGATCCATGCATACGCGCTTGCCGCAGATGTTCCTGATGGGGAACAGCTTGGTAGCTTGAAAGCTTGAAGAGTGGTGGAGGGTAAAAATAGCCGTTTGCCTCCAGGCCTAGTTCTTGACGAGAACCCGTGGTCCTGAGTCGCTTTGTTTTGGCCAGCATTGGGAGAAGGAGGAGACGTGTCCTTGCCTCTGCTTTGTCCCTCCAACCGATATCTCTCATCCTCACCCTCTACGTTATTTCGCCACCAAATACCTCCCCCTTAATCCCGTGTATCTCCTGTTATTTGTCGCACCAGTATAATGGTTTCCCGTCGGTTTGTTTCGTTTCTTTCGGCGGCGTGCATGTCCAGCTCACTGGTCCTGTCGCTGGAGACAAAGATGCCCTCATATGACCTGTCCCAGGTGAAGGGTGGCCAGCTTATCAAAAACGGGCGGCCGACATACTGCGCAATTGCCCCGATTGATAACATGAGCGCCTATGTGAGTGCCGACTGTCTCGAATATGTTGGAGGCAAGATAAAAACCTCCGTCAACTATCAGGTTGCTGTCAATGACGCCTACGATGGAGCGCAAGGGAAGTTTAACGTGAGCTATGTGACCGTACACCCGAGCTACGACCCCAAGACAAAGGCCAACAACATCGCCATCCTGGAGTTTAACCTCGGTCAGGCGGAGACCTGGAGCAACCGCAACGCGTTTTACTTCCCGCAGTGGACGAGCGTTGTCTACGCACAGCGCAACGTGACCAACGTGGAAAGCTTGACCTGGGACACGCATACAGCTGGCGCCAACATCTACAACTCAACTGAGTGCAGCACGGCCTCGCCACTGTTTGCCGAGAACAAGTACGACCTCTTATGCAGCACAACCATTATGAAGCCTAACAAATCGGCTACATGCGACATGCCGTACGGAGTCGTTTACGCTACTGTCAACGACACGTACTATCAGGCCGGGCTCTTTAGTCATACGGCTGTCTATGGCGGCTCAGACCTATGTTCGTACAGCAAGCAGTATACCTACTACACGCTGCTGGCAAACTATGTGATGTTTGCGGCTATCACGCTTAACCGTACGGTGTATTTCACTCTACCGTACAACAACATGACACCGTCAGTTAGCGGCGAGTACTCGATGAATGTTCCCAAGTCAGTTGATGTCAGCGGCGTCACCTATGTCGGAGGCGATTTCTATGCCCGTCTGAGTGAACTGGGTTCGAGTATGAGCTCTGCCTCGTCGCCTTCGGGCACAGAAACGGCTGGCTCATCTCCGACCAGCTCGCAAGGTCCTAGCAGTGAAAGCAGCGCCAACAAATCGTCAGGTGGCACGTCCAACAAAACGACCATTATTATCGCCGTCTGTGCTTCGCTTGGATCTGTGCTTCTGATTGTCGCGGCCTTCTTCCTGTACAAGTGGATCCGGCGGATTAATAACGAGCGCAAGTGGGGTCCTGATGAAGAGAACGCCCAGCTGACCATGATTGCAAATGACCTTGGCGGTGCTGAGATGCCTAACGCTCAGAATACATCCAGTCTACAGCAGCAACAGCAGCAGCAACAGCAGCAACCACAGCCGCCGCCATCGAACATTGTGCACCAGTCTATTTCGCAAGAGGAGCTCCAACAGGAAATCGAGCAGGTCCAGCCTGAGCCAGACCTCCCCACATATAATGATGCTATCAGTGTCGCAAACATTATCAACGGGAAACGCAGATAAAAGTGTCGTATTTGAAGTACATCCACGCCAATAAAACTCTAGTTATTAAATATAAAGACGCACCTGTGTGGCTACAAAGTATGAATCTCGTAGATACGAATGGTTCATTGTATCCTATGTTGAGTGGAGCACAGCAAGAGATGATTTTTATAGCTGGATGCTGGATTGATTTATGGTACGGTATAGAGCAATACGTGGTAGTGTACTAAGGACATTAAATCTATTCATGCTGTGTCGCCTTCTAACACTTAATAGTGGTGACCACGCCGTCGTTGTCAAGGGCCTTGATCGACTTGCCCCACCTGTACTGCCTCTTGGCCACAACATACTGGTACGACTTGACACGAGAGACACTCTCCGACCACTCCTCCTGCGTCTCCTTGTTGTACGGGTTCATCAGATCGTCCATGCGCACCTCCAGGAACTTCTTCAGCCAGACGATTTCGTCAACATGGTGGCCGTTGATCTTGAGCAGGCTGCCCGAAAAGCCCCAGGCGTTAGCCTTGAACGACGCACTGGTCCTCTCGATGAGAGCATCAATTGAGTCAGGGTCAGTACCTTCGCCATGCTGAATGATCGTGTCGTACAGCTGAGCGCGGGTCACGTCGAGCTTGGCGCCCAGCTTGTCAGCAATCACCTGCGACGGGTTGAGGTACATGCTATCACGGATAGAGTTCTGTGCACAGCGGAACTTGGCATCAGACTTGCCCAGCTTCTCCCACACCGAGCAGTAGCCGTCCAAGCCAGCGACCGAGCCACTGTTTGTCTTGTCCAGCTCCTTCATAACCTCGTCGTACTTGCTGAATTCGTCCTTACCGCCGGTCAGCTTGTGGTACTGCTGGATCACGACCCAGGCATCCGAGGTGCCAGAGCAGAAGCCAGCAATACCAGCAGTGTAGCCGCGACCATCATTGAGGTTCTCGCAGTAGTCGTAGTGGAAGTCAGTATCGCCATTCTCGTAGATATTGGTCAGCTGGAGCGCAATGTTCTTGGAGCAGGACGAAAGTGCGGCATTCGCCGAAGAGAAAGTGGCCAGCGTAGCGACAAGGCCAAGTGTGGCAGTGGTGAATTTCATTATTAGCGTTTGTATGGATTTGGGATGTTTAGAAGAGATAGCACGCGATCGACAATGGAAAGGGGGTGATATGCGAGGGAAGAGGAGAGTTGATGTGTGTGTGTTAACTATCGGGTCGCTCAATGGCAGGGTTGGGCCAGCTGGTCTGTTTTATGAAGCAGCTTTTGAAAAAACGGGCTCATCGAAGGCTGGACGAGCGAAATTACCGACCTGCTTCCCCCTCCCCAATTTCCCGATTGTTGTCATTTCTATTCAGGGGTCTGAAAGACCGCACCGGTTTCTTTGTGGAGCGAGATGGGGATAAGGAAATCCGGCTTGGCACCTGCTAAACACGGTACGCTTTTGAAACATTACTCTGCTTTGGTATGTGGGTGGGCATATTTGGTTGATCAAGAGTGACATTCATGCATATACAGCATGGTGGCTATAAAAATAGACATCGGCGATGTTCAAATCGAGTGTTTGCTGCTTGCTAGAGCTATATTGGCAAATGGTTCTGTTGTTATTGCATGGCACATTCCATACGGACCGGGATTCACAGGCTATGGCTTGCCTGGAATTGTTCGGTCTTTCCGCATATGACAGCTATAAAGGCTACTGCATGCTACCACCATCCTAGACAGTCCATTTATTTTCTGACTTGAGCTGGCATGCAACAAGAGTCTATATCTTGCATTTGACTTCGGCGACCTTGCCATCATTGTCCAGAGCTTTTATGGAGCTGTCCCACCTGTACTGCTTCTGGGCAACAATGTACTGGTACGATTTTACACGGGTGACACTCCCAGACCACTCCTTTTGCGTCTCCTTGTTGTGCGGGTTCTTCAGGTCGTCCATGCGCACCTTGAGGAACTTGTTCAGCCAAACGATTTCATCGACATTGTGTCCGTTGACCTTGAGCGTGCTGCCTGATGATCCACTGGCATCAGCTTTAAATGATTCGTTCGTCCTCTTGATAAGACCTCCAATCGAATCATAACCCTCGCCTATGCCGTGCTGGATCGAGGCATCATAGATCTGGGCGCGGGTCACATCAAGCTGAGCATCCAAGCTGTCAGCCAGCTTCTGCGACGGATCAAAATACATTTCGTCGCGCACCTTCTCCTGAGCTGTGCGGAACTTGGGGTCGGACTTGCCCAGCTTTTCCCATGTCTTGCAGTAGCCATCAAGCCCGGTGGTGGATCCACTGCCAGACTTGTCGAGCTTTTTCATGACTGCATCGTACTGAGAGAACTCATCCTTACCGCCTGTCATCCTATGGTACTCCTGCAGCACAACCCAGGCATCTGATGTGCCGGTGCAGAAGCCAGCAATGCCAGAAGTATAGCCGCGGCCGTCGTGGATGTTTTCACAGTAGTCGTAATGAAACTCAGTGTCGCCATTCTCATAGATGTTAGTAACTCTAAGAGCAAGGTTCTTTGCACAGCCAGATAAAGCAGCGTTGGCAATGGAGGATGTTGCCAGAGCGCAGACGAGTCCAATGGTAGCAGTGAGGGTTCTCATTGTCGGTGTGGCTTGTTTAGTTGGTTGGCTAGAGGTGTTGCGATTATGCTCATTCTGGCTGAGCTAGACTGAGGGGTGGTTGTGGATTTATATGCGACAATGTAGACGGGTACACCATAGGGAGAGAAGAGGATAAATGTGGCACACTCATCTCACATATCTATCTTGGCATGGCCGCTTGTTCGCAAGCACATCTCTCCACATCAGCCCCACTCACCATGGATCAATGGGGGGGCTTTAGTGATATCTGCTGCCAAGCTATGTGCAAGGCCGCATGAATGCAATTGATACTCTTGGCGATAACAGACAAAATAGCCAACAGACAGATGTTGGTTTGAATAGTCCTACTCACAGACACAAATAACATTGCCGCATACTGCACCACACCGTATACTTCATCAGCCTTTAGGCAATTGTAGTGCATGGACCAAGCGGCACATTCTCACTGACCATTGACAGCATTCCACCGCTCTTGGCGTGGGAGGTCCTAGCTGCCCTCTATGTAAGTCTGATCCGAATCTATACTACTTGGAGAAAATGTCTCCAATCACCATGTGTAACTCAGCTACTATGTCCTTCGAACTAGTAAACCAATCACAATATGTTATCGCACTGTAAATTACATGGACATTATTTTCATCGGGGTGGTGCGCCGACAAGTGCAACATATTTAGTACTGCAACCTTTTGTTTTAGTGTAGGGGTGTCATTTGGCTATTTTACATACCTTTATTCTCAATGAACTCGGTGCTCATCTTGTAGGTGTATTACCTTTGTGCTTTATTGCTATAAACCTGCTCACTGTATAGTACTGGAAACAAATACAGCGTTCTAACGATCTCTGCGAATTACATTCCTGATGAGGCAGCACCGCCTAGTGATTGCGAACCTCCTGCACACATAACTGCCAAACTACCATGATGATTATGACGAGCAGCACATCGATGACAAGGACCAGTAGCGGCCCATGCATTTTGTGGGTGCGTGTTACCATGGAGATCTGATATCATGCTCATCTTCAGCGTGACTAGGACAAGCAGTTTGAACACTTCATCCACAGGTTTCAGGATGTCTAAGATGCCTTGGATTTGGGAATACGACTTGGGTAGTGAAAAGGCTGCAATGGTTTCGTTTCCAGACTTGTCAGTAAGCGTCCATCGCGACCCGATCTTGCTCTTATGCCATTTGTATTTGCATCCTGAGGAGTCTACAAATTTCCATGCGCTGCTGTCTGCAAGCCGTTGTGATGCATGGCAGATTTCGCCAAATCCACTCAAACTGGCGGTAGTGTTGGTCATTGTGGCTGTCATTGATAGCACAGGGGTCCTCTGAGTGGAACCACAGGAAGATTGTGATGTGCGGCTTGTATGCGTTTATAGTGTAGCTGGGATGTGCCGTGCTATTGGCATATACCTTGCCATTGATCGAGCTTTCATATACCAGAGACGTATCACTGGGCTCTCCATTGCAAATTGGTGTAAGAGACCGAGCGCTGAGACATGCTACAAAACAAGAATACTAGGAAAACAGCCGGAAAGCAGGGCTTGATAGCGATTGCGTCGGGTTTCGAGGCTACGTGTAGCAACGAGCACTACATGTGTTGGGCTGTTTCCTGACACTTGGCATGCAGTGCCAAGATGGCACATGACGCAATCTAGCATGGAATATCCGAAAGCACGGCCAGATCTCCTAATCCAGACATTGCTGATACATTGATTTCCAGAATGTCCCACAACGGCCTAACTCGTGCGTGTCGCGGCTATATGCAGGCAGGGTCGGGCGCAGATTTCACCGTGCCGCTGCACCTCGCTGTTCACACGCTCCTTCTACATACCGGCACTTTCTACACTTGTAATCTAGCAACCACCAGCAATCACAACAAATAATGACGGGTACGACCTGGGTTCTGCAGTGGAAGGATGCACAAGGCACGGCTTCGCTGGGACTGCTACAGGAGCGCTTGTTGCGCGGCCTACGTGCGAGCCTGAAGGGACGGTGGAGCCTCGATACGCGTCTGTTCCGGTCGCCACACAACTACCTGGAGCTGCAGAACATCAAGGTCGGGAACGCCGAGTGGCGACGCAGCCGTGCCCCTGGAGAACCGCGGCACAGCATCGGACAAGTCAATGTACCTGGTGGTGCGCGGACAGGGGGCGGCACGGCGGCAGTTTATAGTGATGGCTAGCAACCGCGTGGTGGTGGAGGCGGAGCCTGAAATGGAGTCGATCCTTTTGCGGCTCAAAAACCTGTGGACGCCTCGGCAGTCGGCACGGATCGAGGGATACAGCTACGAGGGAGACGACTGGGTGATCCACATTGGCAACATGATGGTGGGCACAAGCTACAAGGGCCTGGTGATTGAGATTAACTACCTGCCGTGCTCGAACCCGGACCAGACGTACGGGCTGATGCGCGAGCTGTTAATGATGATTCTGCCTGCCGATGCCCAGATCGATGTCAACAGCGGCGTGGACTACCGCCGGGCCGGGCTCGACCCGCATTGTATGACGGACCGCCACACTGCATACCAGTACGTGCACCTGTTTACCCAGAGCAGCCTTCTGTGAAGAGGAAAACCCCGTTGTCGCCGGCGGGCTTGTGACTCACTCTGGACCAGAGTGGAAACGGATGTTCGCTCGATGTCGCACCAGCAGCGAGATTCCCTCCTCACAGCCTCGGCTTGAGATAGCAGCTCCAGCACTAGCGTTGCTCCCACGGATCATAAAATCGATAGCTGGCCTGTCTTTGGCAGTGTCTGCAAGAAAAATTTTCAGTTTGCATGTGGGAGGGGGAGTGTTCAAGAGCGAGGATCGGCTGCTAGTTGGACACAAAAAGAGAAGGCGGGGGCGAGCTACGGCACTAGGGATGTGTGAGAAAATGGGACTGAGGTGCCTCTGCCGATGCTGAAAGACCAGCTCGCATTGGCGGACACAAAGTGGGGGTGGATGCAGGCCTCGAATAGGAGCGACGTAATAGAAGGACAAATTGGGGACCCAGATGCCGAGAGATGGAGCTTCCTCGTATAGCAACGGCGCTCCAGTGCGAAGAACGGATTTTTTGGAATTCCTTTAAAACCTGTGGAACCAAACAGGGCCACACCTCCGCAATAATAAATTGGTTCCAACATCCTCTGTTCTGGCCCTCTTTTCGCTCCAATATTTTTTCATTACACCACATTCGCGACTTTTTTGCTTTTTCTTTTGCTACATCCTGCACATTTTAGACACATTTCCATCACGTAATACTCCGCATCACCATGGGGAGCACCGAAGCAATTGAAGATTTCGCCCCAACGCCACAGCCGCCCCGCACGGACACGATCTACCCTGCAGGTGCGCCAGACATGGGGGACGAGAAGGACATCATGCGTGCCGACACCATGTCAGAGGACCTGGAGGACCAAAAGCAGGGTGCACCCAAGCTCAAGCGGTCGCTCAAGAGCCGCCACATGGGCATGATCGCCATCGGCGGCACAATCGGAACCGGCCTGTTCATCGGAAGTGGCACGACAATAGCAGAAGCCGGGCCGGCGGGTGCCCTTGTCGCCTATGCGGTGATGGGCTCGATGGTGTTCTTCGTGTGCACGTCGCTGGGCGAAGTGTCGACGTTCATCCCTGTCTCTGATCCGTTCAACCATTTCGCCGCGCGCTTCATGGACCCAGCGCTCGGATTTGCCTTCGGGTGGAACTACTGGTACTCGTGGGTGCTGACGGTGGGCTCGGAGCTCGTTGCCTGCGGGATCATCGTGCAGTACTGGCTGCCGAACGTGTCTGGGTGTGCTTTGGAGTTTTGTTGCGTTGGTGATCATGTTCCTGTTCAACGCCGTCTCAGTCAGGGGCTACGGCGAGGCCGAGTTCATCATGTCGTCGCTCAAAGTCATCACAGTATTCGTGTTCATCATTGTCGGCATCCTGACCATCACAGGAGCCACTGGTGGGCACTACTATGGAGGTGAGATGTGGCATAAAGAGGGAGCGCCGTTTAAGGAACACATTGTCGGAATCCTGAAGGCCTGCATTGTAGCAGCGTTTTCGTTCCAGGGCACTGAAATCATCGGTGTCACCGTCGGCGAGTCAGCCAACCCGCGCAAGGATGTGCCTCACGCCATCCGCTCGGTGTTCTGGCGTATCCTGTTCTTCTACGTCTCCTCAATTGTCATTATTGGTCTGGCTGATCAGTAAACCAGAACGATAACCTGGTTAACGGCGGTGGCGCCGACCAAGATCGGCCAATCACCGTTCACAATGGTGTTCGAGCGGGCTGGAGCTGCCTGGGCTGGGCATGTCATGAATGGGGTTGTGCTTGTCACAGTTCTGTCCTGCTGGTAACTCGGGCCTGTATGCGTCCACGCGCGTGCTGTGGGTGCTGGCCAAGGAGGGCAAGGCGCCGCGCATTTTCCGCAAGGTCACCAAGGGTGGAGTTCCGATCTGGGCTCTGTCATTCACTGCCTTTCTGGTCGATGGCCATCTTCCTGATCTCGCTGGTCGGCAACCAGGTCGTGTATGTGTTTTTGATCAACCTCGCTGGTCTCTCGGGCATCGTGTTCTGGCTCGGCATCGGCCTGTGCCACTGGCGCTTCCACCGCGCGTACGTCGCCCAGGGCTACGACGTCAAGGACCTGCCTTACCGCGCTGCGCTGTTTCCGTTTGGTCCCATGTATGCATGCTTCCTGCTGACAGTCATCATTATTGGCCAGGGATATGGCACGATCTGGCCCAAGTTTGATGCGGTTGGGTTCGTGTCGACGTACCTAGCGCTGCCACTGTTTTTGATCTTCTGGCTTGGCTGGAAGTACTACAAGAAGACAAAGTGGGTGTCGCTGATGGAGTGCGACTTGGTTACGGGCACGCTGCTCGAGATGGAGCGCAACGGCGAAATTGAGGTTTTCCCGCCCGAGCAGCCGGGCAGACTGAAGCGCATGCTGCGGTTCCGGGGCCGGCAGAAGTCAGACTAGACACATTTCCAATATATTCTGTTTTTCTAGTTTCCCATATACAAAAGCCCGCATTTCATGCAAACCCGGGGATTTGGAGGTAAAAAAATTAGAAATCTGCCGAAAATAGCCCTCTTTATCTTGAAATAGTCGCTTTTGTAAACATGTCGGCAAAGCGGCTCTTGACGCTGGCGCGCGATACGTTCTCTCACGAGGCCACCATCAACTGGTTCCCGGGCCACATGGCGAAGGGCGTGAAGCAGATCCGCGACGAGCTGCGAGCAGTGGATCTGGTCGTCGAAACACGAGACGCGCGCATCCCGCTGTCCTTCGATCAACCCGCAGTTCGAGAAGCTGATCGGCAGCAAGGCGCGCCTGGTGGTCTACAACAAGGCCGACCTGGCGCCAGCAGACTTGCAAGACGCCGTGCGCCACGAGATGCAGAAGCGTGGCCAGCGCGCGATCTTCACAGACACAAACATCAACAAGAGCGTGAAGCGCGTGCTGGACACAGGCGGTCAAGATGGCCAAGGCAGACCCCGTGAAGTACCCGCAGTTTGCCATCATGGTTGTTGGAATGCCGAATGTGGGCAAGTCGTCATTGATCAATGCGCTGCGGCGGATCGGTGTCAACCGCGGCAAGGCGGTGAGCACAGGAGCAAAGCCCGGCGTGACAAGGACGATGAGCAGCAAGGTCAAGGTGTTTGAGTCGCCGCCGGTGTACCTGGTCGACACGCCCGGCGTGATGATGCCGTTTATTGCCGACCCAGTCACCGCGATCAAGGTGGCGCTGACTGGTGGCATCAAGGACAACATCGCCGACGAGCTGGTGCTTGCCGACTACCTGCTGTACCGTCTGAACCGCTTCGAGCAAGTCGAGTAAGTTGTTGACACCAAAACATTTGCCATGCTATTTTTGGGGAGTCCACACACAACACATGTTGTTGACGAGAAGACTAACCGTTGTTATTGTTTTTATGTCTTCGATAGCTACTGCAAAGCGCTGGGCATTGACAGGGCCACCGACGACATCAACGAGTTTGTGGAGCATTCTGGGCAGGAAAATAGGCGCTCTACGCCAGGGCGGTGAGCTGGATGTCGACAAGACCGTGCAGTTTTTCCTTCGGACTTACCGCCAGGGACAGTTTGGTCGCCTGTGTCTGGACGATCTCGACGCGAATGCGGTTGAGGAATTCTTCCAGCGGAATCTGCAGGACGCACCACTGAGCAAAAACCAGAACAAGAAGCTGCTCAAGGCTGCACAGCGGCAGCGTGCAATCGACAAGGCCAGGGCCAAGAACCTCCGGAGCTGATATGGCTGGGGGTTGTGTGGGACAAGGGCACACAGGACCGATGGAGAATGACCAGGGCCTGAAGCCTGCGGCTTATAAATTGCACAGCTTTTGCAGCCAAGAGCCTGTTTTTCATTTTGTTTTTACGCCCACTACCAACATTTTTAACACCCGGTTGCAATGACACAGCCTGCTGGAAAGTCGCAGCATTTCACTGACGAGGAGAAGGAGCAGCTTGCCAAGCTGCGCGAGCAGCTCCCCGACATCATCCACGAGGCGGAGAAGCAATCCAAGGAGCCGGTCAGCTCCTCCCTCTGGGGCGTGTCCCTGCTGGACAAGGATGGTGCGGATGCCCGGGTGGACGTGATCCTTGGCCAAGTTCCTGCGTGCGCGACCCAACGATCTGGCCGCAGCCAGCACGATGCTGACCAACACGCTTCAAATGGCGCGCCGAGTTCAAGGTTGACGAGCTCATGGAGGAGGAGTTTCCCGAGTTCTTCAAGGAGGTCGGCTACACGTACAAGCGCGACAAGCTGGGCCGCCCGGTCACCTACAACGTCTATGGCGGGCTCGACAACAAGAAGGTGTTTGGCTGATCTGGAGCGGTTCATCCGGTGGCGCGTGCAGCTGATGGAATCGGGGCATGCGCCAGCTGGACTTTGTCGACTCGTCGTACATGGTGCAGGTCCATGACTACAACGGCGTCGGCCTGTTCAGCTTCGACAAGGACGCCCGGGCCGCATCCAAGGCCACGATCCAGGTCCTCTCCGACAACTACCCGGAGTCGCTGGCCGTCAAGATCTTCTCGTACGTGCCGTCGTGGGGAGAGACCGTGTTCAACATCGTCGGCCGCTGGCTGTCGGAGGAGACCAAGAAGAAGTTTGTTGTTGTGAGCAAGGCCAGTGCTGAGAAGACGCTGGCGGAGATTATCGGCAAGGAGAATCTTCCAGAAAAGTATGGTGGGGTCGGCAATTCCGAGAGCGAGGAATCTGATGCTGCCAAGCAACCGCCCACGGCCGAGCCTGCTCACGCCAACCCAGAGGACGATGCCCCAGAAGCCCACCTGATGCGCCAGAGGCTGGCGTCATCGATGAGAAGGTCGATCAGATTGCCCAGCCCGCACCCACTGCTGCTCCTGAGGAGGATGGCGTCACTGGCAACACCGATGGGGCTCTGGCCAGCGAGACTGCCGGCATGCGCATTGACGACAAGGCTGAGGAGTCTACCAAGACCGAGGCGTCGTCTAAGACCGAGGAGCCAACCAAGAATGAGGATCTTGTGTCTACAGCAACAACAACGGCTACTACGTCCTAAAAGTCGACTGACTTTCAGTCGGCATTTTTGCAGCCAAACCCGTGTAGCCTCTGATATAATAATTTCGACTTGCTTAAAAAATTTTCGTACTCATTTTGGCTGCGCACAACCAGTGTTTTTTTTTTTTTTTGGATCCTGACACTCTTTTCTAGCTTGCATTTCCAGCTCTCTTCTGCAATGCTTTACTGCCCTCTTTCAAATGACCAAATTAACCGATTTACCCGCCGAGCTCATAATTCGAATATTTCTGTGCGCGGCGAACCCGGCATTCGCAGCGACAAATAGACTGATATATTCGTATGTAGGCAACCCGACACCTCGGCTCTGCTACAAATTTGCAAGGTCGCTCGGGCAGGGCATCCGATCAAACACCATTGCCAGCTGCCTTCCATACAAGTTCCTGAGCACCCAGGTACTGGATCAGATCACGAACGGCAATGAACTGATCACACGCCGACGGCGGAAAAAGAGCGAGCCAGCCATGCTCAAGGTAAAGGATATCAAGATCCCAGCGCGGCTGTTCACAGCAGACATAAAAGAAGACGATGCAGACGGCAAGCCGCCGGCGGCAAAACGGCGAAGGCTGACATATAGCGCGCCGCAAAAGCGGCTGTGCAAGAAGAAGATCAAGCTGGTTGAGCACCTGCTATCGCTGGGCGTGTCGGTGAAGGGAGCCAAGGGTTCGACAGGGCTTGTGCTGTCATCCAAGGCCGGCAACCTGAAGATGGTCAAGCTGCTTTTGAAGAAGGGCGCGGATCCGACAGCAGGCGGCGAGAACAAGGCATTGCTGATGGCGGTAGTGCATGGGCACTTTGGTGTGGTTAAGCGGCTGGTCAAGGCAGGGGCTCCGGTCAACACGCTAGCACTGCGGTATGCAGTGCAGAAGAACCACCTGGACATTGTGGCCTGGATAATGAAGCAGGGCGTTGCGCCGGATATGGTGACGATCCAGCTTCTTGATCAATTATAAGGGGATTGCGTTTGCTGCCAAGGCGATGACGACAGGTGATCGCGCAAGGGCAAGGAGCCGCAGCCTCGGCCATCTCTCCTCTCTGCCCTCTTCTTTGCTGTACTCATTCTCGCTGCATCTTGAGGCTGTATTTTACGGAACATGGCTCTTGTTGGACTCGACGTTGGCGGCTCGCTCACCAAAGGTTAGAAACCAGTCCTCCTTGTTTGTTGCTCGGGTACATCAAGCCCGCCCAGTATGCAGAATAGACTCCTTATCTTGTAGTTGAACCACGATGTAGTGCTGGTGCGTGCAAATGAGCCGAATGATGACACGTTATACGATAACAGCGCATTGGTGCAGTTTGTTATCAAGTACACCGCAGCTGGTGCCCGAGTCCCTGCTGGCTGGCATGCCCAGAAGTCCCCAGAGTATCACCTGCTGCAGTTCCCTACTGCCGAGCTCGAGGAAACCGTCGGCCAGATAACGCTGGCGGCGGATGCACAATCAGACGCCGCCAATCTCCCTGCTCTCCCTGTAGCAGCAACAGGCGGCGGGGCATTAAAGTACAAACACCTACTGGAGTCAAAGCTCCGGGTGGCAATCACATTCGTCCACGAGCTGGCAGCGCTATCAGCGGGCTGGAGACACCTCCACGCCGACAAAGATGCGCTGCCGGCATTGGTGACAAATGTCGGCACCGGCGTGTCGCTAATCCGTATTGATAAGCACGAGTTCGAGCGCGTCACGGGCAGCGGGCTGGGTGGAGCAACTTTCTGGGCGCTCTGCCGGCGTCTGACAAAATACGAGCGATTTTCAGACATTCTGGACGGGCTTGTCCTGGGCAATCCAGGGAACGTCGATACGCTGGTGGGCGACATCTACGGCGCCGAAGCCAGCAAGGAGATTGGCATGCCGGCCGACCTCGTTGCGGGCTTCCTGGGCAAGCTCGCTGAGGACAGCAAGGACGCGGATGTTGCTGCTGCCTTGCTGCGTCTGATGGCCAGCAATCTCGGCCAGATTGCCGTTTTCCAGGCCCGCAGCCTCGGGCTCAAGCGGGTGTGGTTTGTCGGCGGGTTCGTCCAGCACTCGGTGGTGCAGAAGGCTGTGGAGCAGGCCGTGTCGTTTTGGGCTCAGGGAACAATCGAGACGCGGTTCGGTGGCCAGGAGACGGCGCTGGGCGCGCTGGGTGCGCTCTTGGCCCGCTGAGCGACGCAGGCGGCGAACCAGAAGCAGCTGGGACTATTCACTTGCTCCTCCAATGCCGCCATGCAGCCTGGCTTTTTCCTGGAGTAAAAACGCCAGACCTATTCTCCCATTGGCGAAAAAACGCCTGCGTCCTGGTCAGACCCCCACCGAGCAACAAGCGATGCCGGGACAATGTGAACGCATGCAGACGGGCATGTCCACTATTAGCGAAATAAATACCACTGCAGCCTGCAGCCAGGCGTGACTCTGGGCCAACAGAGGCGACATCCATGTGCGAGAGGCAGTGCGGCCTTTGTGTTTCACGTCCTCCTCTCGCCCACCCTCCCCTGGGAATCTGCTTGGCTGGGAAATATCCGCGGGCTCTGGTGCCCCACACACACACCACCCGCTAAACGCTGAGGCGGACTGGATCCCGGCTGATCTGCTCGTCCTGTTTCCCTGAGTCGGTCCTAAAGCAGTCTACCAGCGGGCCTTTGCCCAGAGCACATGCACAGCACAAACAGCAAAAAACAAAACCGGCGTACGTGGCGGTTTCGGTCCTTCGGCCGTGGGCCGGATGAAGAGCGTCAAGAAAACGAGTCACAAAACCCCCAGGTCGATCTGCACTATTTACCGCAACAAACATTTGCAAAGCTGAAGCGACTGGTCGTCCCACCTGCAAAAAGCGAAAGAAAGATTGCATATTTCCAGCCCTCGGCGTGTATGCGGCCGCGGACGAGACACCGCGCTGTAAATCTTGCCCACCCTCTATTTGGCTGAAAAATATAACCAGCCTGGCTCAGCGACACTGGCGGCATGGGAGATGAGAAGAGGGAGGCGCTATTTTTCTTTCACAAGCAGCAAAACAGGCAGAGGGAAAATGTGAGCATTTCGCTTTTGGCTTTCGGCAGCTTCCAGCGGAGCGCATGACGTGCGTTCTGGTGGCCACTCCTTTCGCCATCGTGCCAAGCGAACTGTAGCCTGCCGCTTGGTATATAAAAGGCGGGGCCACAGCACCCTCCTCTCCAGCACATCTCACAGCCCCTACATTCCAGCCTTCCTCGGACTTTTCTAACCTTCTTCCATATCTGCTTCAAAATGTTCGCCCTTCGCCAGTCGTCCAAATTCGTCCGCCCGGCCCTTGCCCGTGCCTACATCTCACACATCCCGCGCGTCGCCAACATGGGCGGTGCCTCGACCAGCGCACACGAGCACTCGTCTTCTATCGACACGTTCAACGGGAACCTTGTTTTCAACGAGGACATCGCGATCGAGAACTTCCACGAGAAGGCCATTGCCAAGGACTCGATCCTGGCTGCCACCAACTTTGACGAGATTCGCGTTGTGCCGTCGGCCTCATCGAGCTACCAGAACGTCCATGTCGTCTATGGACACTAAAAAAGGCAATCCAGCCGTTATATTTCTGTATCAATAGTCAGGAGGGCCACCACGCTTATCCTCCTTTTTCATCAACAATGCTTTAGCAAATGCAGATAATGATGTGTGGAACACTTCCATAGAAGGCATGCTGTATGTATCCGCCACATGTGTCGCATTCAACCATAGCACCTGGTCTACCGCAAAATAGCGGCATCAGCCTTTGGGCCTCATTGCGGATTGATGACAGGCCTGGACAAGCCACATATGCACACATGTGTACGAAGGGACTAGAGATTTGGGCATATATATATATATATTAAAATGGGAGATGCTTTTAGTCGGTAGTGGCCATCGACGCAACCTTCTCATTGTACAGGGCCTCAGCACCAGTCCACACCGGGGCGGTGTCGCGCTCGGGCAGCTGCATCAGAGTGGGCAGCAGGTCGGTGGCGAACTGGTTCGACGCCTCGCGCGGCAGCATGGTGGGCAGATGGTCAATCGAGCACAGCTGCAGGGGCTTCGGGTTCTTGGTCTCAATGTCCAGCAGCGGCTTGTCAAAGGTGGTGTTGACGTTGTAGATGGGGATCGGGTTGAACGGGTTGGTGGTGTCGCAGCTGACATCAACAATAACCGACAGCTGGCGCTCGCCATCAATCTGCTCCTGCGTGATGAACGCCGGAATCTGCGACGACAGATAAATGCAGTTGACAAAGATGTCAGCGTCGATGATCTCCTGGAACGGGCCGCCCTTGGCGGTCTCGGCCATATCCCACTTGATGATGTTCTCCTCGGGGATGCCGGCCTTGCGCGCATATGACACAGCACCGGAGCCGCAGCGGCCCAGGGCGCCCATGACCATCACCTTGGGGAACTTGCCAATTTTCGCCAGCTTCGCCTTGGTCTCGGCAATCAGCACGTCCTCGTTCGGGTACGGCGTGATCTCGGGATAGGCGGTGCCCGGATGCAGCTGCTGGTGGCACCAGGCGTCGATGCCGACAGCCGAGCCAGTGAACCCAGCATAGAACCCAAAGGCTGCCACACGGCGGCCGCTGGCGTCCTGCAGGAACTCGAGGTCGTACAGGAGGCCCTTGCCGTTCGAGAACCGCGATAGAACGTCCTTCCAGCCGCCCTGGCGCTTGTAGCAGTGGGCAAACATGATGTGCGTGTGCGGCAGCGGGGTCAGGTCGTTCTCGGGCAGCTCCTTCAGGCCAGTGATGATCGCATCCGAGGGAGCAGTGCGCCACGAGTCGCCAGGCACTAACCGGCACCCAACAGCAGAATACTCGGCATCCTCAAAGATCCGGTTCTTGTCGCACTCGACCGTGATCTGGAAGCCAGCATCAATCAGCTTCTTGCAGACCTCGGGCGACAGGCACGCGCGGTGCTCCATCGGCTTGGTCTCCTCACGAAGCCAGAGATGAACCTGATTTGTCGACATGGCTCTTTTGTTGGTGCTGTTATGTGTGGTGAAAAATGTGGAGAGAGGATGCGTGATATTTGACAAGAGATAGGCAGTGGCATGCAGTGGTCACGCTGGCCCTCAGCTGTTCTTTTATACACCACCTACCTGCCCACCCCTAGTCTGCCGGCAGCATTGCTTACGGAAAACTTTTGCTGTGGCGAAAGGAAGCAGTAGATGAATCATTGTTTCTTTCGCTCGCGGCCACAGCATTTCGAAAGGCAAAAACACTGCAGTGGCCAAGAGGGATCGTCCCCGCCCTTCTGGCATCCTGGCTTGCGGTCCGCCCAGTTGTGATTCACAAAAGATACCAGGCGGTCTGGCATGCGAGGCGGTACCCAACACCTTTATTAAAACGCAGTCGTTTCATGACGCACCAGCTGCCCTGAGCGAAGAGCTCGGTTTGTTTTCTCACAGATCATGCTGCTTCTGGCCAAGCAGGTCCTATAACTTGCTCTTGCCAACCAGCAACCGGCAAATTCCAGCGCCGATGTTTGGAGCCAGCTCCCCAATAATAACCCACAGCTATTTGCACATATTTTACTGCCAGAATGGACAAGCAGACAGCAAGCCAGAAGCGCCCACGGATCGACGGGCAAGGTAACTAGAATATAGACTACAGCCAAACGCCTGGCGCCCATGCATCACCGCTCAATAGCCACCTGGCAGCTGTAGTCAAGAAACGCACGCCGATCCGCACAGACACGTCGCCCTCCGACATCTACGTCACCCGGGACCGCCGCAAGTTCCAAGGCCAGGTAATGCGGGCGCGCAAGCTGCTGTCCGAGCGCAGGTATGCCTCAATCACAATCCACGGGCTCGGCGCCGCCATCGGCCAGGCAATTCGGCTAGCAAACACAGTCAAGGCGAGCCTCGGCGACCGCCAGGTGGAGAGCGAGGTATCCACAGAAACCATTACATTGTATGATGACGTTATTTCAGACGATCCGACAAAGGATACCGAGACCCAGGCGCGCCAGAACTCTGCGATTAGAATAAAGCTGTCATTGAAAAAACAATAAACACTAGTGCTCGGCACGCTTTTCCTCCTCCTGCGACTTTCAGCGCCTGTGTGGCCTGCGCAAAGTTCTCAAGCAACTCCAGGACCTTGCCCGACTCGATAGTGTGCCGTGCAATCTCAGCACCTTCCTTCATGCTCTGTGCCTTGCCTGCGATATACAGCAAGGAAACCAGTGTTGACCAGCACAAAGTCGCGAATAGCAACATCCCCGTCAATCAACTTGTTGCCCAGCAGTCGCTGCAGTGTCGCCTTGTTCTCTTCCAGCGTCGACCCAGCCGCCTCGGTCAGCGGGTGGGTCGGCACCCCAAAGTCGCGCTCCGGGTTGATCGTGTAGTAATCGACATTGCCGCTCTCGCGCAAATGCCACACATGCGTGTCGCCAGCAATGCTGATCTCGTCCAGGTTCTCGTCGCCGCATACAACAGCGTAGTTGCGATGGCCCAGGATTTTCAGTGCCTCGGCCATCACCGGTCCCAGGGCCTTTGAATGGACCCCAATCACTGCCCGGTTTGGCACCACCGGGTTCGTCAGCGGACCGAGTACATTGAACGGCGTCGGGAACCCGAGGTCCCTCCTCGTCTTGGCCAGGTACCGCATCGAGGGGTGGAACGTACTGGCAAACAAGAAGCAGAACTTGTACTCGCTCAGCAGCGTTGCCACATCCGACGGCGTGATATAGTCCAGGGCGAACCCCAGGCTCTCCAACAGATCTGCAGACCCGCAGTTTGACGACGATGCCCGACTGCCGTGCTTGGCCACCCGCAAACCAGCTGCTGCAGCCACTAATGAGGAAGTCGTCGAGATGTTAAACGTGTTCCATCCGTCACCGCCTGTGCCTACGATATCTGCCACCACGCCAAACTCTTCAGGTGTCTCAGTACCTGGTCTCCAGAACTGGCACTAGCGCCTTGTCGAGCATCTCCTTGGCCAGCGCCGCAATCATCTGTGGCTGCCCATCGACTCCACGCAGCTTTAAGGCCTGTCAGGAATCCGCCCATCTGTGCCTCGCTGGCTTCGCCGCGCATAATAGAGTCTAGCCCCTGGGCTGCATGCTCAGGTGTGAAACCGTCCGGCTCCAGGATAAGGTGCTTCAAAATATCGCGAAGGTGCTGTCTGTTGTCTCTGAGCGATGCCATTGTTTAGAAATTATGCAAGTAGGAACTGTTGGCGGGGAAAAGAAGGTCTTGTTTGTGCTGGTATGACGCCAGGAACCATGCCAGTAGATAAATGGGTTCTAGGAAGTCACTAGCGCCCAGATTGCGGTGCTGTGAGTCACCTCCATTCTGCCAGGGGCCAATTGAAATTGGCGTGGTGACGCATTGGTCTTTCCTGCTGCATTTCGGCCATTTTCCGTCCATAGGGGATGGCAAAAGCCGACTATGCATCACTGAATCAGCAAGTCGCCATTTTATCGCGCCCGTCTTGACAGCTCCTGCGACTTCAGTGCCTGTGTGGCCTGCGCAAAGTTCTCAAGCAACTCCAGGACCTTGCCCGACTCGATAGTGTGCCGTGCAACCTCAGCACCTTCCTTCATGCTCTGTGCCTTGCCTGCGATATACAGCAAGAAACCAGTGTTGACCAGCACAAAGTCGCGGATAGCAATGTCGGACTCCTGCAGTGTGTTGCCTAAAAGTCGCTTCAGAATTCTCTGGTTATCCTCCAGATTTGACCCAGCCGCCTCGGTCAGCGGGTGGGTCGGCACCCCAAAGTCGCGCTCCGGGTTGATCGTGTAGTAATCGATATCGCCGCTCTCGCGCAAATGCCACACATGCGTGTCACCAGCAATGCTGATCTCATCCAAGTTCTCATCACCACACACGACAGCATAATTGCGGCGACCCAGGATCTTCAGTGCCTCAGCCATCACTGGCCCCAGAGATTTGGCACACACCCCGACTACAGCCCTATCGGGTACGCACGGGTTCATCAGCGGGCCGAGGATGTTGAACGGCGTCGGGAACCCGAGATCCCTCCTCGTCTTGGCCAGGTACCGCATCGAGGGGTGGAAAGTACTAGAAAACAGAAAACAGAACTTGTACTGGTGAAGCAAATCACCAACATCCCCAGGCGAAATATAGTCCAGCTCGAAGCCCAAGCTCTCGAGCAAGTCTGCCGATCCGCAGTTCGACGACGATGCCCGGCTGCCATGTTTCGTCATGCATAATCCTGCCGCTGCTGCCACTAGTGATGAAGTCGTCGAAATATTGAACGTGTTCCATCCATCACCGCCCGTGCCAACGATATCCGCGACAACCCCGCCCTTGGACCTGTCAATGTTCGGTATCAAGGCGTTATCCAGTGCCTCCTTGGCTAGCGCGGCGATGACCTGTGCATTACCGTCAACGCCGCGCAGTTTTAGCGCCGTCAGAAACCCACCCATCTGCGATTCGCTGGCCTCGCCGCGCATAATCGAGTGCAGCCCCTGGGCTGCATGTTCGGCTGTAAACCCCGTGGGTTCGAGAATCAGGTGTTTGAGTATTTCTTTGAGGTGCGAACGGTTAGCAGTCGTCATGGCAGCTACGGTAAAAACAGATGTAGTAGAACGTAGTTTAGGAAGAAAGTGGCCAGAGTGCAAAAACAGGAGGCGCTCCTAAATAACAGTGGAATGTGGGAAGAAATGGGCAGCCAAGGTGCCAAAACGCTCCCATCCAGAAATAGCTGTACCCTTGTGCCTCTACTACCACCACACACTAATGACACCTTAAAGTGTGCGTATTGTTTGCATCGATGTCAGTACAAGCCTCTTCCTCTTGTGCGCAATTCGCAGTTCAGCCCCACTGGCCTTTCCTCTGCGAGTAAGAAAACTCGGTCGCAAGTAGTTATTTCTACCTGTGTACTATCGCCAGTATACACAGTTAACAATATGAATGTTTGAATGACATAGGCTGCTTGCTGAGGTTCATTTCTGGAACCAATGTTCAATTTGCAAAACAACGCGCCGTATATAAATACAGCCACACACACCCTGATCACTACCAGCCATCCTATTTTTACACCACATATTGTAGATCAGCAACTCAACCGCTCATATACTCTATACTTCAATCAGCATGGTCTCTTTCACCACTCTCGCCCTCCCTCTTGTTGCGATTACAGGCTCACTTGCCCAATTCCTTGGTGGTGTTGGTGCATCTGAATCAGTATCTTCAGGCTCATACTACAACAGCCAGATGACTACCGGCTACGGTGGCTTGGGCATGATGGGCGGTCTTGGCTATGGTGGTCTTGGCTACGGCGGCCTTGGCTACGGTGGCCTTGGCTACGGCGGCCTTGGAATGATGGGGGACTTGGATATGGCGGTCTCGGAATGATGGGCGGTCTCGGCCACGGTGGTCTCGGCTACGGCGGTTTTGGTATGATGGGCGCGTACACCGGTGGCGCTGGCATTTTCGGCCCTTCAGGTTCGATCATGGTCGGCCCGCAGTATGCTGGTGGCATGTACCTCTAAACCACGCACCTTACGCATAATATTATCTCTAGCACCTTATAATTGAATTAATGAAACGAATAAACCTATCTATATTCACTGCTGCTACCACCGCTATAGCTTGGCTGGATCGGCTCCCAGGTCAGATTCACCAAATCCTCGTTGTTGTCATCAAGCACATTGACTGGGGCCTGCGAGTGACTAGCTGAATAAGGAGTAGACGAAGGCGTCAGTGCAGCCAGGCTGCCCCTGCCAAGTGCATACGGGTTGATAGACAACACCCCACTACCACCACTGCCAGCTGGTCGCATATATGACTCATCATCCCACCATGCATGAGAGTCAGAGCTCGGCGGCGGGAGAGCTGCCTTTTTCTTTGACGGAGGTGGTGGCGGCTTTGCCCGGCTGCTCTTTACCTCAAGCTCAGTAGCCGCCGTGCCCTTCTCTGGCGCACTGTCCCAATCAATCAAATTCTGCTCAACCGTTGTCCCACCACTTGCTTCGGCCTTGGACCCCTGCTGCCTCGTCCTGATGGTATTTGGTGTATAGCTGCCGGATGATCTGATGTTTTTGTACCTTGTCAACAGACACCACATCAAACTCCATCATGGCCAGCACCGGCTTGTGGTCCGAGATGCACAGTTCATCGCGATAGTACTCGAGAATGCGAACATTGTGTCCTTTGTACAGGATGCGGTCAGTCCACGATGGCACGCGCACCTTGTCGCTGGTGTCGTAGACATCCGTTCCTACATCGTACTTGTAGGTTGGTGGAAAATGGATCTCGGCCTCGCTGTATCCGGCAAAGACATTGTTGGCAGCCATCTGCACGCCCAGCTGATCATACATCATCAGACTGGCCACCTGTCGCTCCGCTATCATCCGCCGTGCCTGGTCGTTCGGCAAGTCGATGCGGTAATTCAAGTCGCCCAGCCATATCGCATAGTCGTGGTCTGACACACGGCGACCCCGCCTGAACCTCACGCCATGCTGGATTGCCACATAGTCGTTGTTGCGCTCTTGTACATTATTTGCACCAGCAGCCAAGTGCGCAGCCACGATGCAGACGCTTGAGTCGTCGAGATCCAAGTGCATGGCGACACAACCTTTGTTACCAGCCATACCCGCTAATCCAGTCTTGTGCTTGACCATCTGCAAGTTGTGGATACGCGGCAGCACGTCTTCATGAGCAAAGAACAGCAAGGCAACACCTACGAGCTGTTCCGACGAAACTAGCACGTACTCGCCCGATGCCTTATCCCCGAATGCCTTGCGGTGCTGCATGTTAAGTTCGTCAGACAGCACAGACTCCCACACACGGCGGTTGGAATTGTCAGCAGCGATAACTGATTGCACGTCCAAGTTGACAACTTCCTGGAACCCGATGGCAACAAAATCCGGCCTCATATTTCGCGGCATCGCCAGCCATGTGCCCAATGGCTCGCCACGGTAGGGTGCACCATGCATATTATAGGTACATAGCATGAGGTGCAGCGAGTCCTTTTTGCTGATCTTGTTCAACTCCATGTCCAGATCCCTCATGATCGCCGAATGATACCGATCGTATATCACAACCCGCCTTCGATCCGAGCCCGAGTAGTCCATGCCCAGCAGTGTGTCAATAACATCCTGCTTGCCCTTGTCTTGGAAGTTGTTTTGCATCAACCGGCTTAGCGATTTAGTTCGCGTCACTCAGGAATCCCGACCAGCCAGACTTTCCCGACGTCGTCACACTGTTCTTCAATGCGCCTGTGCCCGCATACAGCCTAGAGATGGCATTTCCGTTTGCTCCCCATAGCGAGCCGATGTGCTGGACGGCGTTCCGTGCAGCTGACCGTGACAACAGCGCATTCTGTCCAATGAACTCCCCAGAGACATACCGCGAAATAACGCTCTGCACAACATTGGTCCGGTCCAGGCAGTCCAGGCAATTCGTCCGCTGAACACCCCGCTGCAGGCTCAAAATCGTGTCAGAAGTGGTGTCGACGAGGAAGTACTGATAGTCAGCCATCAGCGACTTTATCTCCTGCACCAGATCCTTAACGCGGTCAAACTGTCCACCACGCACCTCGTTATTGTAGTCATATGCTGTGTAGAGAAGCAGCTCGTTCGGAAGCCCCATTGCAAGCACTTGCTGGTGGTACATCTGGCCCAAATCCGCTTCTGACGATCCACTATTGCCTGTAGACGCTCCGCCAGCCATGTCCTCGTAGCTCTGCACGTAGTGCATCCTCAACAGGTTGACAACATTCACGCGCTTGTATCGATCAAGAAGGTCCGCAAAATGCCGCTTCGTTGCTGGCAGACTCGCCTTTAGTGACCGTGTTACTTGCACTCTGTGGCTGCCAATCTGGAACCCATCCTGGGTCCAGAACAGCGGTACACTGCCCCGGACTTGCACATGCGCAAAGGTCAGCTGCGGCGTGGCTATAATCACTTCCGACTCCACTTCGTTGGCTACAGCCCCAGCGTCGTTGATTCCGCGCGTGAGGAACCGCGCGCCTGAGCGCTGCGAGCTGCTGCGAGAAATCAAAAAGACTGACATATGTGCGCTCCGGGGTGTGCCTGTCAGATTCCCCAGCGCATCCAGATACACTGCGCCAACGTGGCCCTGAATCAGCGAAACCACGAAACCATCCTGGTCAAACTGCTGTCGCTCTTCGTGGCTCAGCATATGCAAACGATAGTCCATGATTGCCTTCACCATATTGCTGTTCCAATGGAACTTTTCGTCGGGATCCCTTACACCCGGCTCCTCGTTGACTATGGCATTGAGTCTCTGCGACTGCATTGACCGAGTCAGATCGAACGAGGGTGAAAAGTAGAATGCCCCGTTCTCCAAGAAAGAATTGAGCTGGGCACACGGATTGGTGATTCCGTACACATCCATCTCGCCCGTTGCGTGGTCATCCATCGAGCCCATTGGACGGTTGCTCGCCAGCATATCATAAGGTCGAGTCCACTAGCGACAGTGAGGTCACACGAAGAATCCGAAACACTGTCTTTTGCTCGCCACGCAGTTCTGCCAGGTTACATACTGGCTGGCACGCCTTGACCAGGAATAAGTGCGTATCATTGAGGTAATCCAAAATGCCCACGATGCCGTATACTGGGTCAATATCCAGCGGGGAGTACATGCGAAGGGATTGCTGAACAGACTCTCTGTTGACTTCTATCTGTACGTCGTCGTCGCTATCCGATGTCACCCGGTGAACTTTTATCGACAGAAACGACGCTGCAGGGTCGTCCAGAGCGCCGACCGGCACCAGACCTACAGGCACGCGGCTGGCTCCGGGTATACACGAAGAACCGCTTGGCCTCCATTTGTACTTGCATTCGTAAAATCCGAATAAAAGGACGGTGAAATTAAAATTGGCAACTGGTGAAACATAGGCGGCGAGAAACAACGCGGAGAGAGGATACCCCATGACGTCTGATTTCGCAGCGGTGGAGCAGGGTGTGCAGTCCTTGGCATTTCTTGATCCGATCATGTCCTGATTGCTAAAGGGCAAAAAATGATTTTCTCCTTCTTGCTCTTGTTGCTTCTATGCCTCGCCCTTTGCTTCTCCACCCTTTCAGAATTGCTACATTTAGGACAATGGCACTCAACAGCATTCTCACCAACACAAAGATCACCCGGACGCTGTTCTCGTACCTCAGCTTCTCTGACCGCCTCTCCGTCACCGCTACCAGCAAGTCCTGGCGCTCTGTCTTTGTTCCGCTTCTGTGGGCTGAGTTGACGGAAGACCATTACTCGCTGGTTCAATTCGAACGCCTGGTCTCCAAATACGGTCAGCACATCGAATCGTTCTATGTCTTGGATCCAGATAACGAGTTGACGGCAAGCGAGGCCGATGAGACAGTTGATCCTGTGCCCGAATTTGCACACCTTGATAATTGACGATATGCGTCGGTCGTCGATGGTTCAAACGGCTGGTAACCAGGACAGTTGAACAGCGCGGTGCGCAGATCACGCGGATCACTTTGAAGCACTTGATATTCGAGGGCGAGAACGCAAAGTCGCGCAATCCGCAACATCGACGCCATTATCAATTCCATATCGAAACTGCCCAACTTGAAACGCCTGGATATCGATAATGTCGAGATGCCTGCGCAAAAGCTCGAAAAGCTAATCAGTGAGCTCAAAACAGAAAAGCTCGTAGCTTTAACAGTCGATATCGAAGAGCCCACCACAAGGAAGACTGTCGAGACTGCACTGGATCGCTACGGATCGCAGCTGGTTTTGCTGTCAATCGACAAGATCACAGACGACATTGCTGCTGCCCTTAACGACAGGTGGAACAAATTGGTGGCATTAGAGACTCTGAGACTTGCCTTCTTCCTAAACGAGTCGCAGAACGCGTTTGCAAAGCTTTCGGCCGCTGATCTCCCAAATTTGCGGATGCTGAGTGTGCGTGAGGACACCAACGACGAGCAGCTCCGCTCGCTTGTGGTCCCATCCCTGGCCGCGAGTCACCCGGCTCGAAGCCGACTGCCTATGGATCGAGGATGCAGCAGCCCACGCGATCAGCACCCAGGCACCTGCCCTAGCGCGAACTGCGTATGACCTACCCGACATTCATATCGCCAGAGGGCTTGTCAATAATCCTTGAAGCTCACCTGCCTCATCTTCACGAACTGCACTTGGTTGGTCCAGGTGTTGATCTGGCTAGTATCTGGCAGTCCAGCTGGCCACAGCCATTGGCCCTGCGCGACGTTATGCTCAGCGTCGCCCATGTCTCAGCCGAGATCCTCACTTCAGTCCTTGCCAGTGCTAA